CTTACAGCATAGGTAAAACATAAACGTGCCTGTATCTCCAAACTTTACAATGAAACGTGGGATTTTTAATAGAGCAATGGGCTCGGCTTGGTCAACAGCACCTTGTGTGAAAGTTTCGCGTTCAATGTCGCAAACAGCCCAAAAAATATTTTTTGGTCGTCGAAAAAAGTTTCAAGAGGTCGACCCCTGGATCCAGTTTGGCTGGTGGCGACATTGCGAAATCTGGTATTAGCCACGATGAACTTGAAACTGGCACCCAAGGTGCAGTTGGCCAAGCCGAGCACATTGCTCTAATAAAAACCCCACGTTTGATTGTAAAGTTTAAAGATACAGGCACCTTTATGTTTGTAAGCGTGATGCTATATGAGAAGTGGTCTTTGTTTAATGTAAAGTAGTATGACTATAATAGAGCAAAAGATGCAGAAGGACCTCTTTGGGTAACTCAGCTAAAAAGTCAGGACTTCAGGGACAATGCATGAAAGGTACGCAACCCTCACTTTTATGTCATACATTGGCAGCTAATAGCCACTTTTGTGCATTCCCAACTTTTGTGCATTCTATTGTAGGTGGACGATGCTCCTGCTCTAGACATTCATTTCCATGATCAAAGTAGGTTGATCCGAGCTGATTTGGTTGAGTTACGCTCACACAAGATTCCATCGGTTGAGCTACATCGAGCGTGCTTTATGTGCAGAGTGATGTAATCTCTCTTTGGCCGCAGCTCAGTCAAATCAGCTCGGATCAACCTACTTTAATCATGGAAATGAATGTCTGGAGTAGGGGCATCGTTCCCATGCAGTGGATCTCGGAGCAATGATGATTGGATAAAAGTGGCCGTTAGCTAGCAATACATGCCTGTTCCTAGATGATCTATAAAGTAATTATACATTGACCCTTCCATTCATGCAAACGTAGCTGTGTTACACAACACGACCCTCTGCATCTTTTGCTCTGCCAGGGTCCACCTACTTGACAATGAACAAAGACCACTCTTATAGCATCACACTTACAAACATAAAGGTGCCTGTATCTCCAAACTTTACAATGAAACGTGGGCTTTTTATTACAGCAATGGGCTCAGCTTGGCCAACAGCACCTTGTGTGAAAGTTTCGCGTTCAATGTCGCAAACAGCCCAAAAAATATTTTTTTGGTCGTCGTCGAACGAGGTTGAGCCCCGGATCCAGTTTGGCTGGTGGCGACATTGCGAAATCCGGGATCGCCCACGATGAACTTCATACTTTGACACAAGATTCCTTTGACCCCGACAAGCACGTTGATCTATTAAAGAGCCCACGTTTGATTGTAAAGTTTGGAGATACAGGCACCTTTATGTTTTACATATGCTGTAAGCGTGATGGAATTGCTTTTTCCTAGTGGATGGTGTCGGCTGCATTAACGGAAAGATGAAGAGCTGAGTGAAACCGCACGTGGTGGTTACACAGACACGTCCTTGACAGGTTGCTACACAAATGGATGATGATGATGATTGCCTTTTGTGAAGGTACGTAAGTAAACAGCATCCAATAATGAAGGTGCGTCAAGGTATGCATCATGTTTGCATGTAGAAGAAAGTCGAGCTGCATAAACCAATTTGTATATGTAAAAAGATACATATACATATTGAATGAGTCACGCATCCTGAAACTCAATGGAGGGATCTCTTCACTTTTTCTCTTCTCAAGCTCATCCCACTTCCCACTCCTCCTTATTGTATCACAAAAGCCATATACTTCTTGCATGACCGATAACCGGACCACGTTTATTATTCCATTATCGAAGCAATAGTATGTAATCCACAAGCTAGCAGCAACCTCCAACAAGCGAGTAATAAATAAACAATGCTTTATTTCATCTAGCTATCTCTCTACATTGCCACCACCATCCTCGTAGTCGTCCTCCGTCATCATTCCTACTTGTACTCATACCTGTCAGCAGGCACCAATCTCCTCATCACCAGATATCAAAAACACGGAATGAGTTTATTTAATGCGTACCCCTTTAACCTGACTATCCAATGATTCATCCATGCAGAGATAAATCCAAGGGCTTAGTGATGTGAACGTGTGATCTCTTTGTTGTTATCCCGAGAACCATATGAAAGTGATCATGGAAGATCTCTTCAAGCGTTGTTGATGTGGCCGTATTATACCAGGTAATGTTATCATTTCTTATCCAAAAAGAGGCGGTCCATGGTGCAAGGTGCCTGCATAATGAGTCTATACGCGTGTACATGATGATGCTTCCATTTATATACCCACTGCCACTATCAATGATCCATCTTTCCTTATCCCAAAAAGAGCGATGTAAAAGTGACGATGGAAGATGTCTGCATAATTGACCGACAGGATAGTGGATGGTTTCGTTGTTTAAAAAGGCGTCTTCTGCATGGTTTTGGCGTATCGTTTCTTTTTCTTTCTTTTTTCGGACCAAGACAACCAGCGACATGGCGACGCGACTTGTTGAATCAAGGCAACGGTCGAATGGTGACATGCATCGTGAACAAGGCAGTCATTGTGGACAAGGTACAAGGCACGTTACAACAAGGCACCTATCTTTGACAAGGCACACCACTTCAACAAAGGTATTCGGTTCACCCATGACGACTTGATCTTGGACACAATGGGTACTGACAATGGCACGCATCGCAAGGCAGCAATGTAGCAGCAATACGACACGACAAGCACGGCGTCTTCAGTGTGGCAAACATGGGATCAGGGCAAGTGGTTGTTTGTGACATACAGGCATACGCGTTGCTGATGGTATTTGCTATAGGAGGGATCACGCTTTAGGTGGACAAGGATATGATTATGGCTTGTGGATCATTCAGCAAGGCTTCAGCAAAGGAAAACAGCAACAAGTATGGAAGCATCTTCATCATACAACGTGGGCTCGTTCATGGTGTTGAAATTCACAGGTATGTTGGTTTTATAGGGTGTGTGCAATCATCATGCTCATTGGATATGTGGTTGGCCTTGTCTCTTACATGGATGGTGTACGCTTTCATTTCAGCACAAGGATACGTATGGGGTGGATGGTACAGCAACCACACAAAGCATAGGATGATGGTTTTGGATGTCACAAAGACAAGTTCGAAGGCAAGTACGACGGCAGGAGACGAGCATACACGCAATGTATTGACATGGTGGTTCCAGTGGACGCCTTTCCATGCTTACTAATGACCTCAATTGGTGGCCAAGCACTCATCTATGACAACCACTATGGATCGTCCGATGCTGCTGATACACATACCATGCGACTATCATTTACCATCACGGCATCAGCACTACATCCATGACCAAGGATCAGGATGGCGAACAACGGCCTCACGGATGGATTTGGGACAAAGGATCGACATCAAGGATATACTTTCAAGCATGGATACCGTGACAACGGTTATGACAAAACACAACATGGTTGCCATGATACAACAACAAAAGAACCAACATGCGGTATGTATCCCCTCTTGTGGTGAATGGGAATGGCTATTGATTGGGACTCCTTTAGTAGGATCACACATACACATATAAAGGCGACACAACATTCATGCAGCGTATCGGTACAAGGACAAGGATTGGGATGGTAAGCGTGGGTGTACAACACGAGCAAGAGCAGGGGATTAATGCTGTGCCATTTTCTAGGACATACAAGCTGTGGGTGATTGTGTAAAAAAGGAAAGGTATGATGCACACTGTTGCTCAACGTAGCATACTCTGTATAGCACCAAAGGTGGTACTCCACACATAATAGCATAGTTCCCACTCCTAAGCACAATAAAAGTCAACCTATGAAAAGCTATTTATTATATATAGTACACATTTGAGAGAAATTCGGATACAAGAAATGACCATCATGTTAGCTAATAGTTGTTCAATTCCTGAAGACGTTTTTGGAGCTCATTGGTATTGGCACCAAAAACTTCACCGACCTTCTGACCATTACAGAAGAAACGAAAAGTAGGCGCCACTCTAATCTCTTCGGACTCAAGGATTTCCTGCGTTGCCATACATTGTCAGAACAAGTCCATCCTACCTCTAGCGACAAACTACTTACGGTAGCTTGATCCATGTCAACTGTTATGAAAGTAATATCAGGGAACTCTTCGTGGTGGTGCTTGTGAAAAGTAGGGGTAACGAGTCTGCTGGGACCTAAATAAGTACATTGTATGAGAACAACTGTTGTCAAGGAAATGATGAGCATGCTTGTCAACATACCGGACCACGCAGCCCAATAAAAAATGGCAACCTATAGTTTAAAGAGAGTAAGACTGCACTCGTTCTTGATGTTTCCCTCGTAGGGAGGCTTGAATATACAAAACTGCTCATATTGTACCTTCTTTTTCTCTTTGATAAGTTGCTGATAGGCAACAAGATCATTGATTTGTGGCACTGCAACCATGTTAAAAAGATAAATGGATAAAGAAGAGTCTATAGAAGTTTCATCCTTGTGGGTCTTTTATACCACGCATGTCCCTCCCAACCTTGTTTTGAAACCCAAATAGCGGGATGTCAGCCATGCATGCATGCCTGCAGTTCTTGTGCGTCTACTACCACGCCACTGCCTATTCTACTCTACCACACGATAGACTCAAAAATTTGAGAAACACCATATCCACAACGATAGCTAGCCCAAATGAGCAGGTATTTATGATTCAAACATTACGACTACTGCATTTGAATGGTATGTTGCTTTTACAAGGTAGCAAAAGTTGACCGGCTGATACTCATAAAGGGAAAGAATCGGCGATTCCATTGAGATTACTAGAGTCAACTTGGATCTATAGAATTGCTCTCTTCCCATATCAATATTATTCTACTTTGCCATGTAATTGCTCCTATATCACAACAAAGGTGGATCACAAAAGTTGTCTTTGTTCAATGTATTCATGAAGTAATACAAAATTTTAAGCTACACTGAATCAGTAATCTTGGCCAGAGTGACATCGTATCAGAAGAACATTGCCATAAAACATACCTTATTGTCCTATCCATGAAAGCATCCAAGCAATGTGTTCATCTTTGTATGAATACTGTCAGCATTGCCATCACATCACCATAGCCATATTCATTGTACCTTGTTCACCAGTATATCAAAGATGAGAAATCTTGTGCATCCTATCAGCCCTACAGCGACTTCCAGCATGTGTCTGTCTCGTTTATTTTATAGCACGGATTGCTTGTACCTTGGCTCACTCGTGCAGTGTCATTGAATGTCTACAATTTAAAGCTTAAAGTGTTGTCGTTGCTGTTGCCATTGACCATGGTTGCTATGCCTTGTTGAATTGTCAATTTCATGGAGAAAAGAGTTGGGCATTGTAGTAAAGGTTGTGCTGCTCGCCGTCTGTTGCTGTGTAGTAGGGTTGAACGTATGTTGCTGTGGTAAGCTTGGTTGGTGTATGGTGTGAGCGGGAAGAGGTAGGTCTGATTTATGCACTTTTTCTTTCTCCTTTTCCTTTTTCGGTCCTCTCTTTCTTTTCTTCTCTCCCCTTCCTCGTTACTACAATGAGCCCACGTTTTCGTAGTCGCATCCACCAATAGCCTCATTGATTCCATCGACAAAAAGAAACTGCTACAGCGCGCCATTTCTTCTATAGTTGATTTCCAGCTGTACAGCCTCTGCCTTCAACAACAACAGACACGCTCACTAGACGATTTGCCTCTTTGCTCTTGACTACACTGCCAATGAGGAGGTCGTATACGCTATTACAAAGACGACAACGTGTTAGCCAACAGCAAACACGCATATACAGTATCGAAGCACGGCTCTCAACAACAATGACGACAATACGGTGGATATGGATATGCAGAGTGTTGAAAAAAGTATCTTTATAAAGGAGAGCTTGATGGTGGATACCACATGCATCTGGAGTAGCCTCTATCTCAACATTGCAAGCTGTATGATGCCTACTACGATTAAGATGGAACTACGGCAACCAAACTATTGATTGACACCGTTGAAAATGATGGCATGGATAAAAAGTCGTCAGTTTATCAACACTTTTCCAGGAGTGATTGGTCCGCAAGCCGTTTACATGGCTCATGAAGGTAAGAGCATTCAAATCATGGGCATTACAAACAAGATATTAAAGGGCCTCCTTGAATACTGGTGATTACCACACACACAACAGCACAATGGGTTTCCATGACAACGAGTAACCAGCATCGTTCATCGACTTATCACAACAAATACGAGTCACCTATCCGTCATTGAAAGCTTCACAAAGGTAAGGACAACGAGAGCGTGTGTACACCTATAAGTAGCATACTAAAGTGGATATCCTTCATTGAAACAACATTCACGAGGTTTCAGTATACATGCCCAATCATGGATTCTACACGCAATTCACGCTCGAGCAAGGCATGAACAAGAACGCGGTGGGCTGTTCAAGGACGTGGATATCAGTCATAAGCATGGGCATGGAGATCAACAAAACGCATCAACACATCACACGATATCAGCACGCACCCAAGTTATGCATATATGGACCATGTTCAACTTGCACGATGGTAAAGATAAAGGACTGGAAGTGGGTCTGCAACCGGATGTTGACATCTATCTTTGAAAAGGATACTTTTGGTGGAACCTTCAATCCGCGTTATGGATCAGAATTACAACAACAGGCTACTTTTTTCTCAATCAATTTCAATTTGACAAGCATGGCCACAAGCTTTATTTGATGATGATATCAGACATCAGGTAAATGGGAAATACAAAATGCTGAATGGCGGCTTTCTTTTCGGCGGCATCATTGATGGATATCCTTTATTTCAAAAAAGGTCACCTTGGCACGACGAAGGCAGCGCACACTCGATTCCCTGCAGGTGGTTCATTCTATACACACACCACAACGAGCTCCAGAAAGGTAAGAGCAAGGACAATGGACAGGTATGAAAGTAGAGTTATTGATGGGTATCTTTGAAAAGGGGTGACTTTGTGTGTGGCGATATTATTAAGGCTTTGAAAAGTATCAACTAGTATGGATCTTCAAATTGGCTGGATACACATCCCACTTGGAGAAGAGACGTATCATGTAAGTCGATGCCGCCAATGCAAATTACACATGCTGACTTGGTTCAAAATACGGCACATACTACTATTAGATCATTTGCAATGTATGCGTGGCTTGGTTTGATGCACAAAGTGAAGATGCAGGAAGAGAGCGAGAATCCCAATGACCTGTGCACTCCTTTGATTTACATACGACATCTAGCAGTAACATCATTGACAACGCGGTGAGTATTGACTCATCATGCGGTGTATGTGAACATGACATTAATCATGTCTTCTTCATAGGATGCACAAAATCCATCAACTCGGTCACTAAACAACATGGATACGGTGCTAAATAGATCAAGGTTGTCTAAATCTCATTATTGCACACAACAGCATTAGGATCGTGTTGGTAAGTAAGATTGGCTGTACTGGTTGAGTAGCGAGACTTATCATTAGCTTTAAGTAGGAGTTTGTTGTCCATCTTGAAATACACATTAAGCTGTACACGTGTTTTTGAATGCAAGGATTAAACATGGATGTTTGCAGACAGAAGGATAAACAAATGTGGTGTGGGGGTGTCATTGTTTCGAATACATGTCATGGTAATGGGATTTTCTTTGATCTTTTGGCTTGTAACATTATCCAAGCCTGCATACATGGCAAGATTCATTCAGGGATTAAAAAGGAGAGTGCGTTCGATATACACAACGACCAGCGGATCTCAACAAAACAAAGGCAATGACTTAGGTGGTGGAGGGGTTAACATCACAATGAAATAAGAATCGGATGCATTTTTAATATGTATATGATGCAGTTTTTAGAGGCATTGATGGAAGTGGTGCCATGCCTTTATATGTACATAGATGCTAGTCATGCAGATGGGTGTTGTTGAGGTAGCTCTGGCGGTCTCAAAGAGTTGAGTTGCCGATATTTTGGCTGGTGTCAGACAAATCAGAAGAGTAAATTTCTTCTTTCTCACTATGGACGTCGACCAAGAACAAGTACAAGTGCGTTTCGTCAGTCGTCAACCCCAATACGCAATCAACGATGCGGCCATTCTGGTTCCTTCCAGTTTCAGACGCTACGGTCTCTCCGAGATTGTCAACAACTTGCTAGGCAATGGTAGGATCGATCGCTTGGATCGCGTTGTTTTCCACTCACTCAACTCCTTCATAGAAAAACCGATCCCTTTTGAATTCTTTGTGGACGAACAGATTCTTAAGACCAGCATTGCTGAATACCTTACTGCCAATCGCTTGTCAACGGTAACTAAGAAGGGTTTTGACCGAGCCATATCAAAGGTACACTAACTTTTGTGTGTATAGGAAAACACGCTCACCATTGAATATGTCGAGTCGATGCTTCCACCTACGTCTATTGCAGCATATCAACATGATGATTGGATTAGCTCTGTCAAAGGAAAAGATGGGTAAGGTTATTGGGAAATAGGAATACGCTTTCATATCTATAACATTGGAACCTTTATAGTTTATTCTTGACAGGATCTTATGATGGCATGACTCGCTTATGGAATTCGTCTGGTGAATGTGTGACAACATTTCAAGGCCATAGCAATGCTGTCAAGAGCGTTGCATTTGCACGTGCTGATGGTAAGCTTTTTATTGATCCCCTTGGATACTATTATTGACAACCTTTCCAATGAAGCGTCTGAACAAGTAATCGCATACTCGGGTTCCCTTGATCACAGTATTCTTGCTTGGAAGGTAATTTGTATTTCTTCATCAGCCTTGCCGGGAATATGGATTAACGCCATTATAGTATTCAAACGTCGATGGTACACAACAATGTTTATTTGAATGCAAGGGTCACAAGGGTTCGGTGGAATCGATTGCAGTGGATCCAAAAGGAGAATACGTATGTTGCTTTGTACTATAGTATTCATGGTGGTATTCATGCTTTGGGTATAGTTGGCAAGTGCATCATCGGATGGTACGGTCAAGGTTTGGACAACATCGATCCCAGCACAAGATGAAACAATGCACGAATCTTCGCAATCCGCCAAGCAACGGAAAACAACCCCCAAAGGAGATCGTAAGATCAAGGTATAGTGAATGCTGCATGTTTTCCATTATTGGTCATTACTCACCGCTATGAATAGTCTCGAGCTATCACCTTGGAAGGACACGTTGGTGGAGTGAATGCGGTGGCCTACGATGCCAATGATGCCAATATAGTGTATACCGGTGGTTGGGATCATTCCATCCGATCATGGGACGTGGAACAACAAGTCAACTTGGTTACCAAGGTAGATCTATCAATAGGTGGATTTCTTTTACTCGATTACTGATTCCATCCGTTCATAGAATTGCGAGAAGGTGGTGATTGATGTTGATTATTCGGGTTTATCGCGCTTAATAGCTACTGGTCATTCCGACAACAGCTTGCGTCTTTGGGATCCACGAACAGAAGGTACGTGTGCAAACCTGGTATGAGATAATGGTCTCATTTTGTGTGTCTTTTAGAGGGAACAAACGTCAAGATGACCTTGCGTGGACATTTGGGTTGGGTGTCGTCTGTTTCATGGTCGCCTTCTTCCGAGTATTCGTTGTGTTCTGGTTCATATGATGGCACTGTACGCGTATGGGACATCCGAAGCAAAGGTCCACTTTACACCCTTAATGACGAGGATCATCAAGAAAATGACAAGGTGTATGCTGTTGATTGGAATGGAAAGCATATTCTTAGTGGTGGTGAAGATAAAAAGTTGAGAATATATCAAGCATGATAGATCTAGTAGCATTCTTTCCTCATACGTATACATATTATTGGCATTTGTTTCATGGTACCATTCTCATAAATAAGGCGTTTTCCAACTTTTAAAAGTCATCTGCTCAATGATTGAATCGAAAATGGAGAGCTTTCTTTATCATAAAAAGAAGGTTTATTATAGAGGGATCATGTGGATGGGATATTTCATGAGTCACCAAAAGACCATTTTGCTGCGCGAGGAGGAGGAGGAGGAGGAGGCACGGCCAGTGACTGTTCAAAGAGTGCAACAAACTTGGCTTATGTTTTTTCAACTCCTTTACCCACAACTCTCTTCACCATGGCAGTCGCCGAACAACCCCAGCCTGTACAAGTTGATGTTACAAAGCTTACGCCGCTTTCGCCTGAAGTCATTTCAAAGCAGGCCACCATTAACATTGGTAGGATCGCACTTGCAAGGAAGCCATGTTCTTTTATATTAAACGTTCAACCACTATAGGTACGATTGGCCACGTAGCACACGGTAAATCAACAGTCGTCAAGGCCATTTCCGGTGTGCAGGTCAGCAGCATGACAACGAGATGGGACACGCGTCAAAAGTGGAACGAGAGATCTTATTAGCTTTCTATATAGACTGTGCGTTTCAAGAACGAAATGGAACGTAATATTACAATCAAGCTCGGTTACGCCAATGCAAAGATCTACAAGTGCGACAATCCCGAGTGTCCTCGACCTGGTTGCTATCGATCATACGGCTCTTCAAAGGAGGATGATCCCCCATGCGAACGACCTGGTTGTGGTGGTACATATCGTCTTGTGCGTCACGTGTCCTTTGTCGATTGTCCTGGTCACGACATTTTGATGACTACCATGTTATCAGGTGCTGCAGTCATGGATGCTGCACTTTTGTTGATTGCCGGCAACGAATCTTGTCCTCAACCACAGACTTCAGAACATTTGGCAGCCATTGAAATCATGAAGCTCAAACACGTCATCATCCTGCAAAACAAGGTCGATCTTGTCAAGGAAAAGGCCGCTCAAGAACAACATGCTGATATTCTCGCTTTCGTCAAGGGTATGTGTGTATATAAAAATGAATAGAGAAGGATGACTAATGATATCATAAAGGTACTGTGGCTGATGGTGCTCCCGTGATCCCAATTTCTGCACAACTCAAATACAACATTGACGCCATCAACGAATACATCACCAAAAAGATCCCTGTTCCAGTGCGTGATTTCGAATCCAGCCCTCGTCTTATTGTGATTCGTTCATTTGATATCAACAAGCCCGGTGCTGATATCTCTCAGCTTCAAGGTGGTGTTGCTGGTGGTTCCATTCTCAAAGGCGTTCTCAAGGTTGGCGATGAAATTGAAGTCCGTCCTGGTGTCATTGTCAAGGATCAAGAAGGCAAGATTCGTGCACGTCCTATCCTCAGCAAGATTTTAACACTTGCTGCTGAAACCAACAAGCTTGAATTTGCTGTTCCTGGTGGTTTGATTGGTAAGATTGGCAAAAAGGAACTTTTAAAGTATCCAAGCACACTAATTCATGCATAAATTAACAGGTGTTGGTACACAAATGGATCCTACTCTTTGCCGTGGTGATCGTCTTGTTGGTCAAGTGCTTGGTTACCCTGGTACTCTCCCATCCATCTACACTGAATTGGAAATCTCATACTTTTTGTTGCGTCGATTGCTTGGTGTCAAGACCGATGACAAGAAACAAGCCAAGGTTGCCAAGTTATCCAAGGGTGAATTGCTACTTGTCAATATTGGTTCAGTATCTACTGGTGGACGTGTGGTTGGTGTCAAGGCTGATTTGGCCAAGATTGTGCTTACGGGTCCTACTTGTACCGAGGTTGGAGATAAGGTTGCTTTGTCTAGAAAGATTGAAAAGCATTGGCGGTAAGTGGTGGTGTTGTATCATTAGGATGGGTATAGGTAACTCATGAGAATTGTCATATAGTCTTATCGGTTGGGGCAAGATCAAGCGTGGTACCGTGTTGGAAGCAGAAGCAAATTAAAAAAGTGTACAAAGTTCCTTTTCTATATAATCGTTTCATTGTTTGCCATTCTCCCATAAACCTGATTAAGACTAATTGTAGCATGTGCAAGCAATTTATTTATGTGGGATGTGCTCTTCGATTCTAGTAATAATGTCTTTGAGGGTGTCTCTAGCAATTTGCACTTGATTGATTTGCTGTGATGCGTCGTCGGCCCACGTGCCAAGTGATTGCACTGATTGCAGATACTCATCCACCCAAACTCGCGCTTGGTCGTATACATGTGGCGACTCGTCACTGGTTGCTGCTTCTTTTAGCTGCTTCAACGTTTCCTTGGCAACAACACCATTGCTATCTTGTTTGCGGGGTGCACCCCACTGCTCTATTCATCAGTAAGAAAAAGTCAACAAGGGTCATTGACTTGAATGCAGCAACGTATTACCTTGAGCACTGCTAGATAAGCTGATTCCGTGTGTCTTTATCAAGTCGTCCACATTGAAAGGTACCGTTGATGAGTTGCGGATCTCGTCAATAGCGTGTGCCAGTGACAGCGAGGAGGAGGTAGGTTCAGAGCGACTGGAAGAAAACATGCCGAGTATTACATTATGCACTCCCCCCTCTGAGGCTTTAAACCCGACATTGTTCCTTGATCCCATCAGCATACATATACACAAATGATTGTTTTATCTAGTTTGCAACCCAATGGCTATGATGATTATTAAATGCTATTAAAAAAGACTATTTTTTTGGGCATGCTGCTGACAACGATTTGGTATTTACATACAAGAGAATACACAAGGAAGAAGGATATTACATTGAGTATAAAAGTAAAGGGTAACAAAATAAATGGGGCCAAACGGTGGGGATGGATGGATATTAGTCAGGGTTCACAGAGGATTGGCGCGTTAGGAATTCCAAAGTAATGTCCTCGATACACTTGTGCACTAATTCTTCATCTTGCAATTCGCCAAATACGCTATACAAGTGTTGTTTGACTTGAGCACGTGTAATCGAGTCGAGATCAGCGTCTTGAAGGAACACACGAATTTCTTGTTCAATAGCTTCGATGGAATTATTATCCTGCATTGCTGTTGCCGTTGCTGTTGCCACTGGTAAAAGCACATCTTTGCTTTGTTGAGATGGTTCAGGAGGAGTAGCTTTACGTCGTCGTATCGATTTGCTTGAAGGATGATGCAATGTAGAGGGTGCTGGTGGAGACGTGCCATTATAACCACTAATACCATGACCAGGAATCTTCAATCCTACACGACCATGTAATGCTGCTGTACGTCCTTCTTCATCTGGTGGTTGGGGTGATGATGATGATGATGATGATCCTCCTCCTTCATCGAATCCATGTGGTGGTGATAACATGTCATGGCGCGCTGTTTCCAATGAAATTTCAGGATCAAGACTAAGATTGGAGTCTGCAAGGGAAATAGCATTCGATGTTGTTGAACGAATAGAACGCCGGTCACTAGCAACATGGGTAGCAGTATCATGGGGGATGGTTGCCATGGCAGCAGCTGTCGGTGGTAATGGTGGCGGGACAAAATAATCATCATTGGAGGCACGTGATGACCAAGTGGGATAAGATGATTGAGATTGACTTGGCTTATGTCGAGTATGAGTTGAATACACAGCGTAACCATCATCGAATGGGTTATCCAAGGGTGATGCAAATGGGTTGCCAAGGGATCCTGCACGCATTGTTGTTGCTGATGGTGCGTTCTTTTTGACTCGCAAGGTATTGTTGCTGTTGTTGTCATCATTCAAGGGTGTAGATGCCATAGAATGTATGCTTCCTGCACGACCACTCACAAACCCTGTGAACCCGGTGAATTTGGAATCCAAAGCAGCAGCTTCCTCCTTAGCACGTTGATACGCCTTTTCCGCCTCAACAGCTTCATATTCACCCAATCGCATTCTTGGAACAACATCTTGTGTATTCTCCACCTTGTGTTCACTGGTTGCATCATCGTCTTCATTGTCTGCTGGGTGATCAACAATACCATGGGATCGACCACGGTGTTTACTTGTTGTCGGCCATACATCGTACCATCGCTCCGCATAATCACTGCACCATACAGCTACAATTGGGAACCAAATAGCAAAGAAAGGCACCGAGAATAGACCATAGATAATGAACCACAGCACATACTTGAATTGTCGACGTACAATAAAATAAAGTATGTGAAGCACCACGAGACAAGTAAAGCTGAAAGCGATGATGGTATAAACGCGACCCACTTGCATAAAGAATCGAATGTAGACGCTGTAGAGGTAGAGGATGATAGGAAACGATAACAACATGTCGAATAACTTGGTGATGGAAACCACCCAGCAACCAAATCCCAAACTCCAAGAGACTCGTTGCATCTCAAGTTGATTGTGCAAAGTCGTACGCATGTTCCGAGACTGTAATGCTTGAAGCGCAGTAATGTGCGTGGGCAATGTTACATAGCCAACTGCTTCTGGCTCGAATCCAAGGCGATGTTTTGGGTGTGAACGCAACAAGACGACACCAAGATATTGCTCTTCACCAAGCAACAAGACGTTTTCCATGTGAAGGGTATCGGCACGTGCAGCTGCAAATCCACGTAATACTGTTGGATGAATGCAACAAGGTCGAATTCCAGTGTTGGGTGATAAAGATAATCGTGATTCATGCCCTGTCAATAAGCTGCTTTGGCTGCCATTCATGGTGTGTTGTTGTTGGATATCCCATGGATCATTGGCTGGATTAATCTCATCGCTCACTTTGGGCCACTTGGTAACTGCATCCAATGTATGCTGTGATGTTGAAATGCTACGAGAACGTTGTCGCCACCAAAAGCGCCATCGGTGACCACGACGACGATGTTGGCTTGTGTCTCTTTCAGATACATCATCCGGAACATTCTCGGTCCACAACTTGTACATGGTCAAGCCGCCATTGATGGATAATACGGTGCCCAAGAATGCTTCATATGCCAATCCCGAATAGGATGTCAAATACAAAGGAAAGATTTGCAGCATGGTGATAATGTTTTGCTCTGGATTGGCGGGTCGTACATGTCCACTAATGGCGAGCATTCGACGATCCTTTTCAAGGCGAGATACAAGCTTTTGAACAAGGTCGCTCTGAACCTGCATGTCAGCATCGATAACAAGCATGTATTTGAAAGCACGTGGATCAATGCCGAGTACGCTGTAACATTGATTGAACAATTCATATTCAAGTGGTGCCATGCGGTTGTTGGCCAAATTCATGCATCGTTCAAGGAAACTCATCACCAGCACCATTGTATCACGTTTACCCCGATTGCCAGCATGATCATGTTCTCTCGTATTGCCCGTTTTCACAATCACCAAATAAGGCACACGATTGCGACCGGTCTCATAAAAGCCCGAAAAGACTTTGGCGTAATTGACACGTCGATGATGTTGACCAAGCGACACATAAGGTTGAGGAATAGGATCGATTGTTCCACTGTATCCCAGCAACTCAAGAACACATTGATGCGTATCCTTTGAATCGTATCGGCTGCGTGTGACTCCATCACATACAAAGAGCAACAACTTTTTGGTGTCATCATAATTGGTGCGTGCAAGAGATTCAAGTGTTTGCCGAATGATATCACTAGGCTCTGAATAGCATGGTACCAAGAGTACAGTGTGCGGCTGTCGTTGTTGTTGACCTGGAGACAAGATGTCGGTGGATGAAAATAAAAACCGCTGCATGAATCGCAAGCGACAAAGATGTGCCAAATTCATTTTGAGTAAAAAGTATAGCAACCCTGCTCCCATGGTCGCCCACAATGCCGGATTGATATTCTTGCATCCTGTAGGCTCAGCCTCATCATCGGTCACACCATGAAAGAAAAGCATCTTTACGCATTCCTCATATAATGCTGCATTGGTAATGTTGGCTCTAAAGTTGTCGGTGATATCGGTTCCCACGTTGATAAACAACATCATCGTCACATCAAGCGGTAGAAACATGCGATCCAGCGCAAATGCTCGTGAATAAATGTTGGACGACATTTCAATAATGTTGGTTGCTCCATTGAGATACATTGTGACATCCAAGACTTTGTTGTCCAATACGACGAATGCCTTTCCTGGTTCATCTTGATATGGCAAAGACGTGAAATTGTTGATGGTAGGTAGATCATAGACGATATCTGTAGAATGGATATGGATATGGATGGATTGGTATAAGGGATGGTGATGATGATGATATTTAAATAATACGGCAATTACCTCCTTTGAGTGGTAAAACATGACGATCCACCCCTGGATAGCAGGGTGCACCCGTATTGAGAGTATTGTTGGGAATAGGACATGTAATCAATTCACCAGTGGGAGATGCCTTGTAACCAGAATCATGAGAAAGAGTGTATGCAAGCCAAGCATCAGCCTGTGCTGTACGTCCTGCTTGATTGATGCATGCTTCGAGTCGATTATCGCTGTAACTTGGTCTGCCATGACGATCCAACATCATAAACGAAGGGAACATGGGCGACATGTCGTGTCCTGCATACTTTGTTGCTTGTGCTGCTATTTGATTGGTGGGTGGTGATGCATCCAGGTACTTTGCAAACTCGAATGCTTGGCCGTTTATCGCCACATAGCGGGAGTCGTTACGAAAGACGTGTGTAGCAGGGATGTAGTGATCGACGTCGCAAAAGAGGGTGGAAATGTACTCGATCCAGAATAAAAAGAGACCCGTAATGCCGACAAACAAAAAGCAGATGGCCACCTTCTCTCGCCATGCCTGTCGTGAAGCTAATGTATATACAAAGGATGAGTCATTGTCGTCAATGACGAGCTGCCCATTACCTGCTGTAGATAGACCGCCGATATGTAAGAGTAATAGGTTTGGAATAAACAGAGTACATAAACGGGCAAAGATAACCCAGAGGATGCGTCTGCACGTGAGTGTTGGCATGGATGAGTAGCTATCAGCAACTCTCATGTACAGATTCCAGCTGGTCCGACCATAGAAAGGGGGAGGGAGACAAAGAGAAGATAAAAAAGGAGAGAGAGCCCCAATTCAATCGAAAGAGAGAGAGAGAGTGAGAGAGAAAAGAACAAAAGATACAAACGATGCTGATGCGTGTGTGTGGAACTCAAGATACTCCGCACTCTGCTTCTCCCCTATTACATTATCTTATTACCCACTGCATGGGTCACATGGGGGTGTGGAAAGGATTAAACCGCTGTTCTTGGTATTCCATTCGTGTCAGCTCTTCCCAAAAGTCATATGATACCATGACAACAATTAATCAACTCACATTTATATAGCCATGGCAACCAATAATGATCCATTTCCTTTGCCCATCTTCGTCGATAAAAGCTATCAAGGATGCTCTCTGGGTACAAGTTGCTTTTTATATATCTTCTTTTTTTCTTTTTGCAGAACGAATAAAGAACATGGTGGCTATATATATATATAAGGTGAAAGATAATAATGATATGTACGGGAAAGTGCTGATTGGTGGAGAGGGAAAGGGTAAACTATAGTTGAGATGAATAAAATAACAAGTGAATGGTATGTATAGAAAAAAGGGATTCGCACCTGCATGATGGGGTTTGGCTCTTGCACAAGTAAGAAAAAGCATAACGGTCTCTGGGGGGAATAAAGATGTGTGAGAGAGGAGGGAGAGGAGGAGAGGAAAAGGAGCGATTCAATATCGTAATTGAAAAGATAGATATAAAAAGTGGTGTTTGGAAAAGAGTGAATGTGGAAGAGAGAGAGAGAGAGAGAGAAAGAAAAATAAAGACATAAATAACGATTGTCAATGCTGTTGCCTTGGTGAAGGGAGCATGCTGATAAAAAAAGGATGGGCAAGAAGCATGTCAAATGGGGTGGTGTATATATATATGAGTGTGTGTGTGTGTGTGTTGTTGTGTTGTTGTAAGTGTGAGAGAGTGGTTTTTCTGCCTCTGTGTGATTGTATCAATCGATGTTGGTATTACGCTTCTTGACGTTGAGATGTCATTCCACGTTGTTGCTTTATCCTCATACCACGTACATGGCTGACAGCGTATCCATGGTGAGATGTGTAATCGGATTCTCCTCCAAGGCGACGCTTCTTGTTGGTTGTTGGTGTACATTCGGGTGACATTTTCCACGAGAAGGCTAAGTTACGCACAGGAGAGATTTGTGTCGGCGTATGCATAGGTGAAGAGTTGCTAGAGCTAGGAAGCGACAATGACAACACAGGGGGAATGTGTGATGCTGGTGATGCTGGTGAACAAGTGGTAGAAGGTGACGAGTACGTGGTATATCGAGCAGCTGGTGTATCACGCAATCTACGCTTTCTTCCAGAACATAGACGTGTAAATGAAGTGGATGGACTTGTCGGTGTTGGTGGCAATGCTGCGGATGTTGCATGATGTTGATGTTGTTGTTGTTGTTGTTGCTCCTGCTGCTTATGTTGTTGTTGTTGCTGTGCCAACGATGCATGTAAATAAGACAAGTCTTGTAAATAAGCAGGCTGATTGTGAGCACGAGCATCAACGTGTAGGTGCAATAAATGATGCCATTGTTCAAAGGTAGGCTGAGCAATGTACAAACTATAATCGATCAAGTCCAAAAAGATGCGTTCGGCCGCATTGATCTCTGCCACAGGTAACCCAGCAATTTTGGCCCAAGCGGAGTTGCGGTAAGTCTTGTCCTGCACAAACTTGGAAGCGACCACCAAACTGGCAAGAAACATGCGACGTCCACAGCTAATGTATGCGTCGTGCCATTGCCCTGGATTAGGCGTATCCACAGCAGTTGTCGTTGTCGTACGATTACTTCCATATAATTGGGCCACAATACAAGGTCGTGCTCGAAACAAATAAAACAAGGCTGTCTGCAAAGTTGAATAAGTGGTTCGAGATCGCTTGAGCACCTCTTGAATAAAAGTGCGTAGTGGTACAACAGCTGAGCGACTCCAGTTGGATGATGTACCCGCCCAAATACTCTCAATAACATGTGCATTTGTATCTATCCGATATTATTCTCCTTGGTGAGTAGTCGCCTCCCTTTAACCACCTCCTCCTCCTCAACCTATCCCGTTTCTTTCTTTGTTGACTTACCAACCAATGCTTCCACATATGCAAAACGACTGTTGCCCGGAGGAGAGGATGGCTTCATCACTGCTGCTGCTGTTGATCCATAATGCGGCTGATACAAAGAATAGCTCTGTTGACTACCCGCTGCTGCATACACTTTGTTCTCGCTGGTCGTATAGATATTGCGGAGAGCGTACATTTCAGGATCGGTATGCAATGGCAACGACGAGTTGGATCCCGCATGAGTGCCTCGATACAATGATGACGACGAGAGATGCAAAGTTGTCTTCCATTCAGGTAGAGCCGTGTTGGAATTCAAGCTACAACCGGAATAACAAGGCCCAGCAAGTGTTGACGACGACGTCGACGACGACGACAAAGTGATCGAATTGGTGGTAGTGGCTCCCTTTTCATGATAGCGACATGTGGTTGTAGTTGTAGTGGTTGATGGCAAAGGTGGTACAGCACAATATGGATGTTGATGTTGATGACGATGATGATGATGATGGTGGTGATGGCCTGTCGCTTGCTGTAAAGAAGTCATTGATGATCAAAATACAAAGAAAAAGATGAGAGAAAGTGAGAGAAGGAAAAAGTATAAAAGATAATCAAGCAATGAATGATTGAAAAGAAGAAAGGAGCCTGTCGCACACAAGGAGGGGCCGAGAAGAAAGAGGGAGAAAGAGAAAAGAAAAAAAAAAGTGCAAAGAAGAAGGGGGGGATGATGGTGTTGGTGGATGTGCAAGATGATATAGGATGCTGACTATCCAAAAGGGAAATAAACGAGGGGGGTTGGCAGCAAGGGGTGTATGTGTGCAAGAGCTATCAGCGGGTGCGATATCAACGTATATATAAAATGGGGGAGCAACGAGAGTAATGATGCTTTTTTGCTGTTGTTGTTATAGCTGCTGCCGATTGCTGCTGCTGCTGGGCGAGCTAGAAAAAGAGAGAACCAAACGACGGGTTGGGGGACAAGAAGGAGAACAATGGAATCCCAACTTGTCGCTTCACAAGAGGAAAATGCGCTTGTTGTCGGAGCCCTTATTCCAAAAAGGAATCAGCTTGAAATTAGGTGATCTTGTCTTGGCGACTTTTTCATTGTATTTGTCTCATTGCTCTTATTCAACCCACTTGTATACCTATCAATACATGCATCTTTTTGAATATGCTGGTGATATGGATATGTACGGGCGGGGCCGTAGTCGACAAGAGGAGAGAAGAGAGGGGTTGAGAGGAGATTCCAACGTCCATAAACGGTAATGATGCTTGTGCTCATTCATCTCGTGGTGTGTGCATGTGGGTGGCAAAACGACAAGTGTATGTTTTATTTGAGAAACCACATCATGTATGTGTACAAGGGGGGACTATTACGATGATTGACAACAACCATTATTATTATTTTCCATCAACGACAAATGTACAACTCCATCCGGCTGGTCGGCATGGCTACAAAGATCCCAATCTTGTTGATGCAGTGTCCCCTTTCTCATGTCCCACGACGTAATTCTATTTATTATCACCATTATTCACGCACCATGCTTTTTGTTCTGTGCACCCAAACGCTATGCACGAGCTCACAGATCATTATTCATTCCTTTCCCCCTTTTTTCTTTGTTGTTCCCCGCCCATAGCTCAACGGAGTTGTCCTTTTCAAGAATATCCCAACATCATTATCATTGATCCTACTCCGCTCCAATATCAACATTCTCGACTTGGGTTGTATCGGCTTGGTTTTTACTAACTGTGATACCAGCTGCATGTTTTTCATGTGTACAACCAAGTTCCCCCTCATCAATGACACGTGGTGCATCATTACCGCATTTTGGTTCTTGTTCTCTCTCTCGCTCTATTCATCCGCAAGGCAATGCCACTGTGGCTGTGTTTGTGGTTATATGCATGCATCTGTGTGCCGATCGTTCAAGCAACATTTAGTCAATTTATGTGCCGCTTGCAGTGTTGCCATCTAAAAAGAACCTTTGCTTTTACATCTTTACGTTTATGGTTCAACACCCAACACTCAATACACACAATAGTCACAATGCCCATTGTTGCAACGAATCATAATAAAGCAAAAAGAACTTAGTGTAAGGGGGACAAGAACAATCAACCGGATGGGAACAAAGGTACGACAGGGCTGTTGTATCCAAACCCTTGTGAGTTTACTGCATGAGAAAAGAAATCAAGCCCATGACATAGTAGGGTTCTTTTTTGCTCCTTTGCTCATAGTAGTTTGCGATTATCTACCATCATCATGGCGTCTACTGCAAGTGCTGCATTGAAATCCAGAGTGCGTCGTCCACAATTCCTTCAAAAGGTGATGAAGGCTGAAGACACCCTCCCCATGTTTAAGCCTGGGCAGTAAGTAAATGCCTACATGTGTGTACGGGATCTCGCTAATTACTGCCTACCTTATAGATATTTGGGATGGTCAGGGTTTACAGGTGTTGGGTATGTGGATATTTGTTGTAAATGAAAAAGGATGATGTCCATATTAATGATGATGATTACAAGATATCCAAAAATGATTCCAGCTGCTTTGGCAGATCACGTGGAAAAGAATAACCTACAAGGGAAGCTCAAGTTTAATTTATTCGTGGGTGCATCCACAGGTGCCGAAACAGAAGATCGTTGGGCCACGTTGGATATGATTGATCGGCGTTACCCACATCAAGTTGGCAAGAACATAAAAAAGGGCATCAATGCTGGAAGAATCCGATTTGCAGATAAACATCTATCAATGTTTCCTCAGGACCTTGTTTATGGTATGATGGATGTGTTTTTTATATAAGCGACGCATCCTTATTTATCATCTTCATCCATATTAGGCTTTTACACCAAGGACAAACCTGATAATGACAAGCTAGACATTATGATTGTGGAGGCAACAGCTATTCAAGAGGATGGTGGTGTTGTACTTGGTGCATCCGTTGGAGCGTCTCCTGAGCTTCTACAAATGGCGGATAAGATTATCATTGAAGTCAACACTAAAATACCTTCTTTTGAAGGCTTGCATGATATTACCATGTGCCGTAAACCACCGAGCCGACTCCCTTACTTGGCTCTCGGCACTGAGGATCGTATTGGCACTGTAAGTTGAGCCATGATGCATGATACGTATGCCCTCCATCTAAGCAAATGTATACTAGGCCGCTGTTCCAATCGATCCTGATCGCGTTGTTGCCGTAGTGGAAAGTGATCGACCTGATAATACTGGTCCCAATGCACCGGCAGATGCCACCTCTGAAGCCATTGCAGGCCACTTAATAGAATTCTTGTCACATGAGGTGCGTCATAATCGTTTACCAAAAAACTTGCTTCCTATCCAATCAGGTATCGGCAATATTGCAAATGCAGTGATCGGTGGTCTTGCAGATGGTCCTTTTGAGGATGTCTCGGTGTATGTATTAAGTAGCTATGATGATAAATTCATTGCTTACGTTATCATTGGCAGGTTCACCGAGGTGCTTCAAGATACGTTCCTTGACTTTTTTGAATCCGAGAAGCTAAAATACGCCAGTGCGACATCAATCCGCTTTTCACCAGAAGGATTCAAAAGATTTTATGACAATTGGGAGTATTACAGGGTAATAAGATCAGCATGAATAGTGATTGTTGCCTATTAATTGGCGTCTTGTAGACCATGCTTGTGCTGCGATCACAACAAGTGAGCAATTCCCCTGAGCTTATCCGAAGATTGGGATCCATTGCTATGAACACGGTAAGGCAAAAGCAACGATGATGCAGTAATTCCCTTTATATTGATATCGTATACATACGTAGCCAGTGGAAGTGGATATCTATGCACATGCCAACTCGACCATGGTGTGTGGTAGCGGGATGCTAAATGGTATTGGTGGATCAGCCGATTTCTTGCGTAACGGCAAGTACAGCATTATGCATACACCATCAGCACGTCCTACCAAAACAGATCCAACAGGCATTTCATGCATTGTTCCCTTTGCCACCCATGTTGATCAAACGGAGCATGACTTGGATGTTGTTGTCACTGAGCAAGGCTTGGCAGATGTACGAGGCTTGTGTCCTCGAGATCGTGCTCAAGTCATCATCGACAAGTGTGCTCATCCAGACTATAAACCACTACTTCAAGAATATCTCGATTCAAGCACAAGGACTTGTATGGCTGCTGGTCGTGGTCATGAACCCCACGATCTCGAACGCTGCTTTAAGATGCACATAAACCTCCTGAAAAATGGCACAATGAAAATCGATTCGTTTTAATTAACAAATAAAGAGCATGTTTTACCATCCTTCATCTATCATTCGTATCATAAATGGCCGTACACAACAAATAGGAACATGTATTACGATGCTATTGACAAGGTCTAATTACAAAGGGGAGATGGGGCATGCTATTGGATAGAGCCTTTCTTCGAGACACAACAATGAATCAATCATCCTCTTCTCTCCCTTTATGGCAGCATTTAAAAGTGGGTATACCTCGACAACCCTGCATCAATCTTTCTCTAATATAATGCATCAAGTATCCACACACAACGAGGTCCAATTTACGCCAACTTAATGCCGTATTCGCAAAAGCAACCCTTTAATCCAACAACAGCATTCCCAAGAGGTAGCCAGATAGGTACATCGAATCGCTTCAATAGGGGGGATACATTGATACGGGGAAGTTTCTATCCTTTGGTGTGTATTGTGCAAAGATGAATGGATGAGACGTGGTGCGTGGTGGTGAATGATGTGCATAGCGTTTCGAAACATGCAGTTTGATGATGGTGGTTGTACATGGATGTTGATAGTAGCTGCCTTGGAATAGCGTGCAAGTAGGATAATGAGTTGCAACAATCGTTCAGGATGATAGCATCACGCATAGTAACCAAGTTGACAATCGATACACCCCTTTTTCCATGTGTTGTATATATCAAATCCTTTTCCATCCCATGTACCAAACCAATATCCATATCCATATCCATATCCATATCCATATCCATATCCATATCCATATCCATATCCATATCCATATCCATATCCATATCCATATCCATATCCATATCCATATCCATATCCACAGGGCTTCGTATGTGTTGAACAAAGTTGCTGTACGTAAATAATGCTGCTTCTATACAATGGCTATCTGTTGTACACGTTGAAAAGGCAGCAAAACAGGTTGCTGCAAGTGAAGAACGCTGTTTGAGACAATGGAGCGAATAGCAACTGCTGGAATGAATGCTGTTACGATTGGTTGCGGTAGAGGATTGTACAAGAGAAGGTGCAGTGTCAAGAAAAGGTGTGTTGGAGTGGGGTGCACACGCCATGGACTTGCCCTTCAGTCAAAGGCAATCGAATCAAGGCAATTGTAGCAATGACATGATGGGTTGAAGCAGGACAATCGTTCGCAGGTGGTAGTTGTATACTTGAATGGGCCAACAGTTGGGAATGGGAGGAGGAAGAGGCAAGGGGCTGAGAGTGGAAGAGCTGCAAATTAATAGGACGCACACCTCTTGTATAATAAATGCATGAACACTGTAGATCAATCCTTGATAGTGAGATTGCCCCTCTCGAACATGAAACTTTCACACAAGCTTCTGTTGGACATGCTGATCAACTTCAATCATTTAAAAGTCGCAGACTTCATTGTGAAGATTCAAAATGCGGGGCGATCCAAATGGTGGATGATGGGGTCAAAAGAGCGGACGGTCCACCGCCCCGAAGTTGCCCACCTCCAACTTGAAAATTAGTCAGCAGGGTGCTCTCGAGCATGCTGATCACTATTTTCTAATAAAAACTTCATGCTTTATTTGAAAGTTTGGAATGGGAGCGTCCAAAAGTTTGAAAGACGGAGACATTCGCAGGGTCTGCGATTCACTAATTTTCATATTCACTGTTCCAGCGTAGCTCGGTCAAATCGGCTCGGATCAAGAAAGTTTAATGATGGAAATGCTCGGCTGGAGCAGGAGAATCATTTACATGCAGTAGATTTTGCAACAACGCTGATTGTGAGGAAGTGGCTGTTAGCGTGCAATACATGGACTATTGTGGATAGACATAAAGTATAATCTGTCAATCTATCCAGTCATGCAAAGTAGCTGTGTTACACGAACACGTCCCTCTCCATCTTTTGCTCTGCCAGGGTCTAGCTACTCGACAATGAACAAAGATCGCTTTTCATATAGCATCACGCTTACAAACATAAAGACAGCCATATCTCCAAACTTTACAATGAAACGTGGGGCTTTGAATAGAGCAATGTGCTCGGCTTGGCCAACAGCACCTTGTGTGAAAGTTTCACGTTCACTGTCGCAAACAGCCCAAAAAATATTTTTTTGGTCGTCGTCGAAAGAGGTTGAGCCCCGGATCCAGTTTGGCTGGTGGCGACATTGCGAAATCTGGGATTGCCCACGATGAACTTCATACTTTGACACAAGAGTCCTTTGACCCCGACGAGCACGTTGATCTATTAAAGAGCCCACGTTTGATTGTAAAGTTTGGAGATACAGTCACCTTTATGTTTGTAAGCGTGATGTTATATGGGAAGTGGTCTTTGTTCATTGCCAAGTAGCTAGACCCTGGAGAGCCAAAGATGCAGAAGGACCTCTTTGGGTTACTCAGCTAAAAAGTCAGGACTTCAGGGACCATGCATGACAGGTACGCAACCCTCACTTTGATGTCATACATTGGCAGCTAATAGCCACTATTGTGCATTCCCAACTTTTGTGCATTCTATTGTAGGTGGACGATGCTCCTGCTCTAGACATTCATTTCCGTGATTAAAGTAGGTTGATCCGAGCTGATTTGGTTGAGTTACACTCACACAAGATTATATCGGTTGAGCTACATCGAGCGTGCTTTATGTCCAGAGTGATGTAATCTCTCTTTGACCGCAGCTCAGTCAAATCAGCTCGAATCAACCTACTTTAATCATGGAAATGAATGTCTGGAGCAGGGGCATCGTTCCCATGCAGTGGATCTCGCCACAATGATGATTGGATAAAAGTGGCCGTTAGCTAGCAATACATGCCTGTTCCTAGATGATCCATAAAGCAATTATACAGTGACCCTTTCATTCATGCAAACGTAGCTGTGTTACACAACACGACCCTCTGCATCTTTTGCTCTGCCAGGGTCCACCTACTTGACAATGAACAAATACCACTCTTCTTATAGCATCACACTTACAAACATAAAGGTGCCTGTATCTCCAAACTTTACAATGAAACGTGGGCTTTTTATTACAGCAATGGGCTCGGCTTGGCCAACAGCACCTTGTGTGAAAGTTTCGCGTTCAATGTCGCAAACAGCCCAAAAAATATTTTTTTGGTCGTCGTCGAAAGAGGTTGAGCCCCGGATCCAGTTTGGCTGGTGGCGACATTGCGAAATCTGGGATTGCCCACGATGAACTTCATACTTTGACACAAGGTTCCTTTGACCCCGACAAGCACGTTGATCTACTAAAGAGTCCACGTTTGATTGTAAAGTTTGGAGATACAAGCGTCTTTATGATTTTACTATGTTGTAAGCGTGATTCGAGTTGCTTTTTCCTAGTGGATGGTGTCGGCGGCATTAACGGAAGTGGAGAACTGCGTGAAATGGCACGTGGTGGTTACACAAACGCGTCCTTGACAGGTTGCTGCACAAATGGATGATGATGATGATTGCCTTTTGTGAAGGTACATAAGTGAAACAACATCCAACCATGAAGGTGTCAAGGTATGTGTATGGAAATAAGGGTTGCATATCACATTTGCATGTAGGAGAAGGTCGAGTTGCATAAACCAATTTGTATATGTAAAACTCACCACCAGTAACCAATCCAATGATGGGTGGGTCACTCATCGTGAAACTCAATGGAGGGATCAATCCCACTCTTCCATATTGTATCACAAAAGCCATGTACTTCTTGAATGACCGATAACCCGAACCACCTTTATTATTCCATCTTCGAAGCAATAGTATGTAATCCACAAGCTAGCAACCTCCAACAAGCGTGTAATAAATAAACAATGCTTTATTTCATCTAGCTATCTTGCTATGTACTGTACATTGCCACCACCATCCTCGTAGTCGTCCTCCGTCATCATTTCTACTCGTACTCGTCACCAGTCGTCAATCTCATCCTTCACACCAAACATCCAAAAATACACAAGTTGAAAAGAATGGGATCTTGCAGGCTTCCTTTTGAATCTCGTTGTCGTCATCATTGTCATTGTTGTAGATGGGGTGATCATCGTAATCGTCATTGTTGTGAATGTGGTAATCATCGTAATCGTCGTCTCTACAAATAAGAAAGCAACCACGTTAGACCATCTGGTACCGGAATGATGGCGATTTGGTATACCGTTAGGCGATCCTCTCCAAGGAAGAAAGCAAATCAGAAGGAATTCACAAACCAAATCACCACCATACGAGCAACGTTGGGCGATCACTTGTTCTTGAGAAAGCACTGCACGAATCACGCAAGGCCAGTTCGATCCATGGCAAGGAAGGACATCACTTACGTAGAGTCCAGGCTCATAGTTGTTCTCACTCATACTCTCCAAAGAAAGAATGATCCCCAATCCTTCCAATCATTTCCCACCTCATGAAAAGAAATCCTCAAAGGGAAAGAACGAGCCTATCACGAGAAGAGCATGTTGGTTCAACACATTCACAAGCTGTTGCAAATCCCCTTTTACCTCAACACGGTGACCATGCTCTTCCAAAAATCCATCGTCATCGACCCATCCTCAACTCAACACAGGCCTATAGAGCCCTGGGCGCGTTCCAAGAAGCTTTTCCAGCACACTTGGCTAGTGCAGAGCGACGCAGCGACCACTTGATACAGGCTGGGACTTGAACCCAAAGAGATGATGATGATGCCCCAAGTTGTATTGCCTGACCAAAGAAACCTATTCAATTCATTATTAGCACACACACACACAATAAACATCCTTTTCATTGTTTGTTTCATTGTACTTGCCTTTTCCATATACACAAAGACCCGTTGTTGTTGGTTACTGGAAACCGAAAACCATGGTGTAGTAGTGTTGAGCCAAAACAAAACGGCAAACCAGCCAACGTCTTGAAACCAAACTTGCCCTCTATACAAGCTGACGCGTCAATGGAACCAAGTCGGCTGCAACATTGGACTCTGAATGTACCTGTTGACACCAAGCGTAGAGCGGGAATAGCAACGAGCAAAAGGAAACAACAATATCGCCATGGCAACCACCAACCACCAACCACGCTCATTCCTCAGCATTTGGACACACTCATTCTCCCTGACAATGCATGTTCAGAACTACATTAACACCTCACAGCCAACAAGAGCACTCTTCTATAATACAATTACCTTGATCGAGATGTCGTGATTGGGATAAAAGGAAAGGTGGAGGGAAAAAGAAGAGAAGCTTTGTCTCAAGTCGTGGAGCTGCTGTCCCCCAAGTTTAAATCCCCTACTGCTATTACACTGAGGCCACTCAATTACCCCACACACACACCATCCACCCACCGTCATCATCACTCTCACGATAGACAATAGGTACACGTAAATAAAAGAAGTGATCCTCACGTATAGCAAAAGGGTGTGTGCCATTTTACACTTTACATGATAATGATGATCCAACAACAGCCATTACCTTACTACCAGGTTAGCTCGAATCATGAAAGTTGAATGATGGAAATGGTGGACTGGAGCAGGAGAATCGTTTACATGCATTGGATTGGACAACAAAGGTGAATGGAAGGAATGGGCTATTAGCCGGCTGTTTACAAATAACTTACCAATTTGATTCTTCTGATATTGGATGATGTTTCTGTGTTTGGCCATTTTTCAGTCAAATCTCATCGGATCAAGAAAGTTGAATGATGGGAATGATGGACTGGAGCAGGAGAATCGTTTACATGCATTGGAATGGGTTACAGGTGAGAATAGGAGGAAGACGCTATTAGCTGGTAGTTGATGTTCGCTGCCTTGGACATTGTATCATAGCACTTATTACAAAGGTAGTCTCTTATCGTTTGATGGCTGATGTAAAATGATTACTGTAGCTGTGTAAAGCTACAAGCTCATTGTAAGATCATAGGGAATGTTAAGCCATTCAACTACAAATCACTAGTTTGTATACGAGCGAAGAGAGGAACTCGTCGGACGGCTAGTGTCTATACTAATGAGATGGTTTTCTATTTGATCATTGGTAGTTTAAGAAGGGTCATTAGCTATCACAAAAGGGCAACTGCTGATCCAAGCATGATACAATGAAAAGAGATGAATGAAAATCAAGCTGTACAATGCTGTAAGTACCCTATTTTTAGAAGAGGAGATTGCATAACGATCATGCTCATGCTTAGCGCCGTCGTCAGGTGTACTGAATACATCTGGATACCTCGGTTGGGTGTATTGCATGTTGATGCTTACCAAGGACTTTGTTGCATGGCAGCAATCGAACGGGATGTTTGATATCAAGTAATCGAATGACAGTCCAACTACATAGCTGCATGTGTCTTTGAGTAATTGAGTGGGAATAAACGTGTCTCTCTTTGTCATGTGAAGATTTAAGCATTCATCCCGATCCCCTTTGACCTCCTTACATACGCTCTCTCTCTTTCTCTTTCTCTCAAGTATTACAATTTCAGTTCTCAATGACGGACCATGCTCAGGTTACGCCTATTGCTACAAGCATTGCATCCGATCGACTTGAAAAGGATCCATTACGTCCCCTGATCGTCGCGTTATTATGCTTCGTATACAGCCTATTCACATGGTTTGAACGACACGTCTTGCAACCCTCGCTCGTATGTACACTTCTTTCAGTCTACTTGTAACAGCATTGACCAACATTACAATAGATCCAGTGGCGTCAATGGCGTAACCATCAACCTGAACATCGACTCAACGCTGGTTTATTGGATGCCAAGTGCTATACCGAGTGGAAGGCACGTGCCAAAGAGCTTGACATGTAAGGATCACACGCATAGGTTTCGCATCATCGAGTTGTCCTTTGGCTCATATCATTCTATAGGCATTTATGTAAGTTTATGCAAGGCGGTGGATGATATTACTGTTTTTGACATGTGTCCCAGCCAACGACCGGTGGAAAGCCAATCCTGTGTCACGTGTGTACGACTATAAGCTTATTGCCTCAAGACTGGAACATCTACGCAAGGCACGCGAGGCCGATGATGTGGATTGCATGATTTATATGTTACGTGGTGGTCTACTCAGGAATTTTGGAGGCATCTGTGACAGGAAGCTCTTTTCTCATTCATATCTTGGGTAAAACAAGCATACGTATATCACGGACAGAAGCAGTTAACAAGTAACATGTATCATAGTACCAAGACATTGATTGAGGATTACATGGAGGAAATGGTGAAGCAAATCGAGTATATTGAATCGACCGATGCTCTGGATCAGCAAGCCAAGATGAAGTTTTTCAGTGATGCTCGACAAGGATTTGGATGCTCTGCATTAGTGTTGCAGGGTGGCACGGCGTTTGGTAAGGATAGGTGATTGGGAAATGGATTGATGGAAAATGTTAACCAAAAAGTAATAGCGTTGTATCATTTGGGTGTACTCAAGGCACTTCATGAACAAGGATTACTACCAAGAATCATCAGTGGCCATGCAGTGGGAGCCATGGTTGCAGCTTTGATTTGTATCCATACGGATGAAGAACTACCGGTAAGCAGTGTGTGCGTTTTAATAGGAAAGGGTGCCAACTACCCTGGCTTGGTAGGAAATTTTGCAACCTAATGGGATTAATCTGCAAGCCTTTTCGACAAAGACGGATAAAGGGTAAGTGAAGGCATCGGATCTCTTCCTATGGTTACCAACACGTGTGTTGTAGACATGTGCATCGTCGGATTACAAGATTCCTAAAGCATGGTAAACGAGTGGCATGGATTGGAGGAGGAGATGTCCAAATGTGCTGATTTTTCGAAAGGCTATCTTATGGATATGAAGGTGCTGCAACAGTGTGTGAGAGCTAATGTCGGCGACTTGACATTCGAGGTAAGCTTTTTCCCTATTCAAGGTGGATCCGGCTAACAAGATTAAAACAGGAAGCCTATGCACGTTCAAAACGAGTACTCAACATCAGCGTGTCATCAAGTCGCAAAGAAATACCACCATTGCTCAATTATCTTACAGCTCCCAACGTGGTAAGTCATGAAAAGAAAAAGAGGTTGGAGTATCCATGATGCTTAATGATGTGGTTGCATAGCTTATTTGGAGTGCAGCATGTTGCTCAACGGCATCTGTGGGGTTATTTGGATCATGTGAGCTCTTGGCAAAGGATACCGATGGCAACATTGTAAAGTGGACGACTTCGGCTGTAAAATGGAATCATTGGTCGGAGACATCGCCTTCTGAAAGGTACCTATTCTCTCTCGCCCTTCTTTGAATGGATCAATAAGCTCATGTTATACCCATAGTGAAGAACCTCTCAAACGGCTTTCTGAATTGTTCAACGTCAACCACTTTATTGTTTCACAAGCCATGACCTATGCCATTCCCTTTGCTTCAAATGGCCACAACCTGCAACAAGAGTCCATGTGGAATAGAGTCGCGTATTTGATTGCTTCAGAACTCAAGCATAGGCTATACCAGGTATGGTAAAAGTGAATCCATTTGAATGCAATATTGACCACCTGCATCAATGTTTACTAGCTCGATCAATTTCACATGTTACCCAACGTATTTCGACCGGTAGTGGATGAAAAGATCTCTGGCAACGTGACCATCGCACCCGATCTCTCAATTTCAGTAAGTGGAGCGGTTCCCACGTGTAGTGAAGGCTGCAATATCAACCCAACCTTATCTCTAGGATTTCAACATTTTGTTCTCAAATCCAACCCATGCATCGCTTGCATATTGGTACGTGTTGTTTGGTTACACTGCATCCCATTTCTAAATGATTCAATATAGGATCCTTAACGGCGAAAGAGCGACATGGCCTCTGTTATCGTTTATTCGGACACGATGCATGATTGAATTGGCTTTGGACAAAGGTATGATTTGGGTTGAAAATGGCAATAGCAAGTGTATTTATATCGTATCATACTTTTAGCTGTGCTTCGACTCAAAGCGATGAATGTGGAAAAAGAACCTGTGGTTGTCGTGCCAACGCAGTATCCAGAACGAAAGCAACGAGCGCGATCCATGCACTAGTATCGCAACATCACTCGATCTCGATAACGCATCATTGTATACCTCCATTGTCGATATATCTCACTATGCATCAAATCATCTATATACACAATCAACAGTGAGCACAACATCAGCAATAAACGACATTCTTTATATTATACCTTCAGTGATCATGGGGCCTGCTACTATGTATGCTTTTTCAAGATATTCCCATGTCTCAGTGGATACCATGAGGAGATCAGTAGCTTCTGGCAGAAATGGATCGAACCGAATATCCGATTGTGACCATGCACGATGATGCTCGCCATTGATTGTCTCTTCCAATGGTGGCTCCGTTCTCCAACCTTCAATGAACCTTTCCCATTCCCACATGAACCGAGCGGATACAAAGCAAAACCCACGAGGATTGAGTACAATGTGCGACGGTGTATCACGCCATCTTAACCATCGTTCATGTTGTCGTCTTTTTCGCATTTCGATCTTCTTATCAAGCTCATTACGATACACGATTGGATCCCACGCCTGATTGATTCGTGATACTTGATACTGTTCAGCAGGGTCACTATCTTCGCCTCCAAGCTATTCAACGATATGAGTCACATTGTATTCCTTCTCATTCGCCTTGTCATACCCAATCGACGCATTGCTGGCAGAATATTTCTCCCGTGTTGCCCTTGAGAAAAACTTGGTGCATAGAGTGAAGTCGTGCATGCCTGTCACACACTACATGGATCCAAAGTAAGACATCTCGTATGGATTTTGATATAGTAAGATCACCACCACTTACATGGCTTATGACAGGTGATGCACAAAAACACCTTTTCAGGGCCACGATCAGTGCATTGACAACAAGCCGTTTCCAAGGAAAGATTTGATGAGGATGGTACATTGGTAAAAGAGATATGGCTCAAATGGCGACAAGGGGGACGACCAAACGTTCGCTCAACCGTTTGACGATACAAGGTGGAATACGACTGATTTGGATGATTGTATGTTACACCATATCTTGCACCGCATAATTTTTTCCACAGTGAATCGATCCGACTGAGGGGCAACAGCGTACGATTACATTGGGACAGTTGTACAAGATCTCTTGCATCATCAAGCTGCTCAGCAATGCATATCAGTATATCAAAGTGCAAGGAATTGAATGGCATCACTACCACCACCGGAAGAAAAAGAAAGGATCCTCCTCTACATTAGTAGTCATTGAAATGCTTTGTACATACGAGTAGTGTATGGAATGTGAATAGATCAATAAACAGCTGGGCTACTATTTTTGGATGAATATGGCAATATCAACCATACCACATCATCTGGGAAACGATCATCATTCATCCTTGTTACATGTAATCGACTTTTTAGCACGTCTCTCGTTGCTAGGTAACGCGATCTGCTGCACAAATATCGTCGTTATACATTCCCGGAAAGGCTAAAACGACTTTAATGTAATGTGGCGTCCTTGGTGCAGCCATCTTCTACTTTCACTACAGCCCTATGGGTTGAATGAGGCCACCTCTTTTAGGATACTGTAAAACCCGGGTCATTCTTCTGTTTCTCTCATCTTTGTAGTATTGGACATGGCTGCAGCGGAATTAATTACTACCATCATCATACCAATGTCATTTAGGTAAATTCTGCAATACCACCGCCCACATTATCACATGGTTGCCACATCTGGCATAAAAGTACAAATATTAACTTTACCAAAGGATGCTGGGGTTCAGGGGCAAGGAAATGGAGCTCTTATTGTTCAAGGTTACACAATGTATGACGATTCTCATTATTCTGGATCATTGTGCGTATGGCCAACTTTTGGATTCATGCCAACCAATACACCTTTTTCACAACCTCTTCCAAGCTTTATGGCAACGATGTAACATGCGTACAAATTAGTTATTGCGACAAGGCGTCATGCTTACGTGTGTTGTGCATCCTTCCCACTATCGTACGACCAATGCATGAAAAGTAATTCCGCCACAATGCCGAGCATGACAGTGCAGCATCTTATCGCGGGGAAACTTATATAAATGCCGGCAACAACACATTTTTGCCATCAACAAACAAGAATGAAGAATCTCATTTTCGGTATCTCTCTTCTCGCGTCAGCTTTTATCTCTACCCAAGCTGCCAATACTGGCGTGGATGTATCTGCTTTGGTATCTACCGACTCGTGGTCATGTGCAAAGAACTATGGATATAGCCATGCCATCATTCGCTGCTACTTTGAGGCATGGGGTGGTAATCCGGTTTGTATACTTTTGCTCTCTTCCCAATATAGGGTGATGCTGATAGCAGCTTTGATGATAATATAGGGCGGTGCTCTTGATAACTCATGTGCCAAAAACTACGCCAACGCAGTGGCAGGTGGATTTGATCAAATTGATCTATACATGTTCCCTTGCACTGGCCGTAGCACTTGCAAGTCTCCTGCCGCCCAAGTCAATGAAATGGTGGGTCACATGAACAGCAACAAGATGAAAATTGGCACCCTTTGGCTTGATGTTGAGGTGGATCCTCAATCCAATAACTGGCCTTCTGCATCCCAAGCACAATCTAGTACGTCGTTGACCTTTTTTTGTGCTGCTATTATACCATTATTGCTCACCCACTTTCATTAGCTTTAAAGGAATTTAAAGCAGCATTTGATGCAACAGGCCTTAAATGGGGTGTTTACGCCTCCCAATCTCAATGGACATCCATCACAGGTTCAAAGGATTGGGTGTTGGATTCATCTGTCCCCTTGTGGTATGCTGTAAGTCATGGTTTAATGGCAGTCTTTTTCGATTATACGCTCACATGGCTTTATAGCATTACGATGAAGCACTCAACTTTGATGACTTTAGCTCATTTGGCGGATGGACCAAGCCAACCATCAAGGTAAGGGAGTCAATAGGATACATACATCACGTGACAATCGCTCACTTTGCTTTTGCTTATTGATGTAGCAATACGCTGGATCGCAATCATTCTGCTCTGCCAACTGGGACAAGAACTTTTATGGATAAAGATATATCGTGTACTTTTACAAACCTTAACAAAGTCGTATTCTGAACCTTAATGAATTGTGTCCAACCTTCACCTCCTTCATTTATTATTATGTGCCGTGGGTTGTGTAGCCCAATATGAGTGCGTAGGTACATGACCACTGATTCTAATTTAAACACACACACACACACAGCGGAAAGGATGATGGATGAAAGTAAATGGTGGCTGGTAATATCGCATGTACCCACACAGCTCTGGGAAAGGATAACCCAGGTTGTGTAATAATGAAAGCCAAGGGAAGAATGGGGCCATCGCACCCTGTGGAAAACGGGATACACAAAATACAGTGGATGATGTAAGCAAAAAAGGTCCGCTGGCTGCATTGATCACGTTTCTATTACTTTTTAGGTGCACAATGCAATCACCACGCGATATATTAAGACCAGCAGATCATATTGTTCAAGCCTATATAGTTTCCATGGCAACGCCAGTGTCATGCTGCAAGCCGATAATACCCAAAGTTACAGGGAATAGTCATCGTGAGAGTGACACACGATATTCTTTGCCTGGAAGAAAAATGTATGTAAGACAACCAGGTACAGCTAACTTTCCCATTGTGTATACGGGAGCATGCGGGAGTAACCAAGGCAAGATTTCCCGCCATACAAAGAGATCATCCTTTGGTTTTAGGTATAAAAAGAAGGCATGGAACACATGGCCGACATCCAACAGCACTTTCTTTGTTTCTTGTTTCTTTTGTTCTCACACACAAGCAAGTAGAAAACTTGCTCCCATTGTCCTTTTCCCATTTTCTTCAATCATTTGCCGGTTTGATGTCGACCAACAACAGCAACACCGTTTTAGTGCCTTCGAGGCTGCGGTCAATTTTTAAACGATTTCGATCTTCTTCAAGTCGTCCAGCAACAACAGCAGCGTCTGGAACAGCAACAACCATAGATGGCAATCAAATGATACATCATGTGGAAGCAACATCATCAATAACCAAGCGAGAGCCGTCATTACCTCCCACACCGCCTGTATCGCTGCAAACACGTAGTAACGAGATCTTGGATGAGCTTACTCAACAATTTGCTGTATCCACCCACAAGATGCGTGCCATCGTCAGCCATTTTGTATCTGAAATGCAAAAAGGATTGCAAAACGAGGGAGAAACAGGTATATTAAGGACACATGCAGAAGATGATGTATTGGCATTGACACCCCTTCAAGTGGCTATGATCCCCACATTTGTAACAGGACGACCAACGGGACAAGAGAAGGGTAAATACCTTGCCCTTGATTTAGGTGGAACCTATTTGCGTGTATGTGAAGTATCGTTGCATGGCAACCGCGACTTTGGTATTCATCAACAAAAATACAAAGTACCTGGAGCATTAAAGCTGGGAGAGATGACCCAATTATGCGATTTCATTGCGGAGTGCGTCAACAATTTTCTCAGTGAACAAGGTCATGATGATATCGATCCAGAAGCTCCTTTGCAACTTGGTTTTACATTTTCTTTCCCTGTATTTCAAACATCCATCAATCGTGGAGTGCTCAAGCAATGGACAAAAGGATTCTCTTGTAAAAATGCTGTCGACAAGGATGTCGTTGTCATGTTGCAAGATGCATTTTCACGTAAAAAGGTGCCAGTAAACATTGCTGCGGTATGTGTGTGATCATGTCAAGGGTCATTGTTGTGTGTGCGTATTCATGTTGCAACATCATTTGTAGATTGTCAATGACACGGTGGGCACATTGATGGCTTTAGGATATAGGCAACCTGAAACTGCCATTGGTGTTATCCTTGGTACAGGTACCAATGCATGTAAGTAAAAATGGATATGCGTAATCCGTCATTTATTGTTCTTCTCACACACTCGGTATCAAAGGCTATTATGAAAAGATTGACAAGATCCAAAAATGGAGTGGTGGCAAAACAGCATTTGAAGATATGGTCATCAATACCGAATGGGGCATGTTTGATTGCGAACGCACGGTGTTACCCTTAACGATCCATGATTGCAAGGTTGATCGTGAATCCATCAATCCACGGCAGCAGATGTTTGAAAAGATGATTTCGGGAATGTACTTGGGCGAGATTACACGTAACTGCATCCTTCACTATGTCGATCGGCAAATGATGTTTAAAGGCTTTTCCTCGACCGAATTGAACCAGCCGTATACTTTTGAGACTGAGTACATGTCAACCATTCAAGCCGATGATTCAAGTGATCTTGCTGAAACACGTCATATTCTCGAAGATGTACTCAAGCTGCCAGGAACAACACTTGACGATCGTCGTACTGTCAAGGCTATTATTGAGCTTGTGGGTCGTCGTGCAGCACGACTATCAGCTTGTGGTCTTGCTGCTGTCATGGAACTATCGGATGTTTTCCATAGCGGATGTACAATTGCTATTGACGGCTCGCTTTATGAACACTACCCAGGTTTCGATAACACGATGATGCAGGCACTTATTGAGTTGTATGGACCTGAAATAGAAGCCAAAATCAGCTTTTCACTTGCAAGAGATGGGTCTGGTCTTGGTGCTGCAATCGTTGCCATGATCGCTCATAAGGCTGCTCAACAACAACAACATCAGGCTGAGGAGCATGATTCATCATTATAAAGTCTTCCTGATTGTATACTTTCATACGCTATATCCTTACACAAAAGATCACTATCCCTTTTCTAAAACGTGGTTATTTATTACGTACACATAAATCAAGGCAACTTGTACACCATTGATTACGTACTTTTGGGAGAGATATTGCCCGCATTATTCCATTAGGTGTGGGAATCCGGGAATCCGGGAAGTTTTCTTGGTCATCCTTTATTTGCCCGGTATGGTGTGCAACAATGCTATATTAGGTGGAGCATTCAGGTACGATCACACATTAGTCTTTTCCTGACACGAGCTGTAAGCCTGATTGCAGCAGTGGTACTGATATTGTTCATACAAAGAAAGACACCACACTTGCTTAATTACACATCTTTTGAGATTGGCGGTGACATTGGACTTTTAGGATGAAACCATAATGTGATCAAAGTGATGATTATACGTATGCAAAGTGGTATTTGCTAGTAGTTGAGAAGCTCGCAGTACTAGTAAAATAACATATATTATGGGTGGACCAGGGCTGGGTGATAAGAAAAAAAAGGGTAAGATCTACTGCTAAAGTACTCTGCTGCAGGTTTGTGTGTGCGTGTGCGTGTGCGTGTGCGTGCGTTGTGTGTGTGTGCTGACTTTACTTGTTAAAGGTGAAACCACGCTTCTTGGCTGATTTTTCAGGTGTGATGGGTCGACCGGATTCCAAACGACGTCGCTTTTCTTCCAATTCGAGACGCTGCTTCTCAAGGGCTTCCTTCATTTGCTTATGACGGGCATAAAGCTACGTATTTTTGTGTTACATGTTGAGTTGCTCAAGTTTATCGATTCTCCTCTCCCCCCTTACATATCCCTTTCTCCCCTGAAAACCCTTTCAGATCACTGTACCTCTTCCTCTGATTGCTTCAACTTGGTTTCCTTCTCTTGAACCTTGGCTTGGAATACAGCTCTCATTTCCGCTTCCATCTTTGAAAGTTTTTGCTCGTGAGCAAGACGCTCTTCTTCCATCTTTTGAATGGGGCTAAATAAGGAGGGAGAAAGAGAGAAAGAGAGAGTTATCAGCAAACACATGTTGTCCTCCTGTTTGTGTACATCTTGTAACCTACTCGACTTCCTTGAAAACTGTAGGATCTTGTTGAATGCCCATAGCTGTCAACTTTTCGGTTCTGTAGTTCTCGTACAAGACGTCATTGGTATATTCCTTGAGCTCTTCCATGTGTGTGCTATGACCACCTTTATGTTAAAAGATACGTTGTGTATGAAAATAAATCATGCTTACCGGATCAACATTTGTCTCAATTTCACAAAGTCACAATGTTCTTCATTATCCACCTCAATGACACCCCAAGGATACTTGCGACCACGTACACGTTGACCACCAGCAACCTCGAACTCCTTGTCAGAACCAACGACAGCAAAAGGGATCTTGGACATGATCTCACGATTCTCGGCAATCGTTTCCTCATCATCGTATTCATAAGCGGGTGCTTGATAAATCTGGATCTTGTGATGATTGATATCGGCAAGGATGCGTTGTTTGAATGCCATGACTTCTTCCTCAGTCAATGTATCAGCCTTAGCGATAACGGGGATCAAATTGACGCGTGTATGCAACCGGCGCATGAATTCGATATCCAATGGCTTCAATCTAGAAGAGTATTTAGTCTTCAATACCAACATGAAAACGAAGATCAAGTACCACTTACGCATGGCCTGTTGGTTGAATAAAGTAAATGCAGGCATGGATGCGATTATCGACCAAGCGACGGCGATTGACCCGATTTTCTTGTTCCAAGTAAGCATCAAAACGGGATTCAATACTGTCAAGAATTGGTTTCCAGCTATTGTAATTCTCCTTTGAGTATACACTCCTTATCCAACAACCCCTTCCACACGTATGCTTTACCTTTGCTCATTGTTAACAAAGTCACCAAATCCAGGAGTATCCACCACCGTCAATTCCAAGCGGACACCATTCTCCTCGATATCAGCAGTAATGGATTGGATCTCCACAGTCTGGGGAGTTTCATGCGATAATTCCACGTTTTCCTTTGGGGGATATAGACCAGTGTTGAAGAGCGTATTCACAAGAGTAGACTTTCCAAGACCAGATTCACCTATAAATCCATCATGAAAGGGTGATCAGAGAAGGGTTACACACATACACGCATGTAGTAGTAGTCTCACTTCGCTCTCCTCCACCTCCCTAAAATCCATGCATATGACATACCGACAACCATGCAGGTAAACTGGAAACCCTTTTTTACAGACTTGCGATGGACTTGGTTGGGAAGATTGGCAAAACCAACATAGCCTTGAAGCTTCTTGCGAACAACCTGGATCTGTTACAGAAAAAGAGAGAGGGAACCAAAAAATACCCAATGTGGTCAGCTATCCTTGGTCTTTTTTTTACCCGTTCGAGTCCACAAGACGTATGCATACATACCCCAGAAGGAGGACCGTTGCTTTGTTCAGCTATTCAATAGAGGCATGAGTCAAAAGTTACGAGCGATTGAGCAAAAGACAACTCACTTGACATGATGAATGGTAATGGGCGTGAAAAGAAACCGGAAAAATGGAGAAGGGGACAAAGATGGTTTGTAGATGCTGATGCGAGAGTAGAAAGGGGAAGAAGACTGATCTGACTTGTGAGTTTCTAGGGGTTTGCTTTACGAGGAGGAACGAAAGAGAGGAAGAAGGGGTTGCACGTAGACAAGGAGACAAAGTGAAAGCATCTCACTCACCCACCCACATATACACACACACCCACACGCACACACGCACACACCTTTGAAGCTCGTCAAAGAGTGAAATGAATGGTAGGACAAATCATTGCTCTCTTTATGCTGTGTTGCCTAATAAGGTGGTAGATGGGATGCATGTACGTGCTTATCTTGGGAGCGAAACGATATGCTAGGTTGCATCATCATACAACAACAACGGTGACCATGAGCAACGACGACTGGGTATTTGACACCACGTTTGGATGAACAAGTGCTACGTTGTACCACGAGGATCGACAAGCTGCCATCATGGGTTGCACCACACACACTCACACACGACACGAACAAACCACATAAGTACAACAACGCAGGAATCAATGGAGACCTTGGCACTTGACCACGTGAGCACATGATAAACGGTTGTCATGGTATCAACTCGCATGCAGCATGGATCAATCACTATTCCTTGGTATTCGAATTTAGCATCATTGTGCTTGGCGTTGTATGTACCTTGCATGTCATGGCAACATGGTAGTAGTAGACACACTTGCTTTTTGTATCGATACATCCGCCAAGATTAGATAGCGTAGGGAGAAATGAAAAATAAACTTGGGCCGTTCAATGGTGCACCAAGAAGGCAAAAGCTTATGCTCAATCTATCAATAAACATGCATATAGTATACGCAAACATGGCGTGTTGTTGTTCTTCTTGATCATTAAATGGCTCATCCAATATATCAATCACGTTGCCGAATATGCACACAACCCTTGGCACATGAAGAAGAAATGTTTGTAGCTTTGTGCACAGTCCTTGTTCTAGTCCAAATGAAAACCGCCCTCCGAGCCGACCCAAATCAGGCCATCCGGTAGCGGGTAGGTTCATTCTCCATTTTATATATAGATATACACATGCAGCTTAGGCAAACAACGTACATGCATGTAACAAAGAGCGGCGCCATGCTCTTTGTGGGGGTTGAATGGTCCACAATGGAGCGTGTGTGTGTGAGTGTGTGTGCGTGATTGTCTCCGAAGGGAAACAAAAAAGGTATTACAGGGTCGCATATTAAACAAGCATATAAAAGGGCACTCGTCCCCATCCTCCATCCTTTTCTGTACTTTCTTTCCTTCACACACAACACACAAATACCATCATGGCAGTCATTTCATCTAAACCTTCAGTCTACGATACCCTTCCAGTGTTGGATGCTTGGTACAAACCAATCCCAAAACCAACGCCGTCATCATCCGCTGCTCACCGACAACATAATCGATCCACGCACCATAACACTGTTTCCTTTTCAAATGATCCACCATCCGTACATTATGTCAATTACAATCAACATTCAAGGTGGAATCGCCCAGCTGATAGTGGTATGTATGATGAATAGCCATAAAAACTTCCAAGACATCATAAGCTCATGATGATGATGATAATAGTGAAACTATTTGTTAAGAACATCAATCGCAGGATACGGTCATGAGCATAGAAAGGAATCATTCTCTGTATTTGTTGTATCATCAAGTGTCTAAATTTTATTTGTTTCTACCATCTTACGACGGCCCTTGCATGTTGTCAAGCTTGTATTTTCACACTTCAAGTTCACCGATTTGGAGCATGTTTGTGGTGTTACATTACACAAGCACACGATCTGGCAACGCATGGGTTGCATCGGTAGCTTTCCTAGTAGCTCGCATGAATAAATCATACCTTTGCATAATGTATCTTTTGATGGCATCCGATTGACTCGCATTTATTATGCGCATACATACATAGCACGTGTGATAGAAACCAATGCTCGTAACGAACGAGGGTATGCTGGAAAGAGTATATGATATGACCCTGATAATGCCTGTCAACCATGTAGTGTTACACGCGCACATACTCACACACAGCATAATGGATCAAAGTGGCCCCCCTTACAACTCTTGTTGTGTGCCCTTTTCCCATCAATCAGCTGATCATTGCCATTTAGAGTCATTTCTCCTTTATTAAAAGACGCTACAACGATTCAGTACTATCCTTACATACGCAACTTTTTTCCTAGTCTTAAACATGATGAGATAACCTAGCTTGCTTGACAATGGCTTCCATCAGTGGTATGCTTCGATAATCAGGAGACATGGGGCTAACGATGGCATTGGATGCAAATCCGAAACCAATCTTGTGTTCCTGGTTCCAAAAGAACACGCTACCACCATAACCAGCCCAACCATTAAACGTGATGCCATCTATTTCCAAGTGCTTGAACATAGGGAATCCTCCTCGTTGCATATGGAGCGGTATCTGAATAATCAAATCAAAAGCGGGATCCATGGGTTCAGTCGCCAACGCATAGGCAGCTGTAGAAAGCAAATCCGGTTCGCCTGATACGATCGCCTTACCACCATTGGCCATCATTGCTGCAAGTTTTGCAATCTTTGTAAAGAGAAAAGTAGCATTTTAGAATCATCATCATCATCATCCATGGAAGGGAAAACACACTTACCGAACGTGCATTAGTATAGCCGGATATCGAAGGCATTTCGATTTGGCGGTATTTTTTGTCGGTTAAAAGCTCTGGGCCCGCTGCATCAGGTCCAGGCATGCTTATGGTTTTTGACATGACCTTGGTCTTATCCTTCATCATGGCCCACATATAGCGAGCGAATCCCGCACCACCTCGTATCGTGTTGTAGATTTGGTGATGTAGAGGTAGCAAGTTAAAACGAGTGATACGATTGTCAAATTCGGGTTCGTGGGGTTTCAAATGCCATTCAATGCCATAGTCGTTCATATAGGATGCAGCTACTTGGTCCACTGTGCAGTTGGCAGTGCGCTTGAGAATCTCGTTGACATACCAACCTCCTGTTACGCCATGATAACTACGTTGGAGAGTGCCGTTGAAATTGTGTGCTTGGGATGCAAGAAGAGTGGAAAGTTGTTCTGGGTCTTGCACTTGAGCCAATGTAATGATGTTGTCGAGACATCCAACACCTGCTTCATGTCGCATCTAATATGGGTTCACATTTAGCTCTTATGCATCATTGAGGATGATTTTAGACACCTACCAAATTTCCAAGTGTCACGTTTTCTTTTTTTCCTTGTCCAAATTCAGGCCAATAGGTTGCTATTTTCTCATCATACGACAACACTCCCTTGTCAACGAGCTGTGCCACCACAATGGCTGTCTATTTTTTGAGTAAAAGGATGACATGAGCCAACAAATAAAAAGACGTAGATTATATGTATTCGCGTTAGGTACCAGCATTTTTGTCGAAGAGTACACCAAATTCAAGGTGTCTTTGGTATAAGGAACACCGCTTTCCACATCTTGCCATCCACCTTGAATGTCGAGCACAAGCTCTCCATCTACGTATGCTGCTACACCAGCACCAACATCATGGCCATCCTTGAAGTTAGCCTTGAATACTTCAATGACATGTGCGTAATCATCATGCACATGTTCCACTTGAATAGGCGCATCGGGGATTTTGAAAGGTCCTTGAGAAAAGACATGGATGGCAACGCCTGATAAAACAACTGCAACAATGGCAACAGCGTGTCGCAGCGAAAAGTGGGTGGACGATTTCATGAACAAGAGAATACGTAAAGGGAATCAATGGACCCTCAGCATTGTATTTATATGGATGAAACATGTTGTTGCACACAAATGGACCATCACGCATGGGGTAATCCGCGCCACAATGCGCTAGACATAGCCTGCCGCAGCAACAGTGATCAGGGTAACACGATGCTAGCAACCCAATGTTATGGATGGGATCACACATTTGGATTATGCAATGATGGGACAGGCGTCGTGGTTCTTGCTTGTGGATCAAGGGTCACATGTGTGGACAAAGCTAACAAACGATCCGTTGCTATGTGTGGTCTCATTGACAACAATCCGTGGACAATGTTGCATGATCCATCATCACCCAATTTGAGTAACCCATCTTCTATACAAAACAACGCCATGTGCCATTGTTGTTGATGTTCATGTTGATGTTTCTTTATTTGCATGATGGCACATCAAGTATAGGGATCCACTTTGCTAATTGGAAGATACCAAGACCATGATAGCCGTTGGTGAGAAAATCATGGTAAGGTGTGTATTCAACCATTGGCTATCATCCAAGCAAGTAGGTTGGGGTGAACATCGTTTTGATTATAATTAATTTTAGCGGGCAAGACCTCTTTGATACTATAGGATGAGCACAAGGGGGTGTAGGGTTAAAGGGAAAAGATGGCGAGGTTATGTATCGTCACGAGCGTCATCGTGTAAACACTCCTGTTTCCTTTGCATGCATCGGCATATACAACTACTCAACAACACAAAACCCTGGGAGTGGGAGCAACAACATGGTACTTTATCCCAATAGACTATAAGATGGCTACATGGTAGTAATTCTAAGATCATCAAAAGACACCCACTTATGGATAAATAAGTCTGCATTTATTGAAAACGAGAAAGAGGAAAGGGGAATAGTCTATCTATGTATGCTTGTTCGACGACATTTGCCTCCTTGCACAAGAACCTATTCAACCATTCAGGCGCCGCAACGTGCCTAGTGCAAAAAGTGAACCATGCCCTTCAAGGTCAACTTTACTTGTTCCTTCCTTCTCTCCTGCGCCTCACTTTTTGTTACTTTTGCCCCGTTCCTTCTTTTAATCTACCCCACCTGCAATCACCCTTCTTTAATAACGCACAATGAAAGCATCAGCTACCCTGGTGCTCGTGGCAGGTTTCTTGGCAGCAAGCTGTCTGGGATCATCACAACCCGTTAAACGCTCACCCGATCGCCGATATTACACCTTGCATATACCCTCATCCGAAGCCCATTTGGCCGTTCAAGCTGCAGATGCTTTAGGCGTGCAATACGAAGGACCCGTTGGCGAGTTGACAACATACTACCTCGTCAGCACATTGGACCATGAACAACTCTACAAGCGTGACCAAGCAGCAGCACCAGCAGCACCAGTACACGATCCGATCTTGGAAGCTTTCCATGCGCACAAGGAACGACGATGGATGGAGACACGAGACACAGAGAGCCATGCCTGGTGGGATAGAGTTCATGCTATGGATGCACAGGTGCCAAGACAACGTGTTAAACGGGCTGTACTTCCTGAACACCATGCAAAGCGAGAGCCACCTTTTGTTGAGATCAACCAAGGCAAGCTTACCCTCGAAGATGCACAAGAGACGCTTGGTATTCAAGATCCAGGATTCCCTCGACAATGGCATTTGGTATGGATTGGGATTGGATGATAGGAAAAAGAGAAAAGGGAGGAGAGCTATATGTATTAATGTCATGCATAGGTGAACCAAGAGAATGTCGGAAATGATATCAATGTTACTGGTGTCTGGAAACAGGGCAAGTATAATTGCCATCATGGTTAGATTTGTGTAACATGCTCATTAACCCCGGGTTATTCTAGGCATCACCGGTGAAGGTTCTATTGTTGCCATCTTGGATGATGGGTTGGATTATGAGAGTCACGATCTTCATGACAACTTTGTAAGTACGCTTTACTCTTCCTCCAATGCAATTCATTCTCAATGGGTTTGATTTATTAGTTTGCTGAAGGATCATACGACTTTAACGACCACGTTGATCTACCCAAGCCAAAGCTCTTTGATGATACGCATGGTACTCGTTGTGCCGGACAAATCGCTGCAGTCAAGAATGATGTATGTGGTATTGGTATTGCTTATGATGCCAAGGTGGCAGGTAACGTATTCTTTATACATGGGAAAATAGGCCATTTGACGAATGAAATGCTGTTTATTAGGTGTGCGTATCCTCTCTGCAGAGATTACAGATTCGGATGAAGCTGCAGCATTGAACTACAAGTACCAGGAGAATCAAATCTTTTCGTGTTCATGGGGACCACCTGATAATGGTGAGACAATGGAGGCACCTACAGGCATCTTGGCTGAAGCATTTGTGAATGGTATCAAGAATGGACGTGATGGCAAAGGATCGATCTACGTATTTGCTACTGGAAACGGTGCTATCTCTGGTGACAATTGCAACTTTGATGGATACACCAACAGCATTTATACGATTACTGTGGGTGCCCTTGATCACACCAATTCGCATCCTCCCTATTCTGAAAGCTGCTCTGCACAAATGGTGGTAGCTTATTCTAGTGGCGGTGGTGAATTCATTGTAAGTTGAAGGAGGGGGGAATTGCATCAAGGTCCAATGTGCTTATTTGGGGTCATTTACATGTATAGTACACGACCAATGTGGGTGAAAATGTATGTTCAGATCGCCATGGTGGTACTTCAGCAGCAGCTCCAACAGCAGCAGGCATCTTTGCATTGGTCTTATCGGTGCGACCTGAATTGACGTGGCGCGATCTCCAACACTTGTGTGTGCAAACAGCTATTCCTGTTGACTTGGAAGATGAGGATTGGAAAGAATTGCCTTCTGGACGCAAGTATAACCACAAGTTTGGATATGGCAAATTGGATGCATATGCCATTGTGGAAGCTGCCAAGACGTTCGAGCACGTGAATGAACAAACCTATTTGGAATTGCCAGTGGATGTGGGTGGAAAGGTTATTCCTGAATCAACACAAGTCAAAAAGGTACCACTCAAGAGCACTATCAAGGTGACTCAAGACATGGTCAAGAATGCTGGCTTGAAGCGATTGGAGCATGTGACAGCCACCGTCAATATTGAACACAAGCGACGAGGTGATATCGTGATTACTCTTCAAAGTCCCAACAATGTGGAATCCGAGCTTGCTACCATGCGACCTGGTGACAAGAGCCCTGATGGTATTCGTAATTGGAAGTTCATGTCTGTCAAGCATTGGTAAGTTTATGATGATGGATGAAGGAAGGAGCTTGTAGTAATGGATCATTGTTGATATATACAGGGATGAGGATCCTCTTGGTGATTGGTCACTTCTTGTATATGATGTTACACATCCTGAGACCAACGGCACGATGCTCAATTGGACATTGACACTTTGGGGTGAAATGGATCCAGAATTTGAAGGCGAGCCTATTCATGATCCACTCGCAGAACATAACACCACAGTATCCGATTCTCATTCCACCATTGTTTCATCCGCTGCTGCAACGAGCACGACTACATCAGAGCATGTCCCTGCACGACCTACACGTCTCAAATCTACAACTACTGCCACTCCTGCTACAACTACAACTACAACAGCATCGACTACAACCACCACATCAACAACAACAACAACTGAAGAAGAGGAAGATGAAGACACTACAACTAGTACAACTACAACAGCAACGACTGAGAATGATAGCACTGATACACAAACATCCACACCAGAGTCTATATCACCTGCGGCTGATGCTGCCAAGCAAGAAGATGAGGATGATGAGGATGATTCGACATCACAAAGCCCTGGTAGTGGAAGTACAGTTGTTTATGCATTGGTGGGCACTGGTGCGATCGTTGCTCTGGCTACTGGATTATATGTTCAAAAACGCAAATCATGGCAACCACCTGCTGGATCAGAGGCTGAACGACATCGACAAGCTGCTGCCGATTACGAGTTCTCAGTATTGCGTCGATCTGAAGAAGATGAAGTCGATGATGATGATATTACAAGCGACCGCCATGCATTGTTACCCGAGAATGACCCTAGTAGAAGGAATCGTTCATAGTACCTTGTTTACTTGTTTATAGAAAGAAAAAAAGCGTTCATGTGTTTCTATATTATACGTTTTGAAGCGGCGCTAAATGTTATGTGGCATTGTGCAGGAACGTGTGTGTAACATCCAGGAGCATTACAGTAACCCTTGGATCAAGGAGTCAGGGGATGGGGTTGGTGTTGTTGTTGTGTGCGTGATTGGGAAAAAAAAGTAGTGTGCTTCCCCCCTCACCCCTCCTATTTGCATATCTCAAAGGAGAGAGTTGACCAAGACTTTTCATCTCTTTTTTCTTTCCATTCCTTTATTTACATTCGCATATAGCTATGACAGCAGATATCATTGACGGTGAAGGCTATTCTGTTTCTTCTTCCAGTACACAGCATGTTCCTGAGCTTGTGGATAGTCGTAGTAGCAGCAGCGATATCAGCATAAAAAAGAAAAAACAACATCGACGACGCACCATTGAGATCGATGGCGACGCTGATTCCGATAAGGACCTCGTCATTTCGACCTTGACCGAATCGTTGCAAATGCACAAGGAGATCATGGAAGAGTTGCAGCGAGAAAAGGATGCCTTTGTTGCAGACTTGAAACGAGAACGTGAGGAGGAAAAACAAGCAAATCGTAAAGAGAAAGAAGATGCCCTTGAGTCAATGGAAGCTCAATTGCAACGTTATCGTCAACTTGAAGAAGCATATAGCCTTGTTGTGAATGAGCTTGAAGCCAAAAAGAACGAGTATCGAAGGATGGAAACCAGCTTTTATGAACATGTCAAGAGGTAGAAGACGATACACATTGCTTATCACTTGCATCATCACTGACAACTTTGAAACACTTACTAGCATTCGACCCACGGATGATGATTTATCGACGATCCAATACGAGATCAATCACTTGGCCAATCTCCTCAACAATCTCTGCATGAGTCTCAAGTCCAAAATGGATCGCACAGGTGGCACAACGTGTATTCTTGATCGATGGAGTAATCGAGAAGTTGATATACGACACCACTTTTTACAATCGGATGACGTCGAACGACTTGAACCTGGAGTGATTACCATGTTCACTGAAAAGATGATCAATGAGATATTGAGAGCCGAGATCTTTGATCAACCCATTCATGCTGGTGTATCCATCAATCATACCTTCAAAGAGATTTGCACTTGGATCGAGGAACGTAATACGGATTGGGCCAACCGTCTTCGACAGCAGGTGAGTGCGCTGGTAGTACGACATCCTGGAGCTGAAGAACAAGCACGTATGGAGCAATCCCTTGATACATTGGTGGATTCGATTCTTGATCATCTCACTCCCATCTATCCACGTATACGTGACACGGCAAGTCATCGCAAAAAGATTGAAAACATTGTCGCTCGTGCAGCAAGACTCAACCTTGCCATGAAAGGTCAAGACATCAACGTGTTTTGTGGATCCATTCAAGAAGAAAAAGATACCCGATTTGACAGCTCAATCATGAAACCTACGAGTCGAGGTGATCAAGATGGTCATGTTCTCTTTGTCATTTCCTTCCCCTTTATTGCTGTTGATCCCAAGGATCCCGATAATGGATTTGTCATCCCTGCCAAGGTCTTCTGTGTAGCTGATAATGTAGCTGGTGATGGTTAAGCTTGTTCTTTGAAATTACATAAACGCTCTCTTCTTTGATAAATAAAGTGAAGTGGTTGCCATGCTGAAGCTTGTAGCGATGTTGACGTCTTTCTCAATTGGGTGATTTGTCCATGGATGGGATAATCAATCACACCTATGATGAAGAGCCTTACCCATTCTGTAATTATGCATCACGCTAAGCATACATTTCATCTTTTCTCCCCGTTTATGATCACTGAAAATCACATGCTCATCTATGCACGTATAAACAAGATGAATGTTGTCACCCATTTTTACTCACATCACACATACTTTGATTGCTCACACCGTCAAAAACCGTTTTGGCAGCTAGTCGATTGAAGTTGACATCATTTGTTTTCATTCACAACGACTCATTGTGGTCATCGATGCCATAGTTTAGCTCTCACAATAATGGGATCACATTATAGTGGACTCTTCCAACCCTGCAAAATGCGCTGTGTTACACAAAGAAGTCCATCTGCATCATCGGTTCTATCAAGGTCTTCCTCATCTTCACTGAACAAAGACACTCTTCATATAGCATCACGCTTACAGCATAGGTAAAACATAAACGTGCCTGTATCTCTAAACTTTACAACGAAACGTGGGGTTTTGAATAGAGCAATGGGCTCGGCTTGGCCAACAGCACCTTGTGTGAAAGTTTCACGTTCAATGTCGCAAACAGCCCAAAAAATATTTTTTGGTCGTCGTCGTTGAAGAGGTCGACCCCTGGATCCAGTTTGGCTGGTGGCGACATTGCGAAATCTGGGATTGGCAAGCTTGATCGTGAAACTTTCGCACAAGGTGCTGTTGGCCAAGCCGAGCACATTGCTCTAATAAAAACCCCACGTTTCGTTGTAAAGTTTAGAGATACAGGCACCTTTATGTTTGTAAGCGTGATGCTATATGAGAAGTGGTCTTCGTTCATTGCCAAGTAGCTAGACCCTGGAGAGCCAAAGATGCAGAAGGACCTCTTTGGGTAACTCAGCTAAAAAGTCAGGACTTCAGGGACAATGCATGAAAGGTACGCAACCCTCACTTTTATGTCATACATTGGCAGCTAATAGCCACTTTGGTGCATTCCCAACTTTTGTGCATTCTATTGTAGGTGGACGATGCTGCTGCTCCAGACATTCATTTCCATGATTAAAGTAGGTTGATCCAAGTTGATTTGGTTGAGTTACGCTCACACAAGATTACATCGGTTGAGCTACATCGAGCGTGCTTTATGTCCAGAGTGATGTAATCTCTCTTTGACCGCAGCTCAGTCAAATCAGCTCGAATCAACCTACTTTAATCATGGAAATGAATGTCTGGAGCAGGGGCATCGTTCCCATGCAGTGGATCTCGCAACAATGATGATTGGATAAAAGTGGCCGTTAGCTAGCAATACATGCCTGTTCCTAGATGATCCATAAAGTAATTATACATTGACCCTTTCATTCATGCAAACGTAGCTGTGTTACACAACACGACCCTCTGCATCTTTTGCTCTGACAGGGTCTACCTACTTTACATTAAACAAAGACCACTCTTCATATAGCATCACGCTTACAAACGTAAAGGTGCCTGTATCTCCAAACTTTACAATCAAACGTGGGGTTTTTATTACAGCAATGGGCTCGGCTTGGCCAACAGCACCTTGTGTGAAAGTTTCGCGTTCAATGTCGCAAACAGCCCAAAAAATATTTTTTTGGTCGTCGTCGAAAGAGGTTGAGCCCCGGATCCAGTTTGGCTGGTGGCGACATTGCGAAATCTGGGATTGCCCACGATGAACTTCATACTTTGACACAAGATTCCTTTGACCCCGACAAGCACGTTGATCTACTAAAGAGCCCATGTTTGATTGTAAAGTTTGGAGATACAGGCACCTTTATGTTTGTAAGCGTGATGCTATATGAAAAGAGGTCATTGTTCATTGTAAAATAGATAGACCCAGATAGAGCCGAAGATGCAGAGGGGTGTGTTTGTGTAACCCAGCACATTATGCAGAATGGAAGGGCCAATGTATGATGTTTTTACTTGATTCAGTAACAATGCATGTATTGCCAGCTATCAGCCATTTCCTCTAAATCGGCGCTGTTGTCCATTCTATGACATGTGAATAATGCTCCTGCTCCAGATATTCATTTCCGTAATTCAATTTACCTTGATCCGAGCTGATTTGGTTAAGTTACGGTCAAAGAGAGAATACATCAACCCGTATACAGGATGCATTAGCAATCTCAACTGATGTACCCTCTCTTTGACCGTAACTCAGTCAAATCAGCACGGGTCAAGAAGGTTGAATGATGGAAGTGTTGGGCTGGAGCAGGAGCATCTTTCCATTGCGTTGGAATAAGCAACAGTTGGAAATGAGAGCAAGTGGCTATTAGCTGACAGCTTGGATTTAAATGGTGGGGTAGGCTGTTGATGAAGCGGTGTGCGTGATGCCGTCAACGTTAATCCAGGGCATCTTATTACAACGATAGACTCTTGTTGTAAATGTGGATAGCAAATGTTGCAGATTTCCGTAAAGGTGAACACCACATGGTTGTAATGTTGTTGCATAAACGTAGGTGTAAGCCTATAGTAAGATCATTTCTCCTTAGCTAAATACAGCTGAATACAACATTTACATGTAGCCGATGAGTAATCTTGGTTGGAGCGCCATCCCATTTACAGCATCTTGGTCATAAAATATACCTCTTTATCTATCCATGACATGGGCACATGAATACAATCAGTATCACCATCCAATTGTCATTGTAGCTGTGTAACGTGCCTCGTTGGCTTGCAACACCAGCAACAAGCAGTGTTATTTTTTCCTAATACACATTGCTCTTCAATGCTTGTTCTTGATAGATATGCATTCGTCCCATTGCAAGTAATACGTTCACTATCATGCATATGATCAAAGATGCTTTCCTTGTTACTTATTTCAGTTGTGGTCTTTAACACAGAAGATGACCCAGCCACGATGGTGTCAATGAGCGGGATTTGCATACTTGGTTACACAAACGAGCCTCCTCAATTCATATAGATGACAAGCCATGCTGCTTTCAAAATCAAAGGACACATGTTGAACCATATCTTGTAAGCAAAAATTTATTATAGTTCCCACGTAACGCCAAGATAGTTACACTACGGAGCCCCGACGCATTTATTTATCACACAGTTGAAAAAAAGATGTAAGCAGAAACACGGCGCTCTTCTTTTACTCCACCCATGAAACGCTCAAAGTTGCTATCGCACGGACAACACGCCATTCTCCTTAGTAGTGCGCTATTAGCAGGAGCTGCCTTTCGTATTTTCTCAAGGGGACCATTCACGCCATTATCATGTTCACTTTTTAACACGGGATGCTTGCCCGAACCACCGATACAAGTGTTACATGTCGACAACGATTATGCTCATGTGCTTGATTTATTCAAGGATAACATTGAACGTGGCGATGATATTGGTGCAGGTGTAGCAGCCTATGTCAATGGGCAGTTGGTAGTAGATGTGCGAGGTGGATGGCAGGATGTCGCCAAGGGAACGCCCTACACTGATAACACGCTGAACATGGTGTATTCATCAACCAAGATGCTGGTAAGCAAGCGGAGATGTTCCTCTCTTCTTTTGTTCACCACAACCCTCTCTATCACAGTCCGCCATCACCGTGGCTCACATTGTCGACAAGGGCGCTTTATCATATGACGAAAAGATTGCAACGTATTGGCCAGAATTCGCACAAGGCAACAAGGAGAATGTAACAGTTGGTGATTTGGTAAGAGGTCCATTGCGAGGAAGACAACGACGGCATGGGGTATTTGCTTACACTATGCTTTGTTTCTAGATGCAACACGTTGCAGGAGTACCGTTTCTCGATCGCCCCATTACGTCTGCTGAAATGGAAGACTCTGAGCGTTTCTCGAATATCCTTGCGTCTCAACGGCACATCTTTGATGGTGAAAGGAAACGAAGTTATCATGCTATTGTTGGAGGATGGTACATCAATGAGGTTCTCAAGCGTGCTGCCAATGAAACAGTGGACTCAGTGGCTGCCAAGTTCAACGACGCTTATGATATCGAATGGCGCCTTAAGCCTTATCAGCAAGAATACGATGATCGCATTGCCCACTTTTATACGCTACCTTGGTATCATCAACTCTACCATCACTTAGTTGGAGGGATGGAAACGGTCAAAACATTTTGGGAGGCATACACGGATGAATATCAGATCCTTGTCAATACGGGTGCACAAATTGGTCCCGACAGTGCTGGTCCTGATCGCATTACCAGTTTACGCTATCGTCGATTGGAAGGTCCCGCCTATTCAGGTTTCACCAATGCTCGCTCGGTAAGATTTTGGAGGGTACATTGCATTGAAAGCAATACTGATAGATATCTTTTCATAGGTTGCTAAACTTGCAGCCATGATGGCCAATGGAGGAAAAGCGATCGTACCAGGAGAACCGGATTTGCTTAGTGCTCAGACGTATGCATTGGCCAGCGAACCGATGGAAGCGGAATACGATATGTGTATTCGCATGCCTATTCGTTCTACGCGTGGTGGATTTGCGGTTTTCGATCACATGAAGATTGGTGGGCTTGAGTTTACAGGGTGGACAGGATATAGTGGAAGCCTCTTTTTATGGAACGAAGAGTACAAGGTTGGATTTGGCTATGTCCCAAATGCGGTGCATCTAGACATGCCTCCTGATCGAAGAAGTCTTCGCCTGTTGGAAGCCATTGCCAGCCAAGCCAAAGCGAGTAGGATATCCACGTGATGAATAAAGGAATATTATCTTATGCATTGATTCAAGTGTTGTGGTGGTATGGACCTGGTATATAGAATGGATGGGCGAATAGCTACAAGATGAATCATAGTGCCTTTTCATTTTCATGCACACGTGTAGTATTAGGTCGTTTTGAATAAAAAAATATAGTTTTATGATTTTGGAAATACGTATGATAAGATAATGATGAGCTACGTCTAGAGGTTATTCCTGCGACAGCATGTTGCATCGTTTGCATAGGCGCTCTTTGTTGATTGACGTGTGCTGGGAGGAATGTCAATGCCGGGATTACCAAGGAAAAAGTTGACAGGTTTGAGCATGATACCACAGGTCTCTATTGGCATGATGGGGAAGTCCTCGACACGTGGTATATGGGTGATGCCAAAGTTGAGCCAGCAAACAATATCGGTATCACGCACATTTTGAGTCTCCTTTGTCCATTGAGGCAGGCCCAAGTTCTCGCTTGGTTCGCTTTGATAGCAGTAAAAGCCTCCAGGGAAGCGTTGTTGGTCGTTATGAGGCGTTACCCACAACGTCTTGCTTGCAAACATGGCACGCTCATAAACAATGGATCCAGGCTTTGGCAAGAGAGGTGGTGTAGGATGAGCCATCATTTTAAATCCCACAGGCTGCTTGGCATATGGATGGATCTTGCTCTCGTTAATAATCTTCCATGTTCGATGACGCTCAATGCTTGCCATGGTCTTGGCCTCGTCAGTGGTATTAAACACCTTGGTCACAGGATAGAATGAATTGCCAACGCTATTGTGTGGATGACCCACAGGCAAGTCTGAAGCAACAACATCGACCTCGGCAACGGAGTTGTTTGGACCATCCACCATTGGATCAATGCGCATGCTGAATAAATGTTGATGATGTTGGGCATCCACTTGTGGTGCAACAATGGTTCCATAAGGCGCAGCATCCTATTATTTGGCGTAGCAGCATTAAAGTTAGATCATGTGGTCTTTGTCAACAATGATAAAAAGGGGTGTTTACCTCATCAGCTGCAAGTACTTGTGTATTCAACTCGCCCGTAGCCTTAACTTCATATTGAATCGTGCCATCTTGATAAAAGTAGTAGTACAGCCCATAGTCGTAGTTTGCAGCTAATGATATCCCCCATGAAAGTTAGGTCCAAATACCAATAATGACACCTTCCCACATTCACTTACCGGTGACAATATGTGAAATGACAAGCCGACGTGACCGAGCAGAGTGTGCTTTGCCAGTACGATAATCAGAATGCTTGAACAATAAACCAGTATCCTCTTCATGGATGCAAATGGCATTGGGAATATGCCAAGGGTCACCATTGAGGTCACTCAGCACGGCATCCAAATAACAAATCTTGCCAACACAATCACATCCAAGCTCAAGGGAGTTTGTAAGGTTGCCAAGGCCGTATTCACCAACGTCAAAAGCCATCTTGTGATTGTAAGGCTTGTATGGGTTTGCATAAGGAACCACCATCTCAGCAAGTGACATCCGGTAGATAATAGGACGCACAGTTCCATCCATATCACGGTAGCTCAAGTTATTGATCACCAAACCTTCCCGATAATTGAATGACAAATGCATGTCCCATTTTTGCCAATGCAGCTGATGGCCATCACGAATAGAAAAGCTGACTCCTTGGGGTTGTGTAATTTCGATGGGCTTGATGTCTTTGCGTAAACGATCCTCACCCAAGTGCTCCGGCAAAAAGTGATGGTTGGCCATGGGGATTACAGGTCGCTCAAAGCTGCTGTTACGGCGTTTGGATACCGCAATATCGATCACCTTTTTTGCATTGAGGTCTGCATGCATATGTTATCAGCCATCTGATTCCAATAGGGTCCTGAAAATCTTTAGCTCTTACCATAAAGAGGGTTGAAATCGAGAGGATGTGCATATTGGTTGTCATTGGGCGAGGTGCGTGCATATAGCAATGCTTGTACTAAACGTTTCCCCTTGATCTCGTGATAACCCACTCCCCAAGGGTCTGCATACACCATCGACATGTCGGTGATACCAAGCTGCCGGCATTGCTCTTTCACACGCTCATCCTTGAGGATTTCCCTTTCGGCCTCCAGCATCTCAAAAACGTTCACAGTGGGTTGTCTACCCTCAACCTTGTTCCAGCTTGTAATCTCATTCTTGTTCAAGTTCACAGTTATCTCGTGCACTAGGCCAGATGGACGATCAATCAACACAGCAAAGACCTCACGATCAATGGAAACAGGCTTGGGTTGAGATGATGACTTAATCCATCCAAGGTATAACATCATTTGCTGTTTGGCAGGCTCCTTGAGTGTCAAAGAGTTGAAAACATAGGTTGTATTATCTTGGCCACGTTTTTCTCGGATGATGGCAGCTGCACTACGTATCTCATCAGCTGAAAGGGGATCCAAAGGGTGAGGTTTAGTGGTAGAAGAAGAAGAAGACATGATCTTGAAAGTAGTAGTGATATGAGGGGCACAACTTCTCTTTTTCCTCTCTTTTATGTGTTTTTAGGGGATATGCGTGTGAATACTGTAAATTATGTGTGTATGCGTCCGTGCATGTGTGAGTGTCGAGTATGTGTAACAAGGGACGAAAATAGGGATAACCGGCACCACGGATCATATCTCTCCCTTTGACAAGATAAGCTGTTCTTCTTTTGCGATAAGGGTTAAGTATCTTTTCCGGCATCGTGGTAGCATACGTGCCTTCCGGATTTCACATTTATTTGCTGCATACGTTGGTATTTGTCCACAACCAATTTTAACCCTTTGAGCAATATGATAGAGCATGATACGAGCATTGTGGTGGCTGTGTCATTGCCCATTCTTGTGGATCGACGTGTGTGTGTGGAAATGCTTTGTGTAGTGTGTGAATGTGGGGGATCAAGTATCAGCCAATCACCATGCACGTCTACCTGATTTCCGATGCGAGTTATACAAGACGTTTGCGCGTGGCATGATAGCCATCAATGAACCTCTCAGCTTTTATCACACTATGGTTGTCCATCATTGCTTCATACTACATGCTGTGATCGCACACAAAGAATAGCCCAAACGTTTGGATCCATGACGAGGATGCTGTTTGTTCTTTGATGCGAAACATTAAAGTGCTCATTGTACTCTCCTCAAAGAGGACATGTTGATTTCATTGTTTGGAATGGTAGATCATCATTCGCATGCGTCAAGTTCGGCTAACTTTAACCGGATATGATGATAGAGGTCTTCTAGTCGGGTATGTCTCTTGCTAGCTTTCCGATTGGGGAGCCTAGTGTTTGTGATCCGCATTGACAACATGCTTTGTAAAGCATCATTGAAATGTACAACACACAAAAGATGCTAAAATGGATGAAGCCAGGACATTGGTACACTAGTGTGCAACCATCACTCATTTCCAATCCCACGTCTTTGCCTTGGAGCAATATGAATGTGGCCATTTGTTTATTACAGAGGCTCTGTGGATGAAGGTAACATTGATATTCAACATGGTTGGGCCATCACCAGGGGAAGGGTGTTATACCTAGAATGGTGGTACTGGTGGCAACGGTGGCAACGGTGGTAGCGGAGGGAACGGTGGAAGCAAAGATCCTCCAAACCATGGTGGAAAGCCAAACCATGGTGGAAACCCAATGATGTCGTTACGATCATGGCCGTTTGAAGGCTCGCTGAGATCTTGGTGGTACATGGGTGCAGCACTGGCTAGTCCAACAATGATGACACTAGTGACAAAAAGGATGATCTTCATATTGATTTGGGCAATACAACAACAATGGATCCCAAGTATGATCATTGGCATCCTTTTTGTATCTTTCATAAACGCAACTTGTTTATCGCTGATAAACGATAGTCACTTGTACGAGGAATTCTCAGAACAACTTTTGGTTGATAAATGGTTTATGTATGTAGTATCCAATCCACTGACATCATTTCATTTACGGGATGGGATGAATGAAGGGCATTGACTCTGATAATTGGCATGCTTCTCACACTATGTTCACATGTTTTCAAATGATTAATATCGATATCCATTTATTATGTTATAGCAAGCACAATAGTAGATACGCGGGGGAAGGCTACATTGTAAAATCGAATGGCACAAGCATGTGTGGAGCCAAAGTCGATTTACTGAGACTGCTAATTTTTATATGGCACAACAAGGATTATCCATTGACACTTCTTTGTCCCGCCGACAAACACAACAGCAATGAACTCGCTAGGTATTCAACGTTTCCAATCTTGTATCCACGCACGTCCGAATGCTGATAATCGCCATTAGCAACAGTCTTCCGAACAGCAATGCGACCACTTGCTGGATCGAGCCGTTTGACATCCATGCAGGCCATGAGGTACAACGAGCAACAATTCAACGCACTATCTATCACCATACCGCCATACTAAGTCAATCACGATACTACCTTCTATTCGTAGCTTTTCTACAGGAGCACGTCGTTTTGCAGAGCAACCACAAACTTCAAGACCTGATGTGGGTGCCTCTTCTCTATTCGACAATATCAAGGTGGAAGCGGATACTGCTGAGGAAACCACCCAAAAAGCTGTGCAAAAAGAAGTATGTTGTTATTTGCATCGTATGGCTGTATGTGGATGACTCATCCCATTGTTCATAGTACAAATGGTCATCTGCCAATATGAAAACAAGCCCTCGTAAGCTCAACATGCTTGCACGACAAATCCGTAACATGCCTGTGGATGAAGCTATCAAACAAATGGAATTCTCGCCCAAGCGTACTGCCAAAAAGATTATGCACAACTTGGCATTTGCTCGCAAGAACGCCAAGGATCAATTTGGAATGGAGAATTTGGTTGTTGGTAAGTTTGGAGAAAAGTGATGGGCACGTGCACACATTGGATACGTGCTAACCATCATGGTCACAATGGCTATAGCACAAGCGTGGGTTGGCAAGGGTCGTTACATTAAGCGTATTCGGCCACACGGTCGTGGTCAATTTGGTATCATGCATCACCCTGAAGCACACATCAAGTTTTTGCTCAAGGAGGCACCCAGCAATGATGTTGAAGACAAGGCTTCTCGAAGAAATATCCGTGGATGGAAGGAATCTCGAAAAGTGTGGACCCCCTTGAAAGAGGACAAGCCCATTTACAACCCAAAGGCCTTTTACAATTGGTAAACATATGTTACTTATAGACTCAACTTGTATAAATCACTCTTTTAAATTGCATTATCGGACCATGGATAAGGATGAGTTGGGAGATGGGGACACAATGAGTGTATATGATCTTTGTTCATGAGAACACATGGATGTTAATTGCTCCTTTGTGATATATTGACCCATTGGCAGTTGTACGTGAGATTCTTTCAAGCACTGTTACACGTGATCACCGATCCCTCTGTATTCTGATGTCAAGGGTTACATAACAAGGGGCACTGCAACCAACATGAAAGAAGTGGCTCGCTGTAGCCGACCATTTAAGGTTCGAATGTTATGATCTTCTTCATCTCTATGGTTACCTATGCATTGGGATCTACTTCACCTATTGGAGGATCGATCATTTTTGGTGGTGTACAATTGATTGCTTGAAACAATGAGCACAAGAAGCGAGGTTCCCATTTACTGGGTTATCGTTTGGGCCAAAATTAACCAGCTTTCTGATTCATCCGATTCAGAGTCATGATTCGGATTACGGCAATCTTTATTCGAATCATTTTATAGTATACAGCAGGCATCTAAGTAATCTCTTGCACTATGATTTATGCTTTCATGGGGCTCATTATGGTTATGAATGGGACGTTGTTTAGATCAGCCATTGACCTTACTTTACCATTGATGATCAAGAGGAAAAACACAAAAGTACACAGAGTTTTGTAACGAATGGGTGATAGAATCTAGTGCTACATCAGTGCATTGACCATCTTGCAGTTACACATACCATGATGCCATCATGTTGTGATAAAAAGATGCCAGCCAAAGGTATCCATCCACTCATGAATACAGGATGTATATCTTTATTTGTTCAACTACGTGTACAAAGCAAAGGTGAATGGTTCAATCCTTAAGGTGGGAAGGTAATACTGTGCACAACACTTGTAATGATGATATGACAAGAAAGGTGTTCTTTATTTGTACATGAATGGGGATCGTCATCGATAAACATGGTTATCAGGAGGTGTGTGTGTATGTGTGTGCACTTTTAAAATTGATCTTTGTGTGTGTTGGTATAGTAGCGGCGAAACAGAACGAGACACCACCCCTCCTCCCTTCTCCATACTTGCTCTTTTTTCTCCCATACACACGCCTGCCATGGATTCCGATTCATCCTACTCTGACTTGACGCATCGATACAGTCCGCCTACTCCAGTCTCGCAATCCACGGCCTTTCATTATCGTGGTCACCAGCAATCTACAAGAAATAATAACAACGCTTCCCATGGATCTCCATCTCACCATCTTCCTGGTGTCAGCGACCTTGCAAACATCAAGGCAGACTTAGAACGAGTCCTTACACGTGCTGAAACTCGATTGCGCCATTTACGTAAAGACTTTGGCCACTTGGACAAGAACGTCAAGGTGCGGGAGACTGGTGGTAAGAGAGAGAGCGTGTGTGTGGAGAGTGTGTGTTGTGTGTTGTATGCGTGGGTGGGTGGATGCATATACGAGGATATCAGTAACACCATCATGTTGAATATCGAATAGGTGGTAATGAAGGGAAAAAAGCAGCCGGCAGTGGTTCTGGTAAAAACGTCAGTGTCATGATGGAAAAGATGCGCATGAAACGGGAATCCAGTAAGTCTCTCTCTCTCTACACATTATCATTTTGTTGCACACATCTAACTTTGTATGATTTAGGTGAAGATGCATATTCACCAAGGCAAGGCCAAACCGATCGACAAGCGTAAGTCATTTACTTTGATCCACAAGGGAAGGGGAGGATGATTAATCACGTTTAACAGGGCATTGGAAGCTTTGAGGCAACGTCGACGTAGAGATAGCAGTACAGAGATCGATACAAAGCATGGCAAGTGGTTACTTGGATGGCGAGTTCGAGAGGATGGGAGCTAATTGGGTATTTGTAGCTCGTAGTGAATCGCCACATCACATTGTCAAGATCAAAAAGTTGGATGACGCGCCTTCGATAGTGACACGCAGTGTATCTCCACCAGCATCTTCTGGAAAGCACCATCTACCAAGACCACATGAGGTACATTTATCATTTGTTACTCTATCTTTGATATCCTAACATGTTGTTAGATGAGTCAACCCAAAAAGAAAAAGTCATCAAAGGCATCATCACGTGCAAATGGAGAAACACACGGCAAGCATCACAAGGCAAAAGCAGCACATCAGGAAGAGCTCGACTTTGTGCGTGTAAAGGCCAAGGATCAAGTGCCTGTAACGACATTTTGGGGTGCTATGGACTATTATTTCCGTCAACTTACTGAAGATGATCGCAAATTTCTATTGGAAAAGGCAAGTGGTGCGTTTGTGGACATCCATGTATATGTAGCTAACTGACGGGTTTACTTAGGGCGATGATGTGAAGCCATTTCTTATACCTCCGCTTGGACAGCATTATTTAGAGACATGGGCCAATGAGGAAGCCAACGTAGTCCCACCTACTACTTCTTCACAGACACGTGGACGATCCAATTCACCAGCACCCAGCAACAACAACCGCATTTCTTCAGATCCTGATATATCCATGACGGGCAATGGTGCCTCCTCTTCATCAGAAGCATTACCACCGCCACCACCAGAGCGAGCACGATATCTTAAACAAGGCGAGGCCATCACCGACGATTATTTATTGACCGATGATTTGAGCTGTGGAAGTTTGACGGAGCGATTATTGAGCAGTTTGGTATTGGAAGATTTGGTGGATGTGAGCGATATCAGAGCCATGGCCGGAAGTGAAGATGAGGATGAGGAGGATGATCCTATGGATACGGATTCAGTGTCTTCTTATTCGGGTGGGCGTACGATCACTGAACTTGCTCCTGATCCACCTGAGGATATCGTTGATTTCGAGGAACGACTCAAACGTGAGCTACGCTATGCTGGTCTTTTCACGGATGATGATGTAGGTGTCATGATGGATGGGTGTAGGTTGCCATGGCAACTAACATTTCATTATCTCGTAGATTGATTGGAACGCACGAGAAGATGATGAGATTTGTGCCGAACTACGAAAGCTGGGTCGTGAACTAGAGGAGCAATCAAAGGTCAATGAGCATAGGAAATCAAAGCTGCTTGAAGTCGTCGATCAACAACTACAATATGAGCAATATCGAAGTGTGCTGGACACCTACGACCAACAAGTAGAGCAATGCTATGCCAAACGATTCGTAAGTAGCAATACAAACACCTACATCAAACAAGCATGTATTGACTTTTTTCTTCTATAGCGAGTGCAAAAGTCCAAGAAACGTAAAGCGACTGCCCCAAGAGCTGTGTTGTCTGAAAATACAGTTAATGCCATGGAGAAACGACGCACGTGGAAAACTGAACTTGGTCCATTGTTTGAGGATAAGAATATGACCATGCCCACCAAATCAATATACAATGATGAGGATGATGATGAAGAAACAACACCTGCTACCGATACACCACAAGAAAAGCCATCCAACAACAATAACACCACCACGACCACCACCATCAAAAAAGAGGATCAATCTTAAGCACCTTTTTTATCGCCCTCCCTTATTGTCATCATCAAGCCCGTATTCCCTTTCAACACCATCCTTGTCCATCACTTTCTTATATGTAAATGTTTGTCTTTTCCTGTCGTCTGTTCCCTCCGTTGTAAATGTATCTTCCTATAATAATTTCTCATTTCCATGATCTTTATAAGTTTTAAGCATAGTTTTATTTGTTGTTGCAATGGGGGTGAGGTGATACAATTGGAAGAAAAAAGTACAATGATTGAAAGTTCTTTTGGCCGAGACCATACATCATAATAGATCACAAGATGGTTTGATGTAATATAGTATGGTGGCTGCAGCCGGTTCATTTGGAAATATAAAATGATGCATGTGGGCTTATATGTGCTATCGGGCCTGTAAACATACAAGGACAAGCGAGTAGAAGAAGAGGAACGAAAGTACTTTGAAATGCTCTTTTGTGTGTGATGATAACTATGATGATACTAATATAAGAGATGGAAGTGGGTATATATATATGTAAATGAGGGAAAGAAAGGAATAAATAAGTGGGCTTATAAAACTGTGGATTGTCGTTTCTTGTGAAATGAAAGCACCTTTTTGATTTTCTTGGAGAAACCACGTCGCTTGAGTGAGAGTCGTGAAGCTGCGCGTCTCAAGCTTCCACCATCTTCTCTTGAAGAAGAGATTGTGCTTTCCATGTTGGGTATAGGTGGTGGTGGTGGAATGCCTGATGATAAACAATCTTTGGATTTGGAATGCATAGCAGATGTTGGAGTTGGGGGCATGTTAGAAGATGAGCAAAAAGAGGTTGTCCCGTCAGCCGATGAGCTGTCATGCATCACAGGTGGCACAAAGCTACTTTGACGTCGTTCGCCTTCTTGTTGTTGTTGGGTATTATCGACAGACCGGCTGCTGTTATGGGTGATGGCACTGCTATTGCAGCTGCTATGATGGCTCGTTGAACGAGTAGATGGACGTTGTTGATAATGAGGATCTTTGGGTGGCACCATAGGTGCGGGTCGCGGAGGAGGAATGGGGATTTCGATGCTTCCAACCACGGAACAATGTGTTTCGGATACTGCATTTGATACTATAGAGGATGCATATTGCTTGGCTTCGGCGTCCTCTTGGTCATCTTATACATACGAATAAGCACAAGAGAAATGGCTAGATTGTTCTATCATTATTACATACCTTGTTCATCCGTATAGCGTACAGGAGAAGAGGGTGGTGGTGATGCTTTGGGTCGTTCCCAAACTTGTTGTAATTGGAGTGGAGATGATAAACGAAGCATGTAAATGAAGGATGGTTGAAAAGAAAAGAAAACAAGAGAAAGAAATGGGCCCGACTGAAAACGTTCCACTTTTAAAAGCAATCAAGGAAACAAGGGGAATGTGTGTGTGTGTGTTGTGTGTGTGTAAGTATGTGCATGCCCCAATCCGCATCAAGATGATGTATTTGGGATACACAAAAGTCGCCGCTTGTCTGGGTCATGCGTGTCATTTTGTTTACAGTTGCTGCATCATCATCAAGGCACATTTGCATTGGGGGTTGGTAAACTCTTGATCACCGCCGCAACACCTCCTGCTCCTGCTGCTGCATATGTATACAACCACCGCCCAGCCATCCTTTTTGAATAATGACCACCCCCGCTCACCAATGAAATACATTTCCATGACAATTGGTTTCGTGTAAATGAGATTGGAAACATGAATTATGTGCGTGTGTGTGTCATTCAGCCACATGTAAAATGGGTCATTGTTTACTTCTTTACTTCATCAACCTGACACAAGAGTACACGTGCATCTACCAATTGATTCTCTTCGACACGCATAGTTACGACGCCTTCATGACGACTGAGAAGCTTGACCTCGGTCTTCATCGATTCAATCGACAACAATGGATCGTTCTTTTTGACCACGGTGCCACTGGGAGCCAAGATTTTAAGAATACGGCATGGCATGGATGATGTATAAGGTGTCACTAAAGGGGGAGCTCACGTGTCAACTGAATTTGTTCCTTTGTATCATCATCCAAAAATCTTACCTCGATCATCTTCAGCTTGTGCATCAGATGTCTGCAAACGGTCAAACTTGGCTAGCTCGACAGGATAACCTTGAACAAAGTCATGCACAAAGTAGATCTTTTCATTGATGTCTTGAATGTGCTCTGCCACGTAAAAATAGCGTTGACTACCATCTTGATGATGATGATGATACAATTAGTGCTTCACATTCTTCCTCTTTCACCCCTTTGAGTTTCATCTTTTTAACCTACCGATGCTGCAACGCACCAACCCAGCACATCCTTGTACCCCCTCGGGACCGGGAACTGCAGTGCCATATTGTGCATCATACAACACAACTTGAAGACCAGGGCCTTCATTTTTTTCCTCGGATAGCTTGCATTGGAATTGATGCGACTTTTGTTGTTGTCCCTGATAATTGTATTGGATCTCTACTTGCTCTTGGTTGTTGACAGTGTATTTCTTGCTAGGCACTCGCCACTTGACATTGCGCCAGTTGGGTTGAATATTGCGCAAATGAACGCGTTGCGACTTTTGGACGATCCATTGGAATAATGTGGCGGCCACCACGCTACCTTGTACATCGGCCAATTGACGCTTGGGGAATAACTGCTCACGTTCCAATGGGATAAAGTTGGTATCAAAGGTGCCAGATTGGAAGCGTGCATTGTTCATGATACTCAATAGGAACTTTTGATTCGTAGTAACACCCAAAATCACCGTACGGGCCAAGGCTGCAGACATGCGGCGAACTGCTTCAGCACGTGTAGGAGCATGAACAATGATCTTGGCAATCATCGAATCATAGAACACGGTGATCTCGGATCCTGTGATGGAAAAAAAAGGGTCATTAGCTTGCTTGTTTGCATCATTCACAAAAGCCCATTTAGTACATACCATCCTCAACACCCGTATCAAAACGTACACCAGGAAGACCAGTAGCAGGACTCCATTTGCGAATGAGACCTGTACGAGGGCTAAACTCATTGTCTGGATCCTCGGCGCACAAACGCACTTCAATGGCATGGCCCTTGAATGGGATGTTCTCAAGAACACCAAGCTCCTTGAGGTTTACACCTTTAAAGAAAAAAGTCAAACATCCATCCATGTATGAATAAAAACCATCACTTACCCTGAGCAACCAATAATTGCAATTCAACAAGATCCAAGCCTGAGATACATTCAGTAATGGGATGTTCGACTTGCAAGCGCGTATTAAGCTCCAAGAAGTAAAACTTTTTGGTTTTCTCATCCTAGGGTGATGTATTAATGAAACGTCGATTCAAGTACAATCATTCTCTTTCCTCTTACCAAAATGAATTCGGCGGTACCAGCACCGAGGTAACCAAGTTTGCGACACAACTCAACAGCAGCACCGGTCATGGCCTTACGCAATTCAGGGTCCACGGCAGGTGATGGCGTTTCCTAGTTATGTATGTATGAGCTCCATTGTACACACATGTCTTTATGCGTTGTTGGTGTAACCTACTTCGACAACTTTTTGATGTCTACGCTGGACTGAGCAATCACGTTCATTGATGTGGTATACATTTCCATATTTGTCACCAAAAACTTGGATCTACGCAAAGATGCATTGTTTGTGAGACCCCGTGTGAACCCCATTATTAATATCCCATTTCCCTTTACCTCAACATGGCGAATACTTTCAAAGTATTTCTCAATCAATAGCTTATCCGATCCAAAAGAACGCAACGATTCACCCTTAGCTGCTTCAATCTCTTCACGTAACCTAGGTAAAATCGCTCATAAGTATGTATTCGAATGACTTCCTTTGTATCCTACTTACTTGCTGGTATCATAAACAGCACGCATACCACGACCACCACCACCAGCAGAAGCCTTGAGAAGAACAGGGAATTCTATAAAAGGATCATCATCAGCATTTATACATCACCTGCTGTAATTGCAATTGAATCCATACCAATGCGCTTAGCTTCTTGTTCGAGACGTTCAACACTTTGATCATCGCCATTGTATCCAGGGATAAGGGGGATAGTAGGTGCATGTGCTTTGATAAAGTTTTTGGCGGCACTCTGGATGATGATGATCACATGATCAATAAAGGAACAAAAAGAAGCTGATGAGAACTACTGTTTACCTTGTCACCAATGGCTCGAATGGAATCAGGCGTGGGACCAATAAAGTTGATGCCAGCTTCAAGCACCTTTTGAGCGAAATCAGCATTCTCGGACAAGAAACCATAGCCAGGATGAATGGAATCGGCACCCGAACGTTGTGTTAGTGCAATGATCTTGTCACCGTCGAGATAGGATTCTGCTGCAACGGATGGACCCAAATGGTAGGCTTCATCAGCAAGACGCACAAAGGGAGCATTCTCATCACTATTGGATTGGATTGGGTTGGGTTAATTCATTGTGTGGGTGGGTGGGGGATGTGCCCTGAAAAGAGAAACAATACCTGTCAGAATAGACAGCCACTGTAGCAATGCCCATGCGACGGCATGTGCGAATGACACGACATGCAATTTCACCACGATTGGCAATGAGGACCTTGTTGATGACTTGAGGAGCCATTAGAAGAGGACGAGAGGAAAGCGAGAAAGAAAAGTAACCCGTTGCCTGATGCGGTGGAAATGCGCTTATGGATCCGGCATGATTACCCCACACACCGACTTTTTAAGCTCAGTCCTTCACAAAAGCATGTGCGGTTTTAATCAACCCCATGTGCCAGCCAACGACAACGTCCACTGTATTATCGGTTTTCTTGTTCCCCCCCCCCCATCCCACTTGTCCATATGAAAACTAATCCATGCGTGAGACAAATACTGTTTCCACTTAGTTGGGGTGTTTCCTTTGTATCCATGCCAACAACATCCATGATCACCATGACCACCACCACCACAACCAACTACTACTCCCCTACTGTTATGATTACATAATTTTTATCCCACATCATATACTTTGGCATGTTCATGATGTCAAGGGCATTGATCAATGTCTACTTCCCACGGCATCATCATGCATGCATACATCCAATCAACCAATTTGAAAACAAGTCAACGGTGAATCATGTGGGTGATTTATATATCTAGGGTACGCGATAAAAAGGACAAATAAATACGAGGAGGGGGCTTAAAGGATAGTAGATGGCATACAACATGTATGATAATAGTGTGTCGGTCAATGGACAAGATGAAAATGAGGAAAAGAAAAACAATGCATGAAAGAGAACGTGCGTGCGTGCGTGTGTATAGGAGTATGGGGGTAATCTTAAAAAGAATGGCAGGGCATATCATGAAGTGGGGGAAATCTGAGAGATGAGGGAATAAAAAAGATGCGGTATTAGATCGGGCTTGAAGGGGGTGTCTCTTGTTGAGAAGAAGAAGGTGTTGTGGTGACCGATGACCAGAATCGACCATAAAAGCTGGCTCGTTTGTTTGCCTTGGAAGGATCGTAACTCCTTCGTTTCATTTGTTGTTGTGCTGCTGAACTTGTTGCCGTTGCTGTGGGTCGCTTAGCAACGCCAAATGTCTCCAATTCAGCTATATGTAATTTAGCATCCGCAAGGAGTTGTTCAAGTTCATGACATCGTTTCTCGGTGTGTGTGGAACATGTTGCTTCATTGGATGATAAAGAACGATTGGCCATCAAAGGTCGCTGTGATCGTTGTTGCTGTTGCTGCTGCTGTTCCTGAATCTTGTAAAGTGTCTTTTCATGTGCACGGACCGTCTTGTGATGATCGCTTTCCATTTGCTCCATCTTGTTCTTCATATTGACCATCTTTTCAATAAGACCTGTTTGAGCTTCTTTGGCCATTTGATTCTGATGTTTCAGCTCTTCGTTTTGTTGTTGTAATTCAAAGTTGGATTCTTTGGTCTTTGCAAGCTCTGAACGTAACGTCGCCACATCATCAGGTTGTTGTTCAAGACCCATCATCGTCATCTTGAGAGCATCTCTTTCCGCTTCCACATCCATCTTATCCATCTTGATTTGCACGAGCTCTTGTTTCACTTGTAAATGTTCATTCTGGATCTGTGATAGTGCCAAAAGCAGGTCTTCGATTTGTTGATGTAGCATAGCAACATCTTGCCCTGGTGGTGTTGTGGTGGTTGTTGATGTGGCAACGGTAGTTGCTGTTGTTGTGGTAGTGCAAGAGCTCTCATCGGTGGAGCTGGATGATGATGATGAAGCACGCTTTCGTAACCAGCTACTCGATTCACGTTTCTTTTTCTTGGATGTCGTAGCAGCAGTGTTGTTGTTGTTGTTATCTGATGATTGCTTTGACCAAAAGTTGAAACGAACAGCGAGGACTTGCTCCGTTTGCTTTTGCTCTTGTTCAACTTCTTTGAGATAGAGCTCAGCCAAATTGTCGATCTTTTCACGCGTGATCAATCCACTAAGCTCCATGGCGTCATTAATCATCATGCTGGCGTCATCACTGTATGCAAGGTGCAACTTGGAGGTGACAAGATCAAGGATATCCTCAAATTCAGTCATTTCCAATAGCTGATCTTGGGATCGTTTCAATAAAGCAATGGCTATTCGCATAATCGTTTCAGCTGCTCCTTCGGCAAAGATGATGTCGTAGATACGCATGACAAGCGAAATTGGAAATGCATAAGCGAAGAGTGTCAAGAACCATTGTGAGGCGTACATGGGTGCATGAACGGAATGGTTGGCAAGATGATCTGAAAGCTCGGGCAAGATTTGCGCCAGCAGACTGCTGAATTGATACAATCGTAGCTGTAATCCTTCCATGTTGAGCGTGAACATGGTTCGCATCTCGTATGTTTCCATCAATCGCACAAAGACACAAAATGCTTGTTGTTCAGGCATCTAAAAATGCAGAGTAAGCAGGTTGCTCATTTACTTTTTGAGATATGTGTACTTACATTCATCAATAAAGGACCCACGAGAAAAGCAAGACCTTGACAATAACCAACATGCGAATCATACAAGCTATAAGCCTTGAGGACGCGTTCGAGTGCTTGTTGACCATCACCTCCTTCTTGTTTGAACATTTCAACACTGGGAAAGGTGCGTGCAAGATCACGTTGAATGATACGTTCATAAGGTGAATGCTCGGCTACGAGTTGGCCATAAACGGTTTCGAGATGTAAGGACGCACTCTGAGACATTGCCTATTTGAATGATTTGCATAAGTCGGTGTTGGGATTTTCAAGGGGAATCAATATAGTACACATACTTGCCAAATGACACCTCGAAGCTTGGAAGGAATACCCGCTTTAAGTTTGGCCGAGAGTAAATGAGGTAACTTTGTAGCAACAGCACCAAAGTCATCAATCAAAGCTGTCCAAAACTCCCAATCGATATCCTCCTCAGAGCTGTTGTTGTCGGTAACCAGGTTCTGCATAGTCGACAAGTGCGCCTTGAGCTCATTAGACTGTATACACACCGACTTGGGATCCTCATCGAGCATAGCATTCTGTCGTTCAACTTGAGCAATAATAAACTCAATGGAACCCTAATCATGTCCATAAGTGGTCGTCGTCATTGGTGTCAATGCGTGTTTAGTCTTTTACCTGGGGTGGCAAGTTGGCATTCTCTTCTTCAAGGCGTGGTAACAATCGCACATCTGACACGGCTTTGTTGATGCTGCCATGACCAGCGTTGGAAGCTGTTCGACGTCGTTGGTGAAGCGTCATACTGGGAGCTCTAGTTGGAGTCGGTCCCATACCAAAGCTTGTTGTACGTAAACGACGATGGTGTTGAAAAGGAGTGCTTTTTGAGCTATTCAGGGCAGCAGAAGAAGATGTTGCTGTTGATGATGATGATGGATCAATATGATGCTGTTGTTGTTGTTGTTGTTGTTGTTGGGTTCCCACTGTTGCCTCCCGTTGCTGCCAGGCACCCGCTAATTTGGATGGTGATGCTGGTGGAGATAAGGCAAGATCATCATTGGGAGGCATCTTGATGATAATAAACAAGAAAGAGAGTTAAAGGAAATCCGCATGGATGAGCTAACTTTTTACACACACAAGATGTTGTAATTCCCAATATGGTGAAGGATCTTTCTTCTTGCGTAACAACAAGTATGCAACCCCAAATCTGTCACTATGTTGCCCGCCAACTTGCCTTTTACTCAGAATCAAAAGAAAAAAGAGACATGCTCCCCTTAAAAATCCTATCCTCGTGGATAAACAAGGAGAACAAGGAGGGTGAGTGAGAGTGAGCGGGTGTGTCTGATAGCTTGAGTCATGTTTTGTGTGTGTGGGGATGGAGCTTTAGGGTATACGTTTCAATGCGTTTTTTATCGAGTCAAATCATGATCCCTCTATGTATGCACCATACTACTACACTACCCCAATAATCGCGGAGATACTTTTGTTGTACAATTAGAATGTCTGTTCACGAGCTTGCACAATGCACAATCGTTCCACCGGTAGAGATAGAAATCCGTACGACATTTTCCAAAGATTACAAATCGTTTATGTGTGTAGCCAGTAAAGCATAATCAATATAATACAAGTCGATATAACACCAGCCATAATCAAAGTATCTCGCTTTCTCCGTGTATTGATACGACTAATCAGATTATTGATACCAGGTATACGACCTAGCAACCATCATTATCAGTGATCATCCATTCAACCTTGAAAACCCCTCCCCCCACCTTCTTTTTTCTTTCCCTCCCTCCATTTATGGATACACACCGATGACACCGCCGACCCGACTGTTAATGTTACGAAGCATTCTTCCTTGATGAGATATGTCTTGCCGTGTAGCATAGGCTTGCCTAAATCACACAATGTCAATCCTCTATCCTAACATCATCATTGATCATTGACCTCACTTACTCCAAAATCATATCGGTCATTCGATGCGAGCCTTCAATTCGATTGCGTTCGGATAAATAATAATCTGATCCACTTTCATTTGCTGTATTGAAGATCCTTCAAAGATTGGATGTTAGTGAAATGATCCATTATGGACTAAGATGATGTAAGAGATACCTGATTTCATCTTGTACTTGATTCATTAAATTGGCTCGATCTTGTGCTGCCTTGATATTTGACTATGTGATCCACACCGTTAACATTTACATGTATTCATGCCGACAATGGCATCCATACCTTGACACGTCGAAACTCCTTGTTGTAATCAAGCAAGATATCCTTGTGTCGTTCCAACATGTGTATCATGGATGGATTGGTGGGAGTTGCACTGGGTCGATCCAATACTTGGCCCATGGATGTAATGATGGATTGTAACTGTGCCCATGTGACATGTAAGAAATCCATGCAATCCTGTACGATCCTTTCCAGTTACGCACCTTTCTTAATAGCTCTTCGGTTTCTAGTTCTTGGCTCGGCTTTCCCATACTATTCATGGCGATCGAATCGGGACTTGTTGTATGCGAGGGTGGCGATGAAACAGATGCACCTAGTTTGGAGAGTGTTGCAAGCTTGAGCTCGATTTCGTTTTCGACTTGGCGAGCTTGTCGTCTCAGCTGATCCCAAGATAACGATGCATTGGACATGGACGTCGGTACTGAAAGATCCCCATCGTCGTCGTTGGTCGTTGAAGACACCATTACGGAAGGAGATGATGGCATAGAGATGGCGGTGCTGCTGCCAGTACGATGCATAGTAGTAGTGGTAGTGGTAGTGAAAGAAAAAGCGACGACTCCACTTGCCTCCTCCGCCTGACCAACCTTGCACACTTGAATTCCCGATATGGATGATGCCCATTGTTGACAAGGACACGTCTCGCTAATACCTCGTGATCTTCATGCAATAAAGAACCCCGTTGTTCGCTTCACACTTTTTTCATCCGTAAGCCCCTTGTTACAGTATGCAAGCAAAAGACCATTGTATGCTCACAATGAAATTGAAAAATGTCAAGCCAAAGGAGGATATCATAACATGACAAATAGGTTTATTGAGAAACAACAATTGGATAGTTTAACTAGTAAGCAACAGAAGCAATAAAGCGCACAATCTACTACCACGGGTAGACCACCGATTTATTTTGGCTTGTATTTTGCCTTCACTTCATTCTTGCACTTGTCATTACATGCTTTGACAGACTTTTCGCCTTGTGGTGCCATGCTGCACGAGAAGCCACAAGTCGCTAGCATATTGTTAAACCTGCTCTTGTCAATGGCTATCGGAGCATCTTGATTGGGAGGTGGTGCAGCGGTCACCAAAAGCGTGCAAATGACGAGAGCCAGGAAAACGGATAGCTTGAAGTTCATCTTGCGGGATAATGAAGGATAGCAGCGTTTGCTTTTTGGATCAGCCCTTTATAGTTGTTGAAATCAAGGAGGCGTTGTACTTTTGAATTCGTGGCAGTTTAAGAGCATTCGCCAAGTCCAAGAGGGGCGTTAAGAAATACCAAGTGATGCAGAACTAATGCATCCCATCCCCTATCGGCTGCATTTGGCGAAAATGATGCTTTCTACCTGAAATCACCAATTGATAGACATTCTTGCTCATTTGCTTAGAGCAGTGAATACCCATTTTATAATGAGGATTGTCCATTTATTTTGTCTTCGCGTGCAAAAAGGTGACTAGGCCTAGGCCTCAAAAAATGATGGTAAACTACTGCGATCTAAAAGGCGAGAGATATACTGTATCAGGCACACGATCCAAATCGATATGCAGGGGTGGGTTTGACGTGATTGCCCATATTTTAGAAAGTGTCGTTGTTGAGTTACTGCGGACATCAACTTGTTCAATACTATACACCATCCCTTTTTTCATGATGCGTCATATCAATGCGTGTGTATCGTTGTGCTTCCCTTGCTCGCATTGGCAGCTCTGGAAATCCCAAATCCAAAGGTATGCAACAAGCGAAACATCATGTCAACGCCATGCATGATTGATGAAATTGAAAAGTGGCAGCAAGGCGAAGGAGGCTATGTATGTATCAGACGCATTGCGCCCAATAGGTTTATTGAAAAACAGCAATTGCACAGTTTTGTATTAAGCAAAAAGGATAGCAATAAAGTGCATTATCTACTACCACTGGTAAACCTCCGATTTATTTTGGCGCGTATTTTGCCCTCACATCATTCTGGCACTTTTCAGTACAGGATTTGCGTTCGTTTACTGGTCCAGAACCGCACCCCATGGCACAAATGGCTAGGCCTTGTTCAAGCTTCTTGTCAACTGGTTTAGGATCGCCTTGATTGGGAGGTGGTGTAGCGAGCACCAAAAGTGTGCAAATGACGAGGGCCAGGAAAGCGGATAGCTTGAAGTTCATCTTGCTGGATAATGAAGGATAGTAGCAATTGCTTTCTGGATCAGCCCTTTATAGAGTTTGTTGAAATCAAGGAGTCGTTGTACTTTTGACTTTGCGCTAAGGGCTTTCGCCAAGTCCAAGAGGGGCGTTAAGAAATACCAAGCGATGCAGAACCAATGCATCCCATCCCCTATCGGCTGCATTTGGCGAAAATGATGCTTTCTACCTGAAATGACCAATTGATAGGCCTTTTTGCACCTTTTTCTAGAGCTATGGATATACATTTGTAATGAGAATGGTCGCATTTATTGTGTCGTCGCGTGCAAAAAAAAAAGTGCCTAAACCCCAAAGAGTGATGGCAAACTACTGCGACCTAAGAGGCGAGAGATGTGTATCAGGCACACGATCCAAATCGATATGCAGGGTGTGTTTGACGTGGTTGCCCATATCCTAAAAGTGCTGTTGTTGAGTTTACTGCTGACATCAACATGTCGGATACTATGCAGGTATCATCCTTTTCATGATGCATCAGAAGATCAATGCCTGTATAATGTTGTGCTTCACCTATTAGCATTGGCAGCTTTGAAAACCCCAAATCGAAGGTATGCAAGCGAAACACTATGTCAACAACAGCATGTATGCTCGACGAAATTGAAAAATGTCAGGTCGAAAGAGGATCAATCGCATTACTATGCCAAATAGGTTTATTGAGAAACACCAATTGGATGGTTTTACTAAGCAAAAGATGCAATAAAGCGCACCATCTACTACCACTGGCAGACCATCCATTATTGTTTTTGCTTGTTTCTTTCCAACTCCCTCTTCTGGCAGGTTTCAGCACATGATTTGCGTTTCTTCATCGGCTGGGAACCACACATATAGGTACAAAATGCTAGTATTTCTTCAGTATCTTCGCTACCAGCAGTAGATTTCTGAGCGTCTTGAGCGGGAGGTGGTGCAGCGGTCACCAAAAGTGTGCAAATGACGAGAGCCACGAAAACGGATAGCTTGAAGTTCATCTTGCTGGATAGTGAAGGATAGCAGCGTTTGCTTTTTGGATGAACCCTTTATAGATTTGTTGAAATCAAGGAGTCGTTATCCTTTTGCCTTTTCGCTAGTTTGAGGGGCCTTCGCAAACTCCAGGGTACCATAAAGAAATAGCAAGCGATGAGAACCAATGCATGCCAGCTGCTATTGGCTGCATTTGGCGAAAACGATGCTCTTCACCAGGAATAAAGATAACCAGCACCCCTTGCTCCCTTGTATTAAATGCAACACATGAGAGTGACGCAAGAGGATTGTGTTGCCATGGAGATGATAGTGCTATCCATGTGCACAAAGTGCTCATTGCACCTGCCAGACTACTGTAATCAAAGAAGCAATGTGATAGATATACAAAGGTATGCATGTTGAATCACAGCTCGTAGTACTATTCCAAGCAGGTTTATTGAGAAGCATCAATGATGCATTTTACTTGAAGGGAAAATAAGTAACAAAACATAATGTATTGGGTACATCAGTGATTTATCCTTGAGCTACACCAGTAGACGTCAGGCCTTTCATGCAATCATCAAAGCATTTCTGTCGCCTATCCTTGTTCGAAAAGCATCTGAAGACACATATAGGATTTTCGTTACCACGCGTAGCTTGGTTGTTTCCTTGACCTTGTTCAGTAGCGGGAGGTGATGTAGCTAGCACCATAAGTGTACAAACAATGAAGGCCACAAAAATGGATATCTTAAAGTTCATGCTGTTGTTCGGTAATAGTTGTAGGTAGCATATAGTGTTTGAGTCAGCCTCTTATAAAGTTATGGAGGCAAGGAGGTGCTGTAGCCTTATGACAATTCCAGGGTTGCATACATAGAATCGTCAAACGATGCAAGGACAACCATGGATGCTATCAGCTGCATGTGTGGAAATGGTGCATCTATGGGATAACGATGGATCAACACGCTTGCTCTTTGTACTAAACGTAACTACATGAGAGTAAATCAAGTGGACTTTGTTGTCATGGGAACGATAAGTTTAGTATCCATACGTATAAAGCACTCATAGCACATGCCAAACTACTTTAATCAAAGAGGTATGTAACGAGAGACGTACATGTATAAAAATATGCAGAATGGACCACAACTAGTGGTACTGTTCCAAGCAGGTTTATTGCATCAATGGTGCCTTTTACTTGAAGAAAAGAAAGTAAACTACCATGGGTACAGTGGTTTATCCTTGTACATTAGAAGCAGCCGGTCCTTTCATACAAGCTTCCATGCATTGATCAGGGTTTACGGATCCAAAATAGCATTTGAAGCCACAATTGACTCTTTGACGCTTAATCTCCTCATCAGAAGCTTGACCTTGTCCAGTAGCGGGAGATGGCGCAGCTAGCACCAAAAGTGCACCGACAACAAGAGCCACAAAAATGGATAGCTTGAAGTTCATGATGTTCACCAATGATTGTTAGTAACATACGATGTTTGCGTCAGCCTTTTATAACGCTGTAGAAGTGAAAGAGGTGTTGTAGCCTAACAAAAACTTCAGGGGTTGCGTAGGATCCTTAAATGATGCAAGAACAACTGTGGATGCTCTTGGCTGCATGTGGCGAAATGATGCTTCTCTTGGATAACGATGGATCAGCATTCATTGTGAGCAGCATATGCGCTGAGCGTGGGTGTCGTATAGTGAAAAAGAGATTGGCATGTGTGGGTTCGCGTGATAGGTAGGAAGGATGATGCCATGACCAAAGCGGCTTACAATCTATAAGCTTTGGATATTTCATCATGGGTATACTCGCTCTAATGGCTATACAAATCATGGTACTGCATAAAATGGGTCACTAACGAGCATCATCTGTATGCATTTATTGGAGAAAGAGATAGTACAGCACATAGTATCTACAGCCGCTCTTCCGCATGATGTACGTAAGGAGAGAGCCGCTCTTCCGCATCATATTTGTAAGGATGAAACAAGCCGAAATAAATACAATCGTCAACCCACACCTGAACATCCTTGAGGTGCAGGGCGTTCTCAACTTGTGTTTCAGATTTGGCTCTAAGCCAGTCAATAAGATCATCCAAAAGATCGCGTTGGGGACCTGCCGAGAGCGCTTCAGGACCAAGGTCAGACGTAGCACCATGAATGTACAAAAAAGAGAGCCATAAAAAGGGATACTCCCAAGTTCATATTGCTGGGTATGTAATGTGTGATTAATGTGTGTAGTAGAAACACTAGCAGTTTGAATCAACCTTTTAAAATTTGTGGGAGCCAAGATATCGTTCATGTAGCCTTATACCGACCTCAGGTGTTAGAGCTACATGCATCTGCGTATCGGTGTATGTAGTGGAAATGCATCTTCTCATCAGGATCAGTATTGTCGATACTTTCCACCTACAATGTATAAAGGCTGACATTTAAGATTGAACGCTAAGCAACACAAAGTAGGTAGGCAACATGGATGACCAGAGTAAGCAAATGTGATATATTGCAGTAAAAGAGGAGACTACTAGATATATACGTAGAAATCAGGAGAAGACGAGGCTTGGTGTTGAGGCAGTAAAGTTATTAAAAGGCTGTACAAAAAATGGGGGAGCAAAAAGGCAAATGGCATTAGAGGATTCCATATGCGGGTGTGTTCCTTTTTTTTTTTTCTTTTCCAGTGGATGCATGCTTTGGGTGCGGTTGTCGTAAAATGAGGTAAAAGGTTGGTGTGTGTGATAAGAAGGATGATGCCATGATAAAAATCGGGATGAATATAGCAAGGTATTATTACATAGAGAGTGAGGAGGATGCGGCATGAAAAATGAAAGAGTAGGAGATCGATCTCAGGTACCGGGTTGATGAACCTGTGAGACTTGTGGGTATGCGGTGGGCTGTTGTTGTTGTTGCATTAAAGCAGGTTGTGGTGGCATGGAAACATTAGCCGTTGCCATGTGCTGCTGTTGTTGTTGTTGTAGCATAGCCTGCTGCTGCTGATGGAAAAGTTGTTGTTGACGAAGCATCATTTGATGTTGCTGTTGTTGCTGACTCGTTGGGATATTGCCTTGTTGGAGTGGTAATGATTGGTTATAAGAAAGTGGTAACTGATTATGAGATTGCATTGGCGTATTCGTAGCTGATCCTGCTGTGTGTTGAGTTTTGACCACAGGTGATTTTGCAGCAGCAGCGGCTGTAGTAGCAAAGGCAGTCTCGTTCGTTGAATTGGGATTGGGATTGGCAGCAGCAGCGGCGGCAGCGGCGGCAGCTTTCTTTTCTGCAGCTGTTTTTTTGGTGCGAGTTGATTTTTGACGTGTCAACTTTGGCCGATCTTGTTTTGATTCTCTTTTGGGTACTTTGACCTTACCACCCGATCCAACGCCACTACCAGCAGTGGCACCATTACTCTTGTTGGCTCCTGCCATTTCTGGATTCTTCATATTCGCTTCATAGGCCAAAGCATTCAAACTCTCTAATAGGACAAGATGTATATCAGCCATACACTCTTTCCAATCATTGAATGCACATACCTCTAGGTCCAATATTAGTCACCATAGCATGAAAGATAACTTCATCCATTCGGCCCATCATTTCAGCCATCTAATGACATCCCATTAGTGGGGTCGACTTGATATTATCCTTGTATCATACCTTGAGCCAATCATACATCTTGCCAGGGACACCCCATTCATTGACAGGTGATTCCAATTGCATGTTTTTGGCAGCTGCTGCTTTGGCCTTGTTGGACTTTGGTGTGTTTGCCAGGATCTCAGCCATTCTGGTACGCTCCATGTATTCCTCATGCTGACTGCATTTGAATTCCATCCATTCAATCTTAAAGACACCATTATGCATACGTCGGAAACGAGTATTCAACGATCCTGTAGAGATCACCTACAACGCACACACTTGTTCAATGATAATCTCCCCTTGTTGTATTTCCCCAATCTTACCATATCTCCTTGTTGATAACGATGAATCAAACTTGCACGGGGACAATCGACACTGACACTCTCATCCGCCTTGAATGACTCATTCAACCTTTCCAAAGTCATCTGAATGGACGATACTTGACAAGTGTATTGCTGCAAAAAGAACCTCGCAATGGTAGGCCGATCCAATTCTGGTATATAAAAAAAAGACATGTGGAAGTTTGGTCGTTAGCCCATTCGGCAATATGGGCTGGGGTGCCTCACCATAAGTCTCGTGTGTATTCTTTTGAGTACTCCATAGGTCCATCTTGAGCTTACTGGGGGTAGCAAAGAAATCATCCACAAATTGATACCAAAAGCCGGGAGTCGTTGCCTAGCAATGCAAAAAGTGAGAAAATGTGTATGTTATCCAATGAATGGATCGCACAACAACCTCCCCCCCTCCCCGCATTCATCTCATTGACTCCCACCCCTTGCCCATCCCATCCTCCCCTAAGCATATACAAACACACACAAAAGTACACACACACAAAAAGCACATACCTGTTCGCCAGGACTAATCATATCAGCAAATTCCAATAATCGTAGCACCGCTTGTCCTGATGATTGGAGTCTAGAGGATACGCGTGTCAATTGCATGCAAATCTCCTTTCCTTATTCACGATGAACCAATGAAATCGCTACCTTTGTGGTTCCATAACAAATGCAGGTTTTTGTTGTTGTTGTTGATGATGATGTTGATGTTGCATGGATAATGATGATGATGGTTGTGGTGGTAATACACCTGGTTTTGTATTGGGTTGGCCATTGGGTAAAGCTGCTGGTTGAGGAGACATTTCTTGTTGAACGGCTGCCATACCAACGCCAGTGGATGGATGCTGCTGTTGTTGTTGTTGCTGTGTGGCTGGATGTGGCGGTTGTGGTTGTTGAGCAACTTGCAACTGATGAGCACCAGGAACTTGTTGAGGAGGAGGAGGAGGAACACCACCTGCACCTGATCGTGCGGCAGCAGCAGCTGCAGCTTGTTGTTGTTGATGGTACATCATCATACGTTGACGTTGGTGAAAGAACTGTTGAACCTGATACTGCGCATGACCTTGGAGTTGCTGCATGGGCACCTGTGGTTGCTGTGGTTGTTGCTGTTGGGTAGAAACGGGTTGAGCTTGTTGAACATGAGGAGTTTGTGGTAGTGGCGGCGGTGTCTGGTGATGTTGAGCCAGCTGTGCAGGCAATTGCTGTTGTGGAGTGGGAAGAGCACCTGTTGACATGGAATGTTCAAGAGAGATTGCGAAAGAAGCGGATCACACCAGAACAAAGAACGACGGATGCAAGAAAAGAGGTCCCAAAAAGACGTTGCTGCTGTTGCTGTAAAGTTTTTGGCTCACAAAGGCAGAAGAAAGAGGGAAGAGAAAAGTGCACCCTCTCTCTCTTTTCCCTCTCTCACTCACACGGAGTTTCCTCAACTGGAAGGCACTCAAACTATGGACTTACTAGTAGTACTATGTAGCCCATTCACACCCACCTTGTCTTTAATCCATTGCAATCACACGCCTTTATTTTCATGTATCCCCAACAAAGTCGTTCATATTAAATAAACTCAACATAGACACCTTGTTCTCTTCTCTTTTTCCCTGCAAAAGCAATAACGCTGACGCCATAATTTCCAAAGATGGTTGTAACGATGCTGCATGTACTACCGACAATAATCATGCGGGAAAAAATCCATCGTCATTTGCACACCTTGCTTTCTAATGGTCATGGTTTTACTAATACACATGTCATCGTTCACCCTTGGTACAATAAATAATGCATCTAGCTTGCAGCTGCAGGGTAAACAACATGCATGTTGAGCACAAACAACCTTGTCGGTGCTGCTGACGGATACATGTGAGCACCATCACGGATATCTTTACCCGATGTCAAATGAACCAATACGATGCTTTAGTGTATGTAATGAGGTATCGGCTTACAATGAAGTCTTTGTTCGAAAACAAAAGCCAGCTCACTTTTGACATTGACTGATCCATGTCACCTGAAGATATCATGTATAAGCCTAGTTATGAGAATTGTACATCACTATGGGTCCCTTTATATTGAAAAGCTTCTTGATGTGACCAATGGAATTAGCCTTTGGGTCTTTGCAGGGTCCTCATTCATCACACAAAGACTTTTCGAATTGCACGTTACACAAGAAAATGCTTATTTTGTTACATCCATGAATGAATCAAGTGATGCACTACACCCTGCAAGGATAACAACGTTACTTGTTAAGAGCAAAAAAGGGTAACGATTGATCAACAGCTATGGCTATATCTAATGACAATATGTGCAGTGTGTTTCGGGAGGAATGATAATGGTAGTAGGGCTTTTTTAAAGTATCAACACGATCCGTTAACCATTAGGGGATAAGAGGGGAATCTGCGGTGGGTTGTGTACAGGTATGTATAGAACAAAGAAAAAACAATTAGATTACATGTTGTAACGTTGAGAGAGAGCCTGCCGGTTGGAGGGTGACAAGGCATTCCATGTTCGCTGCCATTGTTCTTCCGTCAACAAGTTTCTGTAACCCGACAAGATGTCACTAAATGATTTGTGCAACCCTTGTGAGGGTCGTTGCCAACCAGCAATCACAGTGAGAAGGAGCACAAGTTGCTATAGGATGGCGTTAGATATATGAAAAACGACATGGTGGATAAATAATACATACATCAGCAATGCCTTGTGGGTTTGCTTTGATCACTTGGCATAATCCTTGGAATGCTGTATCCTTTTCTTCATTCTCACGAGGAAGCAAGAGCGATCGCTGCAACCAAGGTTTGATAAAAACGGGTAAATGACGTGCAAGGATGTCAGGACCTGCATAGCCTAAACGGCCTATGGTAATCATCGTATTCTCCATGATGGTTTCTTGAACGCCTTGGTTGGCCAGCAACGGAAGCAAGCGTTGGAGGAGTGGTTCAATAAAGGGCTTCATATCGGCACCCCATGCCATAGCCACCTCACCAGCTGCCCATATGGCATTGTTTGTCACAGAGGCAAGTGCAGGATCATCACTAACTTGTTCAACAAGCTCGGGGAGTACCGTTGGCAAGAAGTTACGGATACGTTCAAAACATGACATGGCAAGATCTCCAATCAATGCATAAGTTGCTTGAAGCACTTCTGTAACAGGATCCTACATAAAAAACAATAATGCAATGCATAAGAACCACGTGTGGGAAGGCACAACTTGTTTTTGGAATACTTACATGGATGCACACAGAAAGCAAAGATAACAACGGCGGATCGGAATTGGCAACAAGAGGATCCACAAGATGACCAAGCCCTTGGACAAGCCCTGATAAGAGATCCAATGCAACCACCATAAATTCCATATCAGGCGAGTCATATTGATCTGGTTGTTGATCCGCTAAAAATACTTGATGAAGCGTCGTGGCGACAAGTTTGACGCAACGCGTAAACACTGGCTCTGCATAGGGTGCAAAAACAGTCCCCAAAGCTGCTGTGACGGATGATAGGCACTATGAGAGAGATTAATAAATCATGTTTCTTATATGCATTGCTTTGCACACATATACCTCGAGCAATGGGAATAAATCCGTGTCGTGATCCGATAAGCTATTCCATTTTTCAATCAAAGGTGGCATCAAAAGCATGAGACATTGTGGCTGGTTTAATGCCGATCCCACTGACTCGGCAAGTGTCCCGAGAGCGTCGTACAAAATCAACAAGTTTTTGTGTTGGTATGTCCTGAAAGCAGTTGTCAAATTCACGAGAATGGGTTCGAGATAAGGTACAAGCTCAAAAGTCGCCTCTTCTTCCAATGTTGCAAACGCAGAGCATGCTGCTTCTTGTACACGTTTGTTCTTGTCGAGGATCCGTTGTAGTAGATTAAAGAGAACGGGTTCAAAGAATGCTCGGCGTCCTTCCGGAGTAGCTGCTTGTTCCACGCACCATGTAGAAAATCGTCCCAATGCCCAACATGTGATGGATCGGATGAGCGGCTATATAAAAACCATGTCAACCTTCTTTTTCGATCTCTTTCTTCTCTTTTCCCCCTATGCTTTTACCTTTGTATCTTCCAACCTTTCCAACAAGTATGGCATCATTTGAGGTAAATGAGGCGCGATATCAGCCATACCACCTTTTCAAAGCAATGGATGTGAGTCAACATGTTTTGATTTTTCCTAAGGATGACTTACCTTCAGCTGCAGCTCCTAATGCTAGGATACCACTTTCACGTTCTTTCCAATCCTCGCTGAAAAGGCTATGATTGAGAAGGGGCAACAGCACAGCTACAACGTGTCCTCTGTAGGTTGTCGAGAGCACATCCAATGCAGCAGCGCTACATTTGCGTAAAGTCCACTCCGAGTAGAATTCATCATCCTCCAAATCTTCATCTTCATCATCATCGTCGTCGTTATCATCATCTTCATCACCCATCTCATGCTGTTCAGGTGTTTGTTGTTGTTGTTGTTGTTCACGATCGGTGGTATCCCTGTGATGTAAACGCCTTCCTGAAGTACGTGGTCGAATATCTTGTTCATTGTCGGGGATGTGTGCATCATCTTCATCACCACCCAGCATGAATAGATCGGCTTCTGAATACACCATACGTCGTAGCAAGGCAGGTACAATGCGATCCAAGTAAGGAATGAGGCGTTCATGCATATCTTGAAGGCTGGCAAATTGTATCCAAAAATCACATGCTTCCAAAGCAACCTGTTCATTCTCATCTTGCATGCAATAGATCATGTAATCAATCACCGCTTGAATGGAGGGTGCCAATTTGTCAGGGCGTGCTTCGAGGACCAATACCAATGAACGACATACTTCTTGACGCACTTCAGAATGTTCATCCGTGGCACGAGCGAAAAGAGCAGCAAGGTAATCTTCCATGACGCACATGAGCGACTGTGAATGCAACATGATAAATTGGCTGGTGGCTGTGATGGCAAGAACGCGTAATTTGGGATCCGGATTATGAAAGAATTGAATGAACTTGGGGATCATTGTGTTGAGAGGGCGCACACCATCGATTTCTTGATCCAAACCAGGAGCTGCATCTTCACATATCTTTGCCAATGCATCAAACGCCATCTATAGGAAACAAAAAGTTATTAGTTAGTATCTCATATGCCAATAAAGATGTAAATACTTGCTTCAACTGAAACAACATCGGGGCTATCGAGTTTCTCCACCAGCAGCTGCAGAATATGGGGCCAATTGTGTACCTGGCCTTGTGTAATGATAGCTGTAATGACTGATCCCACCGTACGCCGTACATTGATATCAGGATCCGGATGCTCTAATGCTTCGGTGCAGCATTGTTTCACATGATCAAGGACAAGAGGTGGCATCTTTGTGAAGAATGATTTGATATTGTTCTTGAGCGTAAGCCCGGCGATGGCCCGTGTGTAGGATTCCTCTTGCGGCATTTTTGTCAGGATATACACTAGATACGAGTTGTATTCAGGAATCTCGTTGAATGAAGCTAGTCGCTATCTACTAATCAGTCTCTTCCTCTTCCATTCGAATGCAACGTGTTACCTGCTGTACAAGTGCCTGATCTCGAGACTCGGGTTGAATGGCATCGCGAAGAAGTATGAGAAGGTCGTTCAAACCCTGTTGCTGTGGTTGCCAATGGGCCATGAGGAGGAATGGAATACAAGGAGAAAAGAAAGAAAAGAAAAGAGTAGAATAAAATGGCTGTGCGTATGTGCGTATGTGTGTGTGTGTGGGTAGGATAATGATAATAAGTTGCTGGGTGGCAGTAAAGTGGTGGTGGTGGTGGTGGCTGGCAAGCTTGCTGGTTGTTGCCGATTCCCGGTTCCCGTGACAATTTCATAGGCACACTACTTATCCAGACATTCCCTAAACTTTAATGCACTCCTTTACAACCATCACCCTTAACACGTATACATGATATTCACACACGTATAGAAAAAGACATGTGCTTGTGATGACATTTTTCTGAATTGGTAACCATAACGACGTCATGTCCTGTCTCAGCTGATACATAGCAACCAACCATTCTTATTTTACTTTTGCATATCCTTGGGTTGTACAAGAGGAGGAGTAACTGTATTTACACAATTGTCAATCCAACAACTACTACATTCTATGTTTTATTCTTTTTTTTTTCATGCTTCAGCAATGTATTTGCCTGTACGCACTGATTGTTCGATCGATTGAATATTAGCCCATAGACCGCCATCAACGCGTTCTTGTTGTGATGATGTTGCCATGGTTACGTTGGATACAAGCCAATCCTTGCCTTCAAAGCGTATAGCGATAGGTTGGGGTCCACCTTGTTGCTTGGTAATAAACTTGGCTCGTAGCATGTGCTCCTCAAGATCTTGCCATTCACCCATAGGCCATACCATGCGTTCTTGTTCCACCATCCATTGACCTGCGGGGATACTTTGCACGTTTTGCACATCCCCGCTCACCGTCGTCATGAAGAATACGCCATGCACATCCTTCTCCAAAATGTTGTCACTCGTCTTGCGATGCTTTACGAGTAACCGCGTTTGCTCATCCTCGCATTTCCACATTGGCCGGGCCCAAATGGGCAATGCCTTCTCATCCACAGGTAACTGATACTTGATACATGTCACAGGACTATCACCCGCCAAATGGAACATGCTTGTATCCAATTGATAGACACCAGGTTCTCCTTCAACGCTTGTCAAATAGCTCGTATTGGGTGTCACTTGCTCCATAGCATCCAAACCATTGATGTGCAAATAAACGGGTTGTTGTACTTTTTCTGGCCCATGGTATACCACCTTGATTTCACCAATCACTGCTGCACGATCCAATTGGCCGCCTTTGAGTAATGCATGGATGGTCTCGTTCATACGCACTTGAACATCGGGTGGTGCAATAGAAGCAGCAGCAGCAGGAGCACTTGTTGTTGTATCATCAAAAGGTGATTGTGATTGAATGATAGGGCTGCTATTGTTGTTATCGGTCAAAGTGACAGGGCCACCATCTGCTAGTTGTACAGGTCCATCGGTCAATGTCACTGGCACTTTGGCTTCTTGCACTGGATCCAATAATCGAGTTGCACGATTTTCACGACGACCACGACGACGAGTAGATGTTGTTGTACTTTTTTCTTTGAGCATGGATGATACACGTGTCAATGCAACAGCTGATTGAGCTGCATCTTCCTCTTTGACCTCGGTTTTGATGTCCACCTTTAATCGTTGCTGTGCACTCAACATGCTAAAAGGGCCATGTGTAAGGTTGTGTCACTCATTCATTCATTCATGAGAAGGATCATGCTTACCTGCCACTATCGGATCCAAAATCGTCGTCGATCAAGGAAGTGTCACCAGGCCATGCAGCACGATCAGGAGGTGGGATAGTGTAACCTTCAGCATCGATTAGCACCTTGGGCTATTCCAAAAGTCAATATCATGTGGGTCATACAGCTGAGATTATACACATACAGGTTGATTACTTGCAAGACTGCCTGAGAAGCTAGGTGCCTTTTTGATGGATGCTGTTCCAAGTGAAGTAGGTGATGTAGGTGCAGGAGATACGCTTTCATCTTGATTGGGTGTGTGATGATCCTCTCTCTCAGAGCTGAAACCATTGGAGATGGAGCTACCAGTGTCAACCATACCAAAGCTGGAGCTGCTATGTTGATCATGATGTTGCATAACGGGTGGTGACAAGTCGGCATTAACGTATCCATTGTTGTCAGCGGCTCTCGTCTTGCGTCGAATCGACATTAAACCCGAAAAGACTATTTGAAAAAGAAAAAGGATGAGCCAAGGTACACATGGAATTACATATTCACCTCCTACTTACATTTCTTATCCTTTCCAGCTTTCTTTCCTGCACCTGATTTGCTCGCTGTGGATTTGGCACCGATCGATTTGCCGCCTGTAGATTTGGCACTTGTCGCCCCCGTTGATCGATGACTTTGTTCTGAAATACTTGGTACAGGGGTAGGCCCTCCTCCCAAAGAAGGATGTCCATTGTGGTCCTGGGGCACTGATAGAGATTCGCTAGGTGTTGCTGAATCAATGGATAACATGGATTGCTCTGAACGAGGGATCGTGGTCGACGACGACATTTTGTTGGTGGTGCAAAAAGAAAGGATTTCATCATCCACATTGAAATTGCTGGCTGCTGTCAAGACGTTGTTGGCAACTTCCACTCGCTTCAGCATCTGGTCGTTTTGCAATACTTCAAACTTTTGAATGGCTGTTCTCAAACTATCCCAACGACTGGCATCCACTGATTGATGTTTCTATTGAACATTTGAGGTTACTAAGTGTTGCCATTACTCCCACTCCATTCCATCATGCTTACTTGGATATAATCAGGACCATTTTGGATCCAATGAGCTTTCACTTCTTCAACTGCCTTCATCATTTCTTGGGTACGTGCGTCGGCATCATTGGATTTCTTGCCTTTGCTCTTATGCTATGAACAAAACACCCATCATAAATATCAACATGGTACATGCATCCCTTCCATTTTCCACCCTCTACCTTGTTTAATCTTGCCATACGTTCATCATAATCTCTTGCAACACGTTGCAGACTGCCATCCATCTAAAAAGAGTCATAAGTCTCATTGTCGAATACAAAATAAACCCATACATACAGTTTTGATTGTGTTGTACTCGTTATTGTTTTGAATAGAGGAGCGTAAGGATGCCTCAACGTCTTCGGTAATCTTCATGGACATGACAGCATGGATGGTATATACTTCAGTCAATTCGTTTTGGAGCATCTCCCATATAGGACGCATATTGCTATATCACAAAAGGTGGTGTTGTCAATATAACATCCTACGAGTGACCTTCCCTTTACATACCCCAATGCTGTTGGATCTGAGACAAAATGCTTTTTGGATATTTTGGCGAGCGTTTTTGCATAAAGGTCCTCAGCGTGAGCTCTAGACCATCATCGGCGTTAGTATGCATGATTCTTCTTTGGCTCATATGAACGCTTACCGTTCTTTGAAATACTCGGCCAGTTCTTCATTGAGTTTAAGTGCTTTTCGGAGACGTGTTTGGACTTGGTCTATGCCATCCTTGGGACGGTCGGTCTATAATAGTCGACTCGCTTTAATATCATTGGAAAGATACACGCATAAGGATGATCGAGATAGCATACGAGAAAAGCGTCAACATAGGCGTTGGAGATATCGGTGGCGTTTGTTTGGTCGGCGGTCATAACGAAGGGGTTGGGAGATAGTGAGATGAGAAGTAAAAAGGGGGGAAGGGAGGATGGAGTAGTAGAATGAGGATAGAGCTACGATTGTATGCGGATTGGTAGAATGTCGTCGAGAATGAGAGGAAGGAAGGAATGGCTTTGTTGAACAACAACGAAAGAGTCGAATGCGTCCAATGGAGTACGGGTGATAGTAGAAGAGAAAAGAGAAAAAAGAAAAAGGGAAAGGATGTACCTTGTACACAGGTCCAAGGCCTTGATAAAGATCGGAGTCAGGAGAGTCTAATTGCTTTTGACAATGGATGCTGCAAGTACCAGCCGCACCAAAATACATACATTCTTCATGGATGCATCAATGTCAAACCTTACAGGCACCATCAAGGATTACTGCACATGTGCATGTATCAATGAGAATACCATTGTCACCATGACATGGCTCCTTTAACATGCGTGAGAGGATGAATGCATAAAATGTCGCTTCTAGAGTGCATTGTGTAAGGGGTGTATATGATACACACGGGTCTTCGTTGCATTCATTCATGTTCTACTGAAGATACCATCCCCATTGGATAATAATAAATACGATTTTCATCATTAGAAAGGATGCATATATCACGTGTTGCATGCTGATACCTGCAAGGTGACACAAAATCTTAAACATTCATCTCAGTTTGATCGACACTTGTTCTATATCAAGCTGCCAACACCCGGTCGAGAATTTGTGATAATGTGTGGGTCCCATCTCCAAAACTTCTTACTATCAATACGCATCAACGTGTAATGCATAGCATACCTAAATAGGGATGCTGTATGCAAGCTTATCGAGAATCTGAGCTCTTCTCTTCCTGGTGCTGTTGCTGAAATAGCTGGGTGAATTTGATGCCGTGTGCAACGTTCATAACTTATGCGAATGGTACGGCCTTCCTATTAGAGCACAAAAATGGCCTTGGTCATCAACAACCTAATCGCAAAGTAATGGAAGGCGTCGTTTAGCCTCATCAAGGTACATTGGATACACAATTTCTACCAGTGACGATAAAGGTGCACATTCATTTTGAAGTCATTTCAGCGGAACATTCATTAACAAGATACATAAGAAGGTTTAAGGATGTACTACTACGACTATAGCCGATAAATGAAGTTGCGATTTTGACGATCTGTCAAGTCGAGATGAGCGTCAACAGCTTCGGCTGGTGGATTGATTAAACGATCACGATTCTCTCTTGCCATCCAAAAGCGCATGATAAGATAGCAGACAATAGCCACCCCATTGCCGATACAAAAGCCAATCATTGCTCCAACGTATCTAGGTGCCTGGTATTCGAGCATCACCATGGGGCCAATAAAGTTACCGAATCCATAAAACGTAACAAAGGCACCATTATAAAAGATCTTCTTCGAGTAACCTGAAACATTTGCACCAATTGTAGTGACAAGAAGGCTGTATCCACCTGTTAAAGCCCACGAGATATAGAATCCTGCTAGCTTGGCAGGTCCGGATTCCACAACAGCAAGGATAATACAACCTGCCAAACTCACTGTAGACATGAAAGCGCCTGTATAACAAATTTGACGTGTACGCCGTGCTACCAGAGTTGCAAAAACGACACCAAGGAAAGATGCAGTGCCTGCAGGTACCTTGAGCAAGATGGATTCTCCGGGCTATGTGATAATAACAAGTGTCAATTCACAATGCTAATTAGGAATGTTTTTGCGTACAGTGAAATCACCCAGCTCTTTGATAAATTGAGCACTGAAAACTTGAAGAGCGCCATTTTGTAAATTGAGTCCAAGGCCTGCTAGACAAATGCACCATAGTCGTATTTCCTTGCATGCCTCCCACATTTGATCCCATTTGATCTTTTGATGTCTGACGACTGCATTGTCTTGCGTACGTTCTTCGGTGATTGCTTTTTCTTGTTCCGTTAAGCGAAGCAACCATGATTTGGGATTGTCAACGAGGAAAAAGAAACACAAGATGCCGAGGAGCACCGTCATGCATCCGAAAATGATGTGGTTCCTGAAACACATGCCATTAAACTTCATTGATTCAACCTTAGGATGCACCTTCTTCTTACCATCGCCACATCATGATGCCACGTTGATGTCCCATTTGTGAAATGCCATAGGCAACAAGTCCGCCAAAAATGGATCCCCATCCGCTTGCCATGGTAACCAATCCATACATGGATGTTTGTTCCGATCGACGAAACAACGTATTGACAATCAAATACACGCTACATTAACCATGTTATTTGAATTCTATTGGACGTTCAATTTGCTTACAAACCATGGCATTGCAGTGCCTTCCAAAAGACCAAGTAAAAAGCGCACAGCCATCAATTGAGGAAACGTATTACAAAGAGCAGTGCCCAACATGACCTGAAAAATGCAATGCATGTCAATCTTCTAATACAGAATCTTCCATCACTTTTTCTTTACCAGCCCCCAAATAAATATGCATGCACCAAGGTATCGGCCAACAGGGAGCTTTTGAATGAGGATATTGTTGATAGGCTTTCATTGTTCTGTGAGCTTTAAAAAGAAAGTGTGGTCGTTTCCCCCCCCCCTACAGCCTTTTTACCTGGCACACCAAATGGCCAATGAAAAACATGGATCCTAGCCAACTGAATTGCGAGCCCGTGATCCCTGTTTCCTGATAAAGCCCAAGCACCGCTGAAACGCTCAAGGCAGCCTTATCCGCAAACTAGATGATGTATGCAAATCATATAAGCATAAAAGTATGTAACAACAAACACTAAAGCAATGTTGGCTACATACCTGTAGCATACAAACAAATGCAATGAATGGCATCAACGTAAAAGTGATTTTCCGAACAAGCTTCTTTTCCTCAGGGGATTTGACAAAGGGTTCTTGGATTTTATTACTGTTCTTTTCTGGATCCGAGAGTGATGTGGCACTTTCAGGATCATACTTGATGCTGTGCTCTGTATGCTCAGTTTCGATCTTTTCCTGCTGGTGCTGGTGCTGTTGCTCCTCACGAGTTGTAGCCATGATGGGTAGAACTCTATGTAAGGGAAGGGAGGATAAGAATGGGGGGTCCGTCAGCAAGAGGCATCATGAAACCTAGTACTTATAAGCAAGATGTCTCTCTCTACAAAGATGCTCCCGAACGTGACATGCGATTCTCACAACATTTAGTGCCTATTGGCGTTTGGTAAAACAGCGTCTGTTTTTTCTCATGCACATCTATTGCCGTATTGACGATAGTGTATGAAGCCGTAAGATACGTGGGAAACAATCTTAGTTGGTATGTACGTATGTAGATGCACTATGGAAACAAGGGAAACAATGCACACACAATGTTGATGGGTATGTATCTAGATGGCGATGCTGCTTCGTGCATCAAGCATGTCATCTATGTATGTAAATTCCCGGGTTTGTCAGATTTTCCCAGCGAGTACTACACCAGATTCACAGAGGCCATGTGCGTATGTCTATTTCAATAAACAGCATCATTGGATTGGATAGTCGCGATATTCGATTATGCATTTGATTCACACCCATCATCCATCCACCCATGCTCATATTAAATCACACGCACACACGTATCCAGATTACACAACCGCTGCTTCGATATCTTACTTTTTTATCTTTGGGATGATAGGAAACAGAGACTATAGGGGATGCTACATACGTATCTCGTACACTGGGATTGCATCATCATGCGTGTCGTACCATGCGTGTACTTCTTCGTTCACTTTCCTTTTTGGCATTGGCCTTGAGCTGGTTGTACAATGCTTCTTTTTGCATATGAGCCTTGGTGAGCTTATCCCGAGCACCTTGAAGGCGTGAAAGGTATTCATTGCTGAAATTGATGTTTTCCTACCCGAACGATATCATCAGCCTTTTCTGCACATGAATCCCAAAAAGATAACCTGCTTACCAATAATAATTCTCTTACAGAGCGCACCACCTCAATCGCTTCCGTGTCTGGACCAAAATCCTCAGCCGTCGTTTCCATCTCCTCTTCCTTGGCTTGCAATAAAGGTTGTTCACTTTCATTGTCCTTGGTCTTGTCTTGTTCGGATGATGATGCTGATGCTGTTGTTGCTGGTTGTTGTTGTTGAGAAGTTTTGCGTCTCTTTCGTTGTTCTGGTGTTCGTTCAAGGACCAAATCAAGGTATTGTGGATCATCACGGTGTAAAATAGCAGAGAGACGTGACAAAATCTTGCTAAAGTTCTTTTCACTTTCAATGAATTCCATAGCTGTGCTGGCTAATCCTTCAATCTGCGGGGATTTGATAATGCGTTTTAAAGCGGGACGTCGTACAATGTCTGTTGGGATCTCGATAGGACTCAAGATATCTACGCAACCAAACCATCCCCATGAGTGAAAAAAAGTCATACGCACGCACACATGCACACATTCTCATTACCTTCAATGTTGATTTGTCGATAGGGATCATCCTCAGCTCCATCAGAAATATCATCATCCAAGTTCCTCCTTCGGCGCTTGACTACAGTACGCTTCTTGTTGCCTTGGATATACTAATAGCATTTCCCTTGAGCCTGCCATCATCATAGCTATTATCCCTTCATCCTTTTCTTACCTCTTCTTGACGAGCAAGTGTTCGTGGAGCTCGCAACTTGTTGCCACCAAATTGTGCATCGGACGGAGCCCAGCTATTCAGTAAACACACACATTGCAAAGGTTAAGGATTGTAAACAACACAACACAAAGCTGCCGATTGATAAAAAGCGCTTATACACGAATGAATAGACGATAAAAAGGATATGTTTGTAACCGCGATTGTGAGCGACCAAGCCAACCTTGTCAGTTTCCATCTCTGACTCATTCTTTGGTTGAAGCCATTTGGCTGGTGCTGGAGCGCCCGATGCGTTGTTGGACTGACTGTTCTCAGCTACTGGAATGGGTGCATTGGAACCGTTTGTAGTTGAAGTTGTTGTTGTGCTGGTTGCTGTGTAAGGGTCGGCAGGTCCCATGGCGATAATACAAGTGGAGAGGAAAAAAAGAAAAGGAAACTGTGGACATGCATTTGCGGAGCGTCAACATTCAAAAGGTTGCGGATCAAAGGCAGCAGTGCATTGCCAACCGATCATATAAGCCTTCCAGGGCAACACTCCCCCTTGTTGTACACATCCTACCACACGTATGTATTCTAGAGTATAGTAAAAAATGGGGATTTAGTTTAATAAAGAGTCGACAATGATGATGACAATGATAATGGAATGACATTTTCGTGATAGGCCATAGTCAAGGCCATTTTGATAAGAACATTAGGTAGGGGGTGCCTCAATGTATGCAAAATCAAAGACGGATGCTCTTTGTGCGTAGGTAATAAAGGAAGGCTTTATAATACAATGAATGAATGAAAGACTAATCATGGTGAATTTGCATTATGTACAGCAGTCGATGTTGCCAAACGGATAGCATCATCTTGAGCCCCACCAACAAGAGCACCTGGATCCGAATTATATGATACGTGAGGTATGATGTCGGCTTTGTGACACAGCGCGATGATCATTTTCGCTCTCCTTTACATCGATTGCATACACAAGTATGTGCTCCATGGCCGCCGTTCGGCTACAGCAGCAGGTGTCAGATACTTCAAAATAAAGTCATGTCGCGTTCGAAATCAATGAAAAGCTCACAACTAACAGGTGAATGAAAACAAAGATGATTTCATAATACAAGGTTGTTATTGCGTGATGACAATGCGGTTAATTTGCTCGATAATGGTCTACGGTAAAGAAAGGATAATGGAATACTATTGACTACACATCTCTCATGTTTGTACGTAAGTTTTATAGTATTCAACAGCAGATTGAAATGATGACTCATTATTAACATGCATAGCAATCGGATATCATGTCAAATAGTCTTGGTTCATAAACAAATGTCAAAAGGCAAGAAGCAGCTGTTGTGTAGCATAAGGCCGGAATGGAATCGATCCGAGGCACCCGTTTCAGGCGTTTTTTGACGAAAAGGGTAAGCGGGGGAAGAAACAAAAAGACATCATCGGGTGCTTTGGGAGAAACGCACACACACGCACACATTCACATTTCACACCTCTTTTTCTTTTTCTTTATCCTCCTTTATTATCTTTGTACACTACTATGCTTAAATCCTTTGTTGGGTTTACGCTACTTGCCGTGGCAACGGTGAGTGCAAAGATACTCGAACCACATGACGTTGTTTCTCTGCCAAGACCCGGTGGTGTCCTTGCTTCTCCCAACGGCCGCATGGCTGTGTACGGCGAATCAGTCTACCATGCTGACAATGACAAGGTAAAATAGCGACATTGCTTGCTACATTAGCGTGTATATTCATGGCTGGCAACAATAGACAACGCGTAGTCTTTATCTGTTGGACCTTGAAAGCACTTCAGTTTCAGCGTTGACCGCACCTTCTTTTGACGAAGCTCAAAGCGACCCCTTCTTTTTGGATGATGAACACGTTGCTTTTATTCAACACAATGCTGACGAACCCGTGGACCAACTCTATGCTATCAACATTAAGGATGGAGAACAAAAGCCTTACAAGCTTACCAATTTTCCGATCGAGTTTGGCAATATCAAGTAAGCAGGAAGGAGGAATATCGTTCACCCATCGATGGCTGGCTTTGAATACTAAAAACAATTGCATAGATACAATGCTGCTAAGCGTCTTCTTGCCTTTACTGCCATGGTCTACGATGACGCTTCTACCTTGGATGGCACCAAAGAACGTGATCAACAACTCAAGGAAACCAAAAAGGATTCGGGTATTGCCTATGATCAGCTGATGGTTAGGTAGGTTGCTGTTATTCTTTGCTATTTAGTTCATGTACTTATCGAATTTGATAGACATTGGGATAAGTTTGTGCCTGAAAAGAAGAGCAACATCTTTGTCGTCGGCTTGGATCTTGAAGATGGCCAATTCAAACTTGCTGAAGAGCCTCGCAATTTGTTGGCTGGTTCTGGATTGGTAAGTGGATATGGCTTTAAAGAAGCAACAAGGATCACTTATCCGCTATATAGGAATGTCCTCAATTTGGTCTAGGCGATAGCTCGGAATACGACATTTCACCCGATGGTATAGTATATATATCTTATGCGTGTGAGAAAAGTAAATTTGATTGGCTTACATTACTACAAAATAATAGGTGAAGAAGTTGCATTCCTTTCCAAGATCCAAGGTCCTAGCAATGCTTGGGAATCATCAAAGCATCTCTATGTGGTATCCACATCCGGCAAAGTCAAGCCATTTGTCATCAATAGTGATATCCCTGCTGCTACCTCGGGACCAAAGTACTCACCTTCAGGATTGCTCGGTTATCTTCAAATGTACGAACCTCAATATGAATCGGACCGTAATCGCATCACCCTCTACGACCGTCACTCGGGTACTCGCACCTTCATTGCCGAACAATGGGATCGCAGCCCTTCAGAGCTCGTCTTTTCAGCCGATTCGACTCATGTCTTTGTTGTGGCCTCTGAATATGGTCGTGAAAAGATCTTTTCGATTGATCTTATCACTCATGTTGTCGAGCCCCTCACCGAAAAGCATTCAGCCTCAGGCCTCTCTTTGATCAACAACCACACGCTTTTGTTCACCCTCAACTCGATGCAATTCCCCAACGTCGTCCATTCATTGGATGTTAGCACTGGCAAGTTGCAACGCTACGGTCCTGCTCCTTCGCTTGGAGATGCCTTGGGTGGTATTGATATGGCTAAGCCTGAGGAATTTGAATTCACGGGTGCATTGGGTGATCGTGTTCATGGATGGATGATCAAGCCTGTTGATTTTGATCCTGCTAAAAAGTATCCTGTTGCATTCTTGATCCATGGTGGTCCTCAAGGTGCTTGGGAAGATAATTGGTAAGGATTGTGATTCACTTTCTATGGCAATGGCTCATGATGGAAATAGGTCAACTCGCTGGAATCCTCAAGTCTTTGCTGGTGCCGGCTATGTGGCCATCCTTATCAATCCCCACGGCTCTACTGGTATGATAAGAAAAAGAAATGCCATACATGGATGAACCCTCTCTCACACACTTTTTATATAGGCTATGGTCAAGAGTTCACCGATTCGATCCAACATCATTGGGGATCTCATCCTTACCGTGATCTTGAGAAGGGTCTTGATTACATTCTTGAAACCTATGAGTTTTTGGATGCTGATCGCGTCGTTGGTTTGGGTGCATCGTATGGTGGATACATGATCAACTGGCTCAATGGCCATAGCGACCGCTTCAAGGCATTTGTGAACCACGATGGCATGTTCAGCACCGTGCAAGCATACTACACCACCGAGGAACTTTACTTTGTCGAACATGACGTAGGTTATAGAATGATCAACAACATTGCATAGCGACTTATACATTTTGAACTTTTATAGTTTGGCGGTGTTCCTTATCATCCTTTGTCACGTATCATTTATGAACGCTGGTCGCCATCCAACTTTGTCCAATATTGGAAGACACCAACTCTTGTCATTCATGGTATAACAATACGAACGTGATCTTACCAATGTACTGATTGGTTTTATGTTACATAGGTGCACGTGATTATCGTCTCGTGGATGGTGAAGGTCTTGCTACATTCACAGCTCTCCAACGACAAGGCGTTCCTTCACGTTTGTTGTACTTCCCTGACGAAAACCATTGGACTTTGAAGCCAGCCAACTCGGTAAGTTCATTCATGTGCTTATTTCCAAGACATGCAGCTAATCTAATATGGGTTATTCACTATACTAGCTTCGATGGCATAAGGAAGGTATGTTTGTATGCTTTATTTGCTTGTTTTTATAATACAGATCTAACGCTTGTTTAATTTACTAGTGCTTGATTGGATCAATTATTGGACTCAAAATGAGGCCAAGGGAGAAGATCGTCAACAAATGGATTGCATGCACCAAGAGGAGGTGGAGGATGATCAACCTCGAATGATTATCCAACATGCTCTTGATCAAATGATTTAAGTAGCATAGCATAGTTAGTTAGTGTGTATAGCTGTATGTAATGCATCGTGAACATAAGGAACAAATGTAACTGCACAATGACCTGCTTGTGAAACACTGAATCATGCACGAATTGCTGCCAAGCGCCGAAACAGACTTGTTTGTGCCACCATCCACCCACCAAAGGAAAAAAGAAAAAAGTCGCGTTGTGTTCCCACTCATTACTCGTTGCTCCCTTTCTCTCTTTCTCTCTCTTGCTTTGTTGCAAGATAAGCCCAACTATGAGCGAGCAACAGAAAAATACAGGCCCCGCATCTTTTTCTCATCTCTTCCCCGTTCCTCCTGCTACTCCCACCACTGAAGAGAAACCACCCACAACAACACAACAACAGCAACCAGCAGCAGTCGAACATACCAATACGCTTAGCAGCAATGCAGGTGTCGATTATGTCATTGTCTTTCGATTTCCAACCGACAAGCGTGATGCCACCATTGAGACTCGTGTACGAGACAGCATGATTGCCTTGACCGCTAAATTGACACGAGCCAACCTCTGCTACCAAGTCAAGCCCGGACGCACTCATGGAACGTTGTTGGTGCTTGTAGGCTGTCCTACTTCCACTTTGGAGCAAGAACTTGAACGTGAAAGGTATAAAGGATAGGGGTGTGTGTGTGTGATGGGTTGTATCCTAAACTTGTGTGTATCTAGGATACGGGATTTCCTTCTTGGTATCCGTGTCAAAGGCTTGGATGATGAAGATGCCGGCTTAGGTGATACAACAGGATTGACAGATGCCGAACGCCTTCGAGTCGTCTATGAAATCTTGACAGGACCAGAATCGGATGGCGGTGCTAATGTTTCCCCCAATTTGGATCCATACGTGGAAAGTATTATGGCATTACATGATGATCGATTTGATAAGGTAAAAAGAAAAGATGGGTGGTTATGGAGCTTATCGTGTACTAAGGTATCTTTTATCAAAGGAATGGATACACAGCTGGTCACGTAAATGGCTCATTGATAAGGACGACTTGACAAAGATTCGCAATCATTTTGGAGAAAAGGTGAATATCATTATCATCATCATTCAAACACAAGGCGTTGTCTAATCCATGTATTATGGGATCATTAGGTGGCCTATTATTTTGCATTCCTTCAATACTACTTTTTATGGCTTATTGCTCCTGCATCCGTGGGCGGATTGATGGTCATGTTTGGTGGCAGATCTCTCAGCATCACGTATTCACTTGGCATGTTGATATGGTCGGTGACCTTTATTGAAATGTGGAAGAGGAAAGAGCACGAATTGGCCGTGGAATGGAATGTGCGCAACTGCTCCAAGCACGAGAGAAAGCGGGTTGAATTCAAGGGCGATCGAACGGTCAAGGATCAAGTGACAGGAGAAGAGGTGCCCTATTGTCCTCCATGGAAGATCTTTACCCGACGTGCAATGTCCATCCCTGGTGTAGCTATTGGTGCTGCTGCTTTGAGTGTCATTGTTGCCTGTGTCTTTGTCCTTCAACTCTTTTTGCATGAATACTACAATGGACCCTTCCGGCAAATATTGGCAAGTGGATGGATTGATCCTTTTTCAGCAGCATACGCTAACCGAAATTTACCTTTAGCACTATGCACCCACCATTGGTTACGTCTTGCTGATTCCAACAATGACCAACATTTACAGCGCTTGGATGCGTATACTCAACAACTATGAAATGCACAAGACCGAGACGTCATGGGAGTATCATTACACACAAAAGATCTTTGTTGCCAACTTTTTGGTTGCCTATTTATCTCTGGTAATGTATGGGTTGAGGAACTACTTGGTGAATCACGGCTTACAAGTGGATTAGTTTTTCATTGCATGGATCTATATCCCATTTGGCGATCACGTGTTACCCTACTTGACAGAGTTGAATGTCAGCCATAGCCATCAAAAGGTCGACTTTCAACGACTACGTGGACAATTGGTGTATTTCGTTGTCACAGGCCAACTTATAGGCTTTGCTACTGAGATGATCCTCCCATACGCTATGAAGCTGGTGATGCCTAAGGTCGAAAAGGTGCTACACAAGGATGAAGATCAAGATGCCACCACCACTGATCTCTCTGATGATGCCGCATCATCCAAATTCATGCAAAAAGTTTACAAGGAAGTTGATTTGCCGGATTACAACATCTACACGGACTATGTTGAGATGGTTATCCAGGTAAGACAATGGCTCGTTATTATTGCCGTCATGTCATGTTGACCACGTGTGTATGTATAGTTTGGATATGTGAGCATGTTTTCATCCGTGTGGCCATTGACCTCTTTATGCTGTCTAATCAACAATTGGGTGGAGCTACGAGGTGATGCCCTCAAGATTTGCAAGTATACACGGTAAGGATGTAACGCATGATTAGATACCCCCAGTCACTTACGCTTGCCCATAGTCGACCTATCCCATTGCGTGCTGAAGGTGTGGGTCCTTGGATTGGTAACATGGTAAGATGAAAGAAGGAAGGTCATGGATGGATGAGATTTAACAAATCACTGTACATAGGAAACGTTGACTTGGCTCTCCTCGGTCACCATGTCGTCATTTGCTTATCTTTTCCACCCAACGACCAACATCCACTCGAGCTACACGCCTATCTTTACAATCTTGGCTATTTTGTTATCTGAGCATTTATACGTGGCATTGAGATTGGTGATCCGATCGAGTGTACAGGCCTTGCCAAGCTGGTCCGATATTGTGGTGCGAAAAGAGGAATTCAATTTGAAAAAGATTTGGCTCAACAAGCTGATGGCTACAGGCAAAGCAAAACGTGCAGCAACCATCGATCCTTCACCTTCAGGATCCTCTGGACGTAGTCGTGATTTACGTGTCGAAAGCCCTGATCCACGTACCAAATCTTTGTGGTCCATCGATAGCACTCCCGAAGCAACCGCTTTACAGCTCATTCAAAATGCATTCAAAACTGAATAAAAAGGATAATGATTGCACAAAGAACAATGATCTCTTATGTGGTGATAGCCATCATAACTGAGAATCTATACACATGGGATGCAGCTTATTAAAGAATGACTAGCGGCTTGGTTTGCTCATCACATCTATCCATTCACTTTCGCAAAATGTACGCCCAAAGTAAAGAACTTCCTATGTCGATGTATCTCCTATTCGAGTAAATCATTGTACTCCTCAACCTCGTACCCAGCCTATCTCTTGTGGGTGATGTTGGATGAAAGGGTTACTTGATCAATGCATTATTGAGTTGGCCAATCGTTCTAGTTTCTATAGTAAGAGAACCCCTCCTTCTTCCTAAATTGGACCTCGTCGTATGTAGACATTTGATGTATTGTATTATCGAAAGATTTATTCAGGGTTGTAAAAGTATATTCGCTTCATGTGCTGTGATAAAGGAAAAGAAAGGGCCTGATTGATTCATTGTGTCTTGAACAAAGGCTGCATCCAAAATGTGTTCGAATCTTGTCAAAAACGTCATAACATACGTTCCTTTTGTATGGTCTAGGTCATGTAAGGTACAGTAGTCATTGTATGAAAATACGGGTGGAAATTTTAACCAAGAGCGCAATCACATAGCATATGACAAAGGGCTTAAATTTATTGCTGTATAACAACATACATACATAGCATTTAGTATTCGTGCATAACAATAGGCCAATTGCTCTTCTTCAACGTGTTGCAGTATGAATTGTAAGGTGAATTTATTATGATGTGTTCTATATCAGTGTGACCAACAAGCCCGGCACGATTTGCTTCTATCATGGTGTTCTCTTTTATTTGAGTACTTGTACATCTATTTACGAGCACGTTCACCGGATCCGAAAAACTTGCGAAGTACACCACGATACTCGAATGGCAACATGGGTGGTTCTCGTACACTGAATGCCTTGTAGGGATCAACTTGGCTAGGTAACCATATCCTGAATTTGGCCTCGTCGAATAATCCAGTAACAGCTGCCCATCCCATACTTGCAAATGCCAAGTCCATAGATGCACGTGATTTGTGGAATCCTTGTACCTTGAGCAATTTCGGTATTGGTTGTAGAGTATTGAGCTGCAATAGTTTGGGATCGAGTAAGGACAAGGAGGCTTGTTCTGAAGAATCTTTGGCTGCTTGCAACTTTTCATCCAGCTTGGCAGTCTTTGTGATGTGTGGGTTGAGATGTGTGAAGAGCGTCAACAATACTGGATCGGTAGATTCAAGCAGGTCAATGCGAATGAAAGGCTTAAGCACCAATGATTTGCCTGTTTCAAAATTACACATTAATATCAATGGATCCATCCTCACTCACTCCTTCTCAATAAACTACCTACCTGGAAGCAATCGAAACGTGAGAGGCTTGAGCTCATGTTGTCGTAAAAACTTCTTTTGATCCGCAAACGGCATCAAATGTATCAGCTGCTGGTCATTGATTATGCCAGGTGTATCGACAAGGAAACGATCGCGTTGAAAGCCGTGTGGAGAGTTGTCATTATTGCTGCTCATCCCAAGTGCATGAAGAGGTATACGAATGGTGCCCATTGTGGTGCCTGGTGCAGGTGAACTAGTGATACGATATTGACGTTTGTCGCTTCCAGTGCGTTGTTGCGAAACGATTTGATTGACCAAGGCTGATTTGCCGACATTGGTTGCACCCACAAGATATACATCATCCGTAGGCATACGCTCCTCGTCAATACGTCGTAATAAACCTTGAATACCCCATCCTTTTGTAGCACTGACCAACTGCACGTGTTGAATTTGAGATGTGCTGATCCCCTGTTGTTTGGCATGTTGCACAATCCAATCTCGTAAACGTTGCTCATGACGGCGGACGCTACCTGGCAACAAATCGAACTTGTTGGCTGCCACAATGAATCGCGCACTTGGATTCGTCGGTAGTTGTGCCAAAGAGAAAGGTAAATCCGTCACATCCACCACCACCACGATCAATGGATTACGCTTTGTCTTGAGGAACTCAAGAGAACTATACTGTTTGCTGGCACGTAAAAATTGGGCCGAGGTATTGCTGTTGCCACGATGCTCCAACTGATAACATCGCTCACAAATGATACGTCGTGTCGCCTTTTTGTCATCCATATCATCCACCTTTTCAACAACTTCATCATTCAATGCGTCACTCTCTTCAGCTGATGGTTCTTCTTGTTGTAGTAAAAGCGCACGCGTCTCGGGATCCAAGTTCTCAATAGCAGCGTGATACTGTTGCTCGTCCAATGTCTTGTTGCTCCTTTTCTTTTCCTTGACAGGTTTCTTCTCACGTTCAACGTAAAAGCCAGGCTTGGAAGAGTCGCTCGATTGGAATGGTGCACCACACCCAGGACAATGGAGTGAAGCAGCCGTGCTTGTCAACCGTTTGACAGTGACAGGTGTGGCCCAGGTCGATCGTATTGCTGTTGTTGACCAATGTGGAGTTGGAAGTCGCATGGCCAAGGTGCTGAAGTATGTAACGGATCGTGGGACGAGTGTTTGCCGTGATCGTGAGCTGATCAACCGACGACATGGGATCAGTGCTCTTGTTCCTTTCATGTTGTGCGCAAGAAGAGGAGTGAAGGAAAATCAAATTGGGCAAGGGCAATTTTATTTGACTTGGCGCAAGGAAATGATAAGTGGCACATAGGGATTGCTTATTCTGTTGAGAGAAAAGATATAGGTTGGGACTAATCCTTGCACCGGGGATGCATATACAGAGTCTCTTGAATCGGATGAGTGATGAGTTTTCCATGTAATCGCTGTTCAAGTAGCCTTGAATCGACTTTCGGCTTTCAAGTAATACCACCTGCCAGCAAACACCTAGGAGCAAAATTCGCCAAAAAGCCTATTCGGCATGCAAGATCGAAACAAAGCTCTTGTTGAAACACGTACACACCATAATTTGTGCTTAATCATTGGAAAATTTGCATACTCATGGATAAATAAATGAAGAATTTATAAGACTTGATTGCGTTTGATGCTTACCATACGATTGGAGACCGTATAGCTTGATCTTTTGGTAAAGCGTGTGATCCCCTTGGCTTTTCAGCTGTTGCCGTACGTTCTTTAATAGCAGCTTTGTTAGCTTGATCTTGTTTCCGCAAAGTGCTTGTTGTCTTTGGTATTGGGCGGTCCAGATACCTCAAGCAATGCCATCATCAAGCCGTATTCCTTCAAAGAGTTCATCTGCCACTGAGCCTTTAATCCCCCTTTAACGCGAGTTGTTCTTCGGCCTTCAGAACGTCGTACCCATGGTCACCCCTACCAGCATTGGCTTGTCAGCAACATGGCATGAATCCAATCTTAGCTCTACCAACTGACCATTCCTAATCAATAAAAGCAACGTCTTTGATCGATTGAACGGGTGTTGGCAAAACGAATTTCGCTCTGTTTGATGTATTAAGGGCGAGGACCCATCTTGAGACGCTGCTATGTATAACACCCCCATGCGGGCTGTGGTAGAATAGGCCACCTAATCCACCTTTGTATATCCTGCTCGGAAGGTAGCTAATCAAAGATGATTGTGAGTACGTGCTTCATCACGCACGATGGTTAGGTTTTTACCTTACACAAATCGCCAAATATCATAATGACAACCATGACAATAAAAGCGGGTAACTTCAACTTGAGCTTTGAAGGTGCCAGTAATCAAAGAGCGATATGATGGAAGAAAGAGATGTGTGGGAGTAAAGTAATGGGGGACAACATCTTCTATGTGAAGAGGTGGGCGTGGGTATTTCTGTAATCACAAAGAGTGATAAATGTTTGTTTGTAATGGTGAGGCGCCTTCACAAAGATCCTTGATGTGATTGATTGTCCATGCATAAATCAGGTTCTGTGATATGTAGACAAGGTGGCATTATCCCAATTTATCAGGAGCACAATGCTTTCATTCCGTTGGCTAGGATACAGTACCGTATACGAACAAGATTAAAAGCTCTAGCATACAAAGCTCAACAGCATTAAAAGAGGCAACCAAAAAGTGAATACAAAAAGGCTGGGAGGTTGGGTTCATTGCTGTAATTTTTGCAAAGATCTTTGAAGGTGTAACGAATGGGGTCGTCAATCATCATCTCTATTTAATACATCATCCAGTAGCAGCTTCTCTACAACATAAAAGCACCTTGGAACACTTTTTCCAACTATCAAAACGTGTCTACTTAGGGTCTTGGCTCCTGGCACTCAAATTTGTCTACAATGTTTGTGCATTAGTAAACCAGCAGTGTTTAAATCTCATGCCAAAAAACCTACATCCCCATCTCTCGCCGGCATTGGCTTTGGGATCGTGTGTAACCCCTATATACTTGTAGCATTCAGGTTCCACGCATTCTTCATCAGTTCTACCCTCGCAGGGTTTTTTCGTGTTTCCACCCGCTTGTCCACCTGTTTGTCCATCCACTTGTCCTCCGGATTGACCTCCTCCTTGGGTAGTAGCAGCGCTAGCTGCAGAAGCGATAGCACAAATGACAGCAATGGTAAGAAATTTCATGGTGATAATGCAATAGAGAATTTGGTAGCATCGCCCTTTGCTCCTTTTATAAGCGCATCGCACCAGGATAATAGGTTATCTATAAGGAGTCCTTGCAGCAATGCGATACATACATGCATACATTTTCTACAAGGAAAGATATGGCGTCATGCGAGACGCGAATCTATCATTGAAATACTTATGGACACGAAAACATCATCATGCTGGTTTTCAATCACTTTAAAGTAGTATAAGAAGGTCGTTAGCAAGATACATCGCATTGGCAACCTTTTAAGTGAAAATCTATACGTCTGGTATGCGATCATGTATGCCACAGCTGCATACTCTGAGGCTCTTTGGGATGACACAATGCAGCTTTAGAGCGGAGTGGCTGTTCAGGTGAAACTTTTTAACATTGCCTAGCAACCCAAAGTTGAAGGTCTTCAAATAAGAAAGACGTTTGTTTTTAAGGTGACGCTATCTTGACCACTACCAACCTCAGCACGTGCCCATAAAAAGTGGCTGTTGACAATCATTTAGCCAACGTGGCACCGGGAAAACAAAAAGCTATATTCATGCTGAGGATGTATGTTATCGCCGACACTAATGCATATGGTGCCCCTGTCTCTCCGAATCTCAATAGTTTACCCCATCCATTTGGCACTTTTGCCGGTAGCACATGAACCCTGTATCAATAAACCTACTACCGGGACAGTCTCCACAGAAAACAAAGGAGAGCTGTTGGAATCGCAAATGGGAAAAAATGGTGGTACGTGCATTAGAAAGTGCTTGAAGATCTTTCTACAAGTGCATGATGGGAATAAAGCGCTTGCCATATTGGGAAAGAAAGATTGGATTTTCTCACATTTGTAAGTTAATTGATACAGGTGCTTGGATCATGGTTACTTGCACCTTTGCCTTTGATGCGAAAGATGAAAAGTGATCAATGAAGGTGGTATACAATAGGCCATGATACGAGAGATCCTTTTGCAAGTAGTACATGGTGAAAAGGGAGTACCGCCATGTGCATACAAACAAAGGAGTCAAAAGCATGACGAAAGAGCTTGCTACTACTACTACTTCAGGTTAAAGATTTTCCCCCAACGATTCCTGGTCATTACGTAGTGTGGCCAAAAGGTGTCAACCATGACCTAGCTGGTCTATAATAGGGATGTGTTACATGTAAACGCGCACTATGGTTTATATTAAATGTCAATAAGTAGCTCAACACCTCGAAATATAGCGACGTGGTTAGCTGATCGTCACATCATGATGGGGTGAAGCGAGGGAGGGATGCTTATGTGAGCACCAATAACCCAGATCAGGGTACATACTTTTCGGTGAGCTGCTCAAGTTGAGCTTGATGTGCTAGTCCGAGAATTCAACCTTTCGGAAAAATGCTCGGAAGGCAAAGCATGAGGTATATAAACAGATCAAGTCCTTCCCCACTGGATTTATGGCATAGACTTGTTTAAAAATGTCCGTTGCTAGCACTTTGTCAAGTAATGTCGGCTCCGATGATACCAGCACTTCTCCGCGTTGCCATGCCAAAAAGAAACCTGGTCGTAAACCCAACCCAGCATCACCCGCTTTACGCAAAGCACAAAATCGTGCTGCACAACGCGCATTTCGAGAACGTAAAGAACGACATATTATGGAACTTGAGGGCGAAAGCAAACAGTTACGAGAACAACGAGACGAGCTGCTTATAGAAAACAAAGCATTACGAAGCAGCGTTGGTGTGCTTGGTCAAGAAGGATCGTATCTCAAGGGGCTGGTCCTCAGCTTGCAACTTGTTTGTCTGTTACACAATCTTGCTATCCCAGACCATGCACCCCACTTGAACACGCGCGATTTACTCGTTTATGCACAAAATCAACACACAACAACATCAACGACCGATGGGGTGCTTTCATCGTATACAGAGATGTGCAAGCAAAATGTACCACCATCCATCAAATACGCTCGCATCAACAAGAACAAACCAACGCATCAAATAACAAAAGCACCCATCTTGGTATCCAAAGATGAGATACGTACAGTCGCTGGGCGCGATGCTTCTATCATTTCTTTATCTTCACAAATACAACAGCAGCACGTGTCTTTACCCTCAACCCCAAAGGACCATGTGCCCGAACCCAATAAGCAATCCATTGCTGCTCATGATGATGATACCCAGCCCATCGATTCATCGATCCAACATCATCCAAAATCCAAAAACGACAAAAAGCAAGAGGGCGTAGATACACCCATATTCAACGCTGACCCTATCATGCTCACGCGTGATCCAGTGCCATCATTCAACCTTGCCAATTTTCAAACCACACGTTTGCACAGGCTGCTCCAATCGGCATGTAGCAAAATGGCATTCTCAAATAATGGCACCTTTTTGATCGAGCCCACTGTATTGCAGGTAAATGAAAAGTATAAAGATGAATGTACGTATCATTGAAGTATACTCATATTACGTTTACGTGTTCTTTAGTGTAGCGTTGCACATGATCCACGGATCGACTTGATCCCCGTTGCTGGCATACGTGATCGCATGATCCTGTTTTTCGACTTTTTCGATCTTGATGAATGCTTGAAATGTCTCTTGGATGGCGTGGAATTTGTGGATGGTGGTGATCCAACCCATGTCGGGAGTTGGCGTTGGCCAGCCGAGTTTTATGAAAAGTACTGGTATCTATCACATGACTATAGCAACCCTGTGATTCGAGAACGATGGCCCTATCAACAACAACAACAACAACAACCAAGCTTAGTCGATCTATTGTTATCACCTTCTAATTGTTCGGCGAATGATGTACTTTCCATGCTATTGCTTGATGATCATCAACAACACCAGCATTCTCCATCACCGCCACCATCATTATCCTCCGACGCACAATCCTCGGTCGATTCAAGACATTCTTTAATATCCACGGATGATGAATTACTCTCAATGCTATCACCAGGAAATGAAAGTATGTACATGATGTTGCATGAAAAGGTCTTTATTGGATCTACTAACATGAGCTTTATAATTAGCGGAGGACATGTCACTCGACATTGATGATTTGCTTGTCACAGAAGAAGAGTAGTTGAGCATTGTATTATAAGATTTTCCTGTTTGTGATGATGTATAAAATGTATATGTATATATGAAGTTCTTCCAAATGACGATTAATGTATGTGTGAGTGAATGAGTGAATGAGTGTATAAGGTAAGCGGTGTGGGACACCGATCATCCTGGCATTGGAAACAAGCGTTACACATTCATCGGTGGCTGTTGCATGGCTCGAGACACATAACACACACATGCGGACTGCAAGTTGTACTTTTTTTTTCTTCTTTCATTCCATTTTTCCACCCAAGTTCCACCTCTTTCCAGAGTCGTTTATGCTATTCGAATATCCAACAAAGTGAATCAACGTCATTGGCTCTCTTCCATATAACAACTGCTGATTCATCCCGGCATTCGGCTCTCATAAACAACAACCCTGATCGCTCTTCAACATGGCGCTTCATTCCAGTACTACAGCGTTCCGTTCGATTTCTACTGCCTTTGGTGGTATTATTCATCGAACCACCCGAATTTCTTCTCGCAACCCCATTGAGATGGTGGTCGTTACCCTCATTTTGGCGTCGTTTTGCTATTTTTACCTCTTCAACCTTGCTCGTACTTCAGACATCTTCTCGGGCACAGTGACACGCCTATACCCCACCTCTGTCATTGCAACAAACGGTGACTCTTCATTCACAACGCTCGATCGCACGCTCAATGATAATCATCCACTCCCTGCTGATGCTATCAAGATCCAAGTCAAGCAGGTGGTTGTAACGGATCCTGACCATGGCAACGACGTCCTCAATCATCATACATTGTCATCGCTTTTACACTTTCAGAATATGGTTGAAAACGACATTTACGTGCCAGACAGTGCATCCGTGAAACGATTTGCTTTCAACAATGATTTATGCTACAAGTCATCAGCTTCAAATCAATGCTTTGTTCAATCACCTTTGCAACTATGGCCCTCTCCTTCCGACATCTTGAATACCGACACCGACATTACAAAGACCCTTGCAAAGCATCCTGAATTGGCCAAGGTTGTTTTTGGAGACTTGGTGCTTGAGGATAATGAGGCATCTGCACATTCCATGATCGTTTCGTATGCATTCAACGCAACGGGCGTGTTTCGACAGCACTTGGCAGACCTTTGGGAACACAAAGTGGCCACCCTTGCACAAGGCGATTTAGTGTCATTGTCCAATGTCGGCCAACAGCATGACAATGTCTTTTCTTGGTTCTTTACTATCACCCGCAATGTTGTTATTCGTATCAAGGAGCTCATTGAGGTATGTGTCTTCATTGTTATCATCATAGTACAAAGAGACCTTTTCATTCATCACATCTTTCTCCTCCATGCAGGTGGCTGACAATGTTGACGTCGCTGTCATTTTGGCTGGGTATCTCATGATGATTGCAACCTTTGTATCACTGTACACAAACATGCATGCAATGGGATCGCGATACACTCTTGGTATGTTTTAAAGTTTTATGGGGGGAGGAGGAGGACATGGATAAAGCTATAGGAGACTAACAGGATAATCGTATAGCAACCGCTGTGGTGCTTAATGGCTTCTTTTCGTTCATGCTTGCCTTGTTGACGGTGCACATGCTTCATGTGGATGTTTATCCTGTTGTACTAGCGTAAGTAGTGGGATTGGCTCTAAATAATAGAACGAATGCTAATATTTACATTCTAGTGAAGCAATCCCGTTCTTGGCAGTGACAATTGGATTCGAGCGTACACTCAAGTTGACCAAGCGAGTTTTCCAAATCAGCAGAGAAACGCCCATCACACGACAAAACATTCGCAAGACCGTTATCAAGGCTGTGGATTCTGTTTCATCATCGATTGCTCGTGATTGTCTTATGGAAATTGTCGTTCTTACTATTGGCGCCAAATCTGGTATCTCGGGTCTACGCGAATTTTGTTTCTTGAGCGCCATCTTGCTTGCCTACGACTTTATCTTTATGTTCACTTGGTACACGGCTGTTCTCACTCTCAAGTTGGAGGTAAGGATTCGATGTCTTGTATGTATGTATATGGTTTTGATGACTAAACGTTGTTACATAGTTGACCCGCATTCGAGCCATCAATGGTACAATGGGAACGGCTGCCAAGAATGGACACAAAAAGACTGCACCAAACACCGGTTACATACGTCGTACAGTGGCCAAGATTTTTAGCGATGCCGATGCCACTCATCCAAACAATGACCGCGTGGATAGCTCAGTTATCAGCCGTGCCAAACTTATGATGGTAAAGTATTATTTCACATTATGCCGCTTATATGATGCTAATTGAAATGACTACTATAGATTGTTGGGTTTGTGGGTATCCATGTATTCAAGCTCTGTTCGACATTCCAATATCAGGGTCCCCAAGTCAACATTGAAGAGCCCAGCATTGCCAGTGTTTTGGAAAAGTTGCTCATGTCACATCGCATGTCGGCACAGAATAGCCGGCCATTGATTGTTGAAGTTTTCCCGCCACTTCCTTTCCACATTGCATCCTTGGCCAAAAAATCATTTATCCCGGATGCTATTGCCAAGCCGTTGGATTCACTTCTCAGCACATCCGCCGTTTACATTCAACATCCCGTCATCAGCAAACTCCTATCACTTGCCCTCTTTGTGTCATTGTTCCTTAACACCTACTTGTTCAAGGTGGTGCGTCAGCCCAAACAATCCGAAGAACGTGAAAAGAATGTCGTCATTGATAGCAGCAGCAGCAACAAATCATCTCCTATCGTCAACACAACCCCTGCACCTGTTACTGCTACTACTGTATCCAAGGTTTCTTCTCCTTCAGATGTGATTCGACCCGTGGATGACTGTATGGCCTTGATCAAGACACCAGAGGCATTGAATGATGAAGAAGTGATTGCTCTCGTGCAAAATGGCAAGCTTGCATCTTATGCTTTGGAAAAGGTGTTGGGTGATCTTACACGTGCAGTGCGTGTGCGACGTGCCTTGATTTCTCGTGCTTCCGTAACCAAGACGCTTGAAGACAGCTTGTTACCTATCAATGATTACCATTATGACAAGGTGTTTGGAGCATGTTGTGAGAATGTTATTGGATACATGCCATTGCCATTGGGTATTGCAGGCCCTCTCAATATCGACGAAATCAGCACACACATTCCCATGGCAACCACCGAAGGTTGCTTGGTAGCATCGACGGCACGTGGCTGCAAGGCAATTAATGCTGGCGGTGGAGCAAGAACCATTGTTACCAACGACATGATGGCACGTGGACCATGCATCAGCTTTGCAAGTGTTGTACGAGCTGGTGAATGCAAGCGATGGATTGAACATGAAGGCCATAGTATTGTTGCAGATGCATTCAATTCAACTTCTCGATTTGCTCGTTTACGTAAACTCAAGGTGGCCCTTGCTGGCAAATTGGTGTTTGTACGATTCTCCACATCAACGGGCGATGCCATGGGCATGAATATGATTTCAAAGGGCTGTGAAAAGGCATTGAGCGTCATTTCAGACTACTTCCCGGACATGCAAATCATTTCACTTTCAGGCAACTATTGTACGGATAAGAAGCCAGCTGCTATCAATTGGATTGAAGGTCGTGGCAAATCAGTGGTTGCTGAAGCTGTGATTCCTGGTGCTATTGTTGAAAAGGTTCTCAAGACTACTGTATCGGCTATTGTTGAATTGAATATCAGCAAGAACTTGGTGGGTTCAGCCATGGCAGGCTCAGTGGGCGGTTTCAATGCACATGCTGCCAATATCCTTACAGCCATCTATCTTGCCGCCGGTCAAGATCCTGCACAAAACGTTGAAAGCAGCAACTGTATCACCCTTATGGAAGCTGTCAATGAGGGTCAAGATTTGCATATTTCATGTACGATGCCTAGTATTGAAGTGGGCACCGTGGGTGGTGGTACCATTCTTCCTCCTCAACAAGCTGTTCTTGATATGCTTGGTGTACGTGGTCCACATCCCACGAATCCTGGTGACAATGCACGTCGTCTTGCTCGTATCATTTGTGCTGCTGTCATGGCTGGTGAACTTTCTTTGTGTGCTGCATTAGCAGCTGGTCATCTTGTCAAGGCTCACATGGCTCATAATCGTGCAACCGCTACCACATCATCAGCATCTCCCCCAACACCCGCTGCCACTCCCGTACCTGGCTCATGTATCAAGTCATAAAAACACACACACACACACACATAGACATTACCACAAAAATACACCAATTCTTAATAAACACCATGAACGCATCATTGTACTAGTAAGCATCGAAAAGGATTGGGACGTTTATGGTAGGCTTTATACAAGGAGGTTGAGTATGGATGTTATGGGTGAATATAATGTGAACCCGTATTCACTTAACCTGGATCGGCATGATGGATCGAGAAAATTGAATCATGGAAGCCTTAAAGTAAGGTCTACGTATTGTGCTGAAAGTTGCAGATGATCCTTCATTGTTTACATGATCTCAAATCGAGTGAATGATGAGTACTAATAGCTTGAACAAAGAAATCGCTCTCTCTTATGGCTTGACTTTGCAATTAAAAATGAGGCAACATACAATGTGATTAAAGGACGACATACATAAGGAAAATGGATGCAGCGCACAAAATGAAATGAAGGTGGCGATTACTAGACCATACTCTTTCGTCGTGCCACAGCAACGCAGTTACACAATCGGTGTATGAAGGAAATGGCTGTCAAACATGAATCCAGGTATGTTTATAATTGAGGATCATCTTGTTTATTACTCTTGCAGTAAAACTGCCTAGTTAATCCAAGGTAAAAAGAAGGGAATTTGAAGCGTCAACTTCGATCTTGCTACTGACAGGTTGTTGATGATGATCCAGCAGGCTCTCGACTAGCTCGCTTCTCGTCTGTGCATCCGTGTGCTCCCGTGAGCTTGACTAAATTTGGTGCAAAGTCAATTTGTACCAAAGTGAAACATGAGCAAACCAAGTGGTGCACGGCTGGCAGCAACAATAATAATAGCCCTTTTCTCTTTGTCACTCTTTTTACCTCTTTGTTTCCTTCCACTCCAGTATACACGAGAAATGACTCCAGTGAGCAATCAAGTGGAACCCCAGCAAGCCCATGACGAAGCAATCCACAACAATGGAATCGATGAGAAGATAACAGCAACGACGACAATGGCACCATTCGCACAAAAGTTGAGCAAAGGGTTTGGGCTTATTCGACAAGTGAGTTCTATAGTTGTGTGTGGGTGTGGTGAAGATGATTTTGGTTGTCATGGAAATAGCATGTGCTTATCTTCCTAGTCCCCTAGTTTGCACAGGAACGTATGGGTACAGCAACGGATGTAACCGAGTTACCACAAGCCTATAAGGATTTGGAAAAGGTAAAGATGAAGGACAAGTGGGATGAGCGTTTATTGAGCCATTCATGTATTAGAGGATGGATACGTTGCGACAAGCACAGATGCAACTACTCAAAGTTTCTCGTATCTATGGACAACCAGCATACGATTGCCCAACGCAGCATTTTGATGAGTTATCCTATGCCCTTAAGGGTATCGATGGCAGCAGCGGCAGCCACATGAATTACGAACGACCCAAAAGTCTCCCGCATGCATTGGCACGTGTCGCAGCTCAGGGATCAGAAATGATTATCAGCAACAACAATGACAGCTCCGGTGTTGATGTTGATCCATTGGCAAATGCATTGCACCAAGTAGCAACCACCTATGAAAAGATTGGAGATGCACGCATCGAAATGGACAAAAGCATCACATCTCATTACCATCAACCCATGCTCGACAAGTTGCAATCAACATTCGATCAGGCCATCAAAGCTCGACGCCACGTGCAATCCACTCGTTTATCGCTTGATGCTTGCCGGGCACAATATCGATCTGCATCATCCGATAGGAAGGATACCATGCGTAGGTATTGTGAACAAGCCGAGGAGCAATTCGTATCAGCTGTATTACAAGCAACCAATCTCATGAAAGAAGTACTATTGGATGTAAGTATCACTTTTTCGATCACCAGGCAACATGTATTTACTTTTTTTATCCAACAGCCCGAACCATTCAAAGGTTTAACAGAGCTGGTCATTGCACAAGCTGCATTTTACAAGGAGGCACACGAACGACTATTGCAACTTGCACCTGAATTGGATGAAATCCTTGTGCTGCAAGAATCTCAATATCGAAAAACACGGGGTTAATGATCTATATTATGCATCATCACCATCTTCTTCTTTCTTCAATCAACCTACTACCTCTGGAAGGTCCACATGATATAGAACGCATGGCTATTTTGAGGGCTGAGCCCTTGGAGGTGAAAATAGTCATCCTTAGCATTACTTTTTTAACATCATTCATCCATAAAAATAAAACGTGTGATCATGTTTAATATACAAAAGTGGGCGGGATGATACATAGAGCCATGGGAAAAAAAGGGGTACTGCACGGACATGAATTGAAGGAAAAAAGATGTGCGTTTCAGGCACCCTGGCTGCATTAAACTTGCCATAAAAGATAAGCAGGGCCCATGGTAAGGGCAGCAAAAAGGGACATCTCAATACAACTCGTGGAACTCCGTACAATTGTATGGCTAGCGTCACTCACCCACATTTAACCATACACACACGCGTTGTCCCATGCTCGTATTATACACTGCAGCAGCAACAGAGCGCTTGTATAGAAGTAAAAGGAGTCCACGAGGAAAATAGGAGGATCCATTTTGCAAATGCAATGACAAGTATCATAAAAAGTCAAGTATATCTAAAAGGGCAATTCCACTCTCCTCATTCTCTCTCTTTCCCTTCGTTTTTCTTTCCCCAATCCTGTCCTTTCTCAACTTCTTTTTTATTGATCTCCTTTCCTTTTCCACGTACATATACGATACATCTTTTTACATACTAATACCCAACCATGGCCACTATGGAATACTCGGCTATCCTTTCTGAGCTCGATCACGCTGTGAAATCGAATCAACCTCGCGACATTTTACAGTTTTGTTGTGATTTTTTTCATACAAAGCTAGCCCAACAACGGCAAACTTGGATGGAACAAGATCCTCAGGCACCACCAGTTGAAGGTACCTACAAGTGTACAACGCATGGGATCATAAAACTAACTCAACAAGGATAGTGATGGAAGAAGTCGCACATCATCCCATGGATCAAGTACATCCAACAGCAGCAGCAGCACCATCACCCTCCAATGATATAACCATGTTTGCTCCTGCAGGGTCACCTTTATCAGATCAACCTATGCCAACCCTGCAGAGTTCATGTGGCCCATACAGCAGCACTGATGATGACGATGACGATGATGACGATGATGATATCTCTGAAGGGGATGATGTATTTACTAGCGAGCTACCTGATTTTGCAACATTATGCCAACATCATAACCGTGGTCGACGCACCTCTGTGAGCGCTGAAAGCATGACACCCTCCAAGAAACGTGGTCAACTCTTTCAAATGCCTGTGATCCCCAAAACACAACAACAACGTGAACGTATTCGAGAAGCCATTGCCAACAACTTTTTATTCCGCAGCCTTGACGAGAACCAATACGAGGACGTGGTCAATGCCATGAGTGAAAAACGTGTGCAACCCGATGAAAAAGTAATTCAACAAGGTGACGTGGTGGGAGATTACTTTTATATTGTGGAGCAAGGCACATTGGATTGTTTTATCAATGATCAACATGTCGTTGCCTATGGTCCTGGTGGCAGCTTTGGTGAGCTGGCATTAATGTACAATAGTCCACGTGCAGCTACGATTGTTGCTACTTCGCATGGTGTGCTTTGGGCACTCGATCGTGTTACTTTTCGTCGCATCCTTATGGAAAACACAGCCCAAAAGCGATACATGTATGAGACTTTCCTTGCCGAAGTTCCTATCCTCGCTTCCCTTGATGCCTATGAGCGCTACAAGATTGCCGATGCACTTGAAACCGTTTACTTCAATGAAGGTGACACCGTCATCCAACAAGGCACTGTTGGCGAAAACTTTTATCTTATTGAAGCTGGTGAAGCTGGCGTGTATCAGGTTGATCCTGTAACTGGTGTTCAAACACAAGTCAACTGCCTTGCCAAGGGTGCCTATTTTGGAGGTACAGTAACACAATAATCATGCAGCCTATGTACCAGTACCAACCCCTCTCCACTTTTATAGAACTTGCTCTGCTAAATGATAGCCCACGTGCAGCCACAGTCATTGCCCATGGCCGTTTGCGTTGTGCTACGCTTGGAAAACGCGGCTTCAAACGATTACTTGGTCCCATTATGGATATCCTTAAACGTAATTCAGAAAACTACGCCCGTGTTATGGGTAGCGTTGAGTAATTTGCATCAGATAATCTTCATACATTCATACACACGTAACTTGACATAATTGACAACAGAGTCGTTCTCTTAATAAACTTTATCTGAACAAATGGGGCATTACTGTAAAGACGTCCAATGCAAATGTTTATAGAAAGCAAGATTGAAGGGGAGAGTGTGTGTATGTAAAATGGTGTAAAAGGGGGGAAAGGATAAAAAAGGCATGATGTTGAATATAGGGAGAATTAACGACGACGTTGCTTGGGTGTTGGAGTGCTAGCCTTGGAAGATCCCTTTTTCTATTATTCAACGAAAAGATCAGCATCATCAATGTCAATAGAATAAAGCATCTTACCTTCTTTTCTTCTTGGGAGCGTTCTTCTAATTCAGCATTTTCCTTTTGTACCAGACCGATGAGCGTATTGCAGCGTCGAGCAATCTCTTGAGACGTTCGTGACTTCAAGAACCAATTGAATCGGAACATGGGCGATTGTTTGATTTCTCGTCTAATGTTGTCGTACACATTTTCAGTGCCATAGCCGTATTTCTCAAGCATGACAAGCATGAATCGATCCTCGTCTTCTGTGTAATTCTTGCCCTTGGTTGGCTGTGTGTATTGAATCTTGAGTTGTTGCAATGGTACTCGGTGACGTGATACTTTTTCTGTGAGTTGCTCCTGGATATCAGCCATCTTCTCCAACTCGTTTTCACCACGCTCAATCTTTCCAATTTGGCGCTCGTAGTCTGCAATCTCGGTATATCGTTTCCAAAACACCTTGGAGTACTCTTGTACTTCCTCAAAAGTCTTTCCCTCAATTTCACCCGCTATTGCTTCCAAATTCTTGCGACCATATCGTGCACAGGCATTGACAAACGAAGTATAATCCTTCTTGGACCAATTGGAGAAACCATCCTCAAGTAGTTGTTTGCGTTCCTCTTCTTCCTTTTCAGTCAATGGCTCAGCTTGATCGATCTTGCGCTGTTCCTCTTCACGCTCCTTTTCTTGCTCCTTGATATCCTCAGGATCACCCTCCTCAGATACAGGTGGCACCTTGTAACCAACCGATTTGCGCAAATAAAGTGTGTCCTTTTCATTCAATTCACGTAGTCGTTTTGGGAAGAATTGGAAATCCTCAACTGCATATCGCTTCACACGAGGAGCCTTGGTGGATGGCGTTTTGGTGCTGATCCTCAATACTTCCTTGTAGTAATCATCCACAGCATAGTTGCCCTTACGCTCACGCTTTGCTGGTCCAAGCCAAGGTAAGCCTGCTCCTGCAGCTTTACGCTATATAACACGTGATGAGTTGAGTTTTTCCACTTTGAAAAATCATCCTTTACTTCCCCCCTAGCTTACCTTGTTGCTCCAATCTTCACCATCCCATTGATATGCGCTCTCAGATGTGAAATTGCGTAATTCATCAATGTTGAGATTCTCGTACTTTTTGTTGAGCTCGGCTGTCTTTTCTTCACCACGACGTAAGATCAATTCAATATCATCAGCGTCTTCTGCAGGCTGTTCGACACTTTCGCCCTCGTTAAAGATCTTTTCAGCACCGTGTTGGATCATCGTCAACAATTCATCCTTGGATGCAGCTATAATACAATAAGATCAATAACCCAATTACTCTAATTCACACTATTTCACTTACCCTTTTGGGCGGTTTGTGCACGTCCTTGTTGAATGACGAGTTGATCAAGACGAAGTTTTTGAGCTGCACGCTCCAAGACCTTCTCTTCAATGGCATTCTATGACCACAGATTGTTAAGTTGGATGCGAATACTAACGAACAAAAAACACTTACCTCGGTGACGAAGCGGTAGACATACACCTGTTTGGTTTGGCCAATACGATGTGCACGATCCATTGCTTGTAAATCAACTTGGGGGTTCCTACATAACACAAGTTAGAGAGAGATTATCGTTACATCACCCCTTTGTAATTACCAATCGCTATCAAATAGAACAACAATATCTGCAGTTGTCAAGTTGATACCAAGACCACCAGCACGTGTAGTCAACAAGAAAATGAATTTGTCGCTGTCGGGTCTGTTGTAGTCATCAATAGCATCGATACGGTCTTCTTGGTTGGTTTGACCATCAATGCGGCAGTATTCTACAACGAACAGCCGTTAGTCTTTTTCTTTCTCAAAAGTAGCAATATGAAATCACTTACCATAGCCACGCCACCAGCAGTAATCCTCCAAGATATCCAAAACACGACTCATTTGACTGAACAAAAGAACACGAGATCCTTTAGCCTTGAGACGCTTCAAGAGCTTGTCAAGAACAACCATCTTGCCAGCATTATCAACAATGTGCTGTTCGGTCGTGAAGGGTGGTCCAGGTTCCTAATCATTGATTTACCTATCAGTAACTGCACACCAAATAAAAAATGGGAAGTAACTTACAGCGCCATCAAAGAGATAAGGATGATTACAACACTTGCGGAGTTGCATGACAATGTTCAAAAGACGAGTCTTTCCTTCTCGCTTGGACAAGGCACCAGCACCTAATAGAATAGCCATCAGCATCATTTCTATATCAAGGATGAATAGATTCTTACCATTGATAGCATCGATATCCTTTTCAAGAATACGTTGATACCACTTTCGTTGCATAGGGCTCATTTTGACATAAACATTGACCTCCTTCTTGGGCAAAAGGGACTTTTCCACATCTGACTTGAGGCGACGCAATAAAAAGGGTCTCAAGACCTACATGCATGTAAACGTCAATACCCAAAACGTGATGTAGAAGAGATAGTGACATACCTTGTGAAGCTGTTCCACCACCTTCTTTTGATCATCATTTTGACTAGTGAACCATTCATCAAATGCCTCCGACGAGTTGAATACATCAGGGAGCAAAAAGTTGAGCAAAGCCTACATATAAAGAATGATGAGTAAAACCATTCTCATATCCACTCCTCCTATCCATAGACATACCCAGAGTTCATGAAGATTGTTTTGAAGGGGAGTACCAGTGATCAACATGCGATTGCGAGAGTGGAGGATGCGCATGATTTGAGACAACATCGAGTTCTCGTTCTTGATGCGGTGAGCTTCATCAATGATAATGTATTGCCAAGAGATCTTTTTGAATTGCGCCTTCTCCAACAAGCAGATCTCGTATGAGGTGATGCAAACTTCGAAATCGATTGGCTTGAGGCGATTGTCAATGAGTTCCCTCTATACCATATCCGTCATGTTAGTAATGAATCTAGCAACCATGGTGACGCATGATACGTACTCTAGTTTCCTTATCACCATGGAAAATAAATGCATTGAATTCAGGGATCCATTTTGAGAATTCGCTCTTCCAATTGTGCAAAGTCGACTTGGGAACAACCACCAAATGGGGTCCATTGATGCCACGAATATGCTTCAAATAGCCGAGGAATGAAATCGTTTGCAAGGTTTTACCAAGACCCTACATCCACCATGAGTATCCCGCATCATCTTGCACTTTTTGTCAACCTTACCATTTCATCAGCAAGGATACCATTGATGCCATTCTCATACAAAGAAACCATCCAGTTGAGACCTTGGACCTGATAATCACGCAATTTACCACCCGTAACATCTGATGATGGCGTAAGTCATCGGTGTATATATGATGCACCACTGCCAACTCCTTTTGTTCACTTACATGCTGGTGAGGAAGTAAACACGGTCAACTGTTCGCCTGATTCACCCGATTCATCCTTGAGAATCTCCTCATCTTCCTCCTTTTCAGTCTTTCGTCGACGTCGTGATCTGATAGAAGGGTCCTATTAGATTTTTGTTGTTGATAGTAAAGATCTCACTTACCCTTCATCTGCCTTGGCTTCCTTGCGTTTCTCTTCCAAAACCTTTTGCAATGCTTCATCCTTATTGCTCTTGATATCCAAAAAGTGGGCAAACAATTCAGTCTGATCAAGCAAAAAGCGGTAGCGTCTGACACGGTTCTCATACTAAGTAAATAAAACGGGATCAGAGATTGGCTGTGTGTGTGTCATATGGGATAAGAAACGTACTGCAGAAGGCTCGTCGAATGCCCTAGGCTTCACGTTGTTCTACAATGCGAATAGCTGGTTTAATCGAATACTGAAGGTAGAATCGTCACGATCGTGTCTTTCAAACCTCGTCATCTGCTGGGCTGTTGGTATCCATGGGAGTGCTCTGTTGAATCGTATAGCTGCGAATGAGAATCGGGCGAGCATGTAACACTGTCAGTTTTCACTTACAGCAGCGTCTTCCACAGGAGTGTCAACTTCCATTGGATCGTTTTTCTGTTCCTGTAATAAATGAGCGTCAACAAGAGAATGTTGGGTGCAATGTTGTCGTTGTCGTTGTTGTTGTTTTCTTACAGTTGTCTCTGCCATGGTTGGTGGGGTGCTGTTGTTGTGAGTGAATAAGGAAAACCAAAAGACAAAGAAAGCGCCGCTGGCTTTTACAAGAGGAAATGCTCGTACGCGCGCTTGATTTTTTGTGACGCGTTAGATACACACCATCCATCCCATCCCCATTCTCGTGTTGTTTTATCATTGAACCCCATACGCTATTAAATGGCATGGCGTATTCTAAACGACTTTTTTCTTACCATGGTACCACCTTACTTGAGATAGGTAAGCATGGCGCTGTCAACATTTGTGCTATGTGCACGTGATCTGTGCTTTCATTGTGAATCTGATACGTACCCTTTGTCACTTTAGCGGGGAGATGTGCCATACTATAGCAATATTCCTGATAAAGGCGACTTCCTTTGCAAAATGATGATCGAGTAGCCTATACGCTTACCACCATAGAGCATTGTTGGGATGTGCTTGATGTCCTACTAGCTGCCAACGCATAAACAAGGTTCTAGATTTTGAAAGCCCTTTGTATCTAGGACGTCCATGTTAAAGTATCAGAACCAAAACGTATCCAAAGCCGTGCTTGTTGTAAATAAAATACCCCTTTTACTTTAAAAACCACGGCCACATCATAGAGTTCATCCATTGTCTTTTACAACAATATGCAAGGGGAAAAGTGTTTCATGACATCTGTGCTTTCACCCATTCCATAAATGCTTCTTGAACATTTTTAGTAGCATCATGTATAGTCATTGTACGAAGCGTATGAACATTCGAGATGCGTCAATGTTTATCGGAAACGCCTTCCGTCAAAGTATCAATTAGGCGGGCAAAGGAGCTGGAATATGACTGTATGCTTCGTAATGATACGTCAGCTTATGCCTTTTTCTGCATCGGACCGCTATCTATTATAGGTCAGTGGTGCGTGTGTTCTCAAGGGATGATGATGGTGGTTTTGGGGGGACGACAAGGGGAGGAGGAGGAGGAGGTAAGGGAGCCTCTCAACCATGTGCGCTTCTTAGGTCCGCTCGCTCTTGTTTTCGGTCTCCTTTACACATATATCACCCTGATTCCTTCACATCATAGCACTAAAACATTATTATGTAGTGGCATTTTTACTCGATATATAATGTGCCACAAGAGTTCCAAGCTACATTCAAACAGCCGAACGAGATCTATAGCTCGCCTTGTACTACGTGGAAACAAGATGAATTATGACATAAATGGTGAAGGCTGTATTATGTCGTTTGTATATTCGGAAAGGGGAGAAGAGATCACCAGCAGAGTCGTTAGTAGAATATACATTAGCAGTAGGAGACCATTGTATAGCGAAGAACTAGGTCCCTGCATATGAAAGAGAAAGGAGTACACTAAACAAAGAACCTGAAAGCAATTTGAATGCGCGGTCATTGTTAACACTGAGCTTTCACCGCGTTTGAATCAATCATTACATCAGTGGGATGATCCACCCAAGGCGTTTTGGAAAGCAAGGCAAGGTTGTAGCTGGCAGTGTGTGTGTGCGACACGATGTACGCGTGAAGTTCTCACTTGTTCACCATCCGCTTCAAGGTAGTAGCGGGCCCATCTGTCCGCGATTATGAACTTGTGTAACGATCCATGAATGAGACGGTGGTTGAGTTGGTGGTGTGATCTTCAAGTTTTGTGGATTTTGGCGTTGCACACGCCTTGCTCTCAGCCTACTCGATCAGGAAGACACACGTCAACCTGTTTAATTGTTGTGTATCAAGCCTGCTGTATTTGTCTCATCATGAATCAGCCTCTTTTCAAACATTGCTTTGGTACTTGAAATCAACATGGGTAGCCTATTTATCTACCGCCTATCGATCTCCCCTTTTTGTTTATTAGTGGCGAGTCGTGTTATATATATTCATACACGAAAGGAAAAGGGGCGGGAAGGAAAGAAGAATGATTTAAAATGGGCGGGGTTTGTGTGGGACAAAAGGTGAGAAGTGTTTATAAATCCCAGGCTTTCGGGTCGTGCACTCGTTCATCCCCTCCTTTCTTTTTCCCCTTCTCTTCTCTCTCATTCTCGAGCACTTTTCCTTTATTACTACTACAACAACAGCATCACAGACGTCGAATTTTGGCCATCACCACCTAAATACGCAACAATGGTCGAACTCGAATATACGCCATGCGATGCTATTCCCTCTGTCGTACATGAATTGCAGCATTCTTTCAACGTCGGTTAGTTTTTTCATACGCACACATTAAAGACAACAACCATCAAACGCCAACACTTGTTGTTCATAGGCTTGACAAGAGACTTGAGCTTTCGCAAAAAACAACTCCAAAACCTAAAGCGATTTTGCGAAGAACAAAAGAGTGCTATGCAGGATGCCATGTATGCCGATCTCCACAAGCATAAAATTGAATCAGCAGTCGCCGAGATTGCACTCGTACACGATGAATGCAAATACATGCTTTCGGTATATAGCATGCATTAGCTTGTGTACCATAGCACCATTAACGCCTGCTTTGTAGAACCTTGATCGACTCGCCAAACCTACTCCCACCAAAAAGCGCTTTCAAATGAATCGATTCGATAAAACCTACGTTCGTAAAGAGCCAAAAGGTGTTGTCACTGTCATTGGTAAGTATGTTGCATGATGCCTCTTCAATGATCAAGCATGCTCAACTCCCACATAATAGGTGCTTGGAATTACCCGGTACATACATACATAGCTTTCCTCCCTGAATCAAGGCAACTTTGTTATACTAACAATGGCTTGTCTCTTAGATCAATTTGCTTTTGATTCCCCTTGTTGGCGCCATTGCAGCTGGTTGTTGCGTTGTGATCAAGGTTTGTATAATAAAAAATCATGACACTTTTTATCGTCAGCTGATAGCTTGCTTAATAGCCATCCGAGGTTGCAGTCAACACAGCCAATGTGATCACCAAAGAGCTTCCAAAGTACCTTGACAAGCGTGCCTACACCATTGTAAATGGTGGTCCCGCCGAGACAACTGTACTTTTAGGTAACCTACCAATAGCTATAACAGGGTCCTTTGATGATCACAGCACACTCATCTACAACGTTTATTGATTTTAGAACAAAAGTTGGGCCATATCTTTTATACTGGCAATGGCACTGTTGGCAAGATTATCATGACAGCTGCTGCCAAGACCTTGACTCCCGTCACCTTGGAATTGGGTGGAAAGTCGTAAGTATCACTTTGTATACATGTACACTTGCATACATAGGTATTCATTACCATTGCTCTAGGCCTGCTTTCATCGCACCCGATGCCGATTTCGAGTTGACTGCTCGACGTCTTTTGTGGGGCAAGTTCTATAACGCTGGTCAGGTACGATATAGTAGTAGCATATCATACATTCTATATGCTCACCCTCTACTTAGACTTGCGTTGCACCTGATTATGTGATGGTCTCCAAGGATCAACAAGAACGCTTTTTAACTGTTCTTCGCAAGGTCGTTCGCGAATTTTACACCGATGATCCCCAAAAGAGCAACTCGTATGGCCGCATCATCAACACTCGCCAATTCGATCGACTCAAGGGCATCCTAGACGCTTGTGATCCCAATTCGATTGTGACAGGCGGCGCCACTAACCGAGAAGACCTGTATATTGCACCCACTATCGTCAAAGATGTGACCAACGATTCTCCTTTGATGAAGGATGAGCTATTTGGTATGTCCATTTCCTCCATACTTTTTCTTCTAATCTTAATCTTACACGATGCGATAACTTTATAGGTCCCATTCTCCCTGTGGTGCCTGTCAAGGACATGGATGAAGCTATTGTCATTGTCAACTCTCGGTACGTGTGCCTATTGAATGTAAAAAAGCGAGACCTGTTAACATTGAATTCATATAGTGATCATCCTTTGGCATTGTACGTCTTTACAAAGTCGAGCACGACTTACAACCATAGTAAGTGTATTGATGTTCTCAATCATCATCAGCTGATCTTAATTTTACAACTCGTAGTTCTTGATAATTGCAACTCTGGCGGTGTTCTTGTCAATGACACATTGATGCATTTGGTATGGATTTGTCATCTTCCCCCTATTAAGAGACTTGGAATTCACTTACCTAAATCACATGATAGGCGGAGACCTCGCTTCCTTTTGGCGGCGTTGGCGGTTCTGGAATGGGCAACTACCATGGCGACAAGTCGTTTGATGCATTCACCCATCATCGCGCTACTATGATCAAATCGACGCAATTTGACAGCTTGCTTGCAACACGCTATCCTCCTTACACGGCTGATAAAGAATACATTATGAACATTATGGTTTATGGCTTGCCATCGTCCATCGGTGGAAAGATCAAGACCGTATTCCGAGCATGCTCAACAGCATACCGCGTCTTTTTCCGCCGTCAGCAGACTATTGCTTAATTACTACACGTGGCAGACGGCACCTACCCCATATCTTATTAAAATATATACACATCCTACACTCTTTTTTCTACACGATCCTTAATTACGCATGTATATGGCTATTTTCACTGTAATCTTCCAAATAAAAACACACGTATCCGAACCCATTCCCTTCTCCTCCACCCCCACATCCCCGTGTGACGTTCCACAAAAACATGTGCTTGTCGCGTCTGTGTGTTGTATATAGGGTGTGTAACAACATCAATCTCTTTATGTACAGAGACAAATCATACACGCCGCTTTTTGTTGGCCTTTTTTTCTGCTGCCTTCAGTGCTATATCCATGGCAACCATTACGGGTTTCAACATCTAAAAAGCGGTCCACTTAGAGCTATAGTGACATCCAACCTTCCCTCTCTCTCTTACCCTCTTGCATTTGTCAACGTCGCCTTGGTAGCTATTGACAGTGATCAAGATCTCATTGAACTTTTCACGTTGCTTCTTCAGGCCATCCGCCATGCGTGTGTTTTTATCCGCCCGGTATGGATCGTAAGAGGCCCAAAAATGTCTTAAGATCTCATTCGTCGCCGAGTGATAGCTCTGGACTTTTTGGTGCACTTGCGGAGGAAGTTTGACATCTAAATGGATTATCCAAAAGTTGAATTAGACGCGGTCTGGATTGAAATCCTTCTCATTCATTTAATCCATGCCATACCTGCTCCTGCCGTTTTCTGATCATGCATCACCTTCCGCTTTATGCTTTCTGTAAGTTGGAGGTAGGCGCTATCGGCTGTCTTTGGCTTCATGACCGACTACATGTGTGTATACATCCAATAGGCGTAAGTATCTTTGTCATATCCGAATCCGATTCATTTACCTTTGTCAAATCAGGTTGCCATGCGTCAAATTGTTCCTTGAAACTACCCAGCAGCTCTTTGGCATCCTAGATGACCTTGATGAGCTTACAAGATCATCATCCTAATCAACTCCTTACCTGTTCAGTGATATTGAGATGTCCACGGTCTTTGCTTTGGCTCTCGAAATAACGCTTTGAATCTTGAATGTCGAGCACAACACGTTCGGAAGGCTGTTCTGGTTGCAAATCGGGGATCTCGATTTCCTTGATAATGTCATCCTCGTTCTACAACAATCCAAGATTGATTCAGTATCACCTTACACGTGTCTTTATATCCCAGCAAACCTTACGTTGGCTTTTTGTTCCTTGAGCTTACTACATTAAGATACAAATGAGTCTTCAAATAATACTGATACAACATCGAGATAGCAACATACGATGGCGGAGTCTCCAACACTCTCATAGCATGACGATTGAACCTCCGGATCAAAGGTAGCACTTGGGTATTACCACCAGCTCGCATTGTGAAATCGGGTGCATTGCCACTGTCAATATGATCTTCTTGAGTAGCTGTAAGATCGATGGCACGTCTAATCTTGTCCAAGCTCGAAAGTTCAGGTGCTTTGGAATTTTCTATTCTCTCGCGTGTTAACTCATTTCGAAAATGAAGCCTTCTCATTCATCCCAATTCATTACCATCATCTTCCTCTTGTAAACATCGATCAAATATATCATCATACGTCGCCATTTGTGATCGCGCCCCCGTCCTCGATCGATGAAAGAATTCAGATGCCAAGAAACGTTTCCAAAAGTCTTTTTCAGAGACCTAATAATGGATGCATGAATCAGTGATGGAATCCATATCCAATTTACTTGTACTTTCCCTACCTTATCCGGTACATTGGTATCATAAGCTCTCTTGACTAACAAGGATCCACATGATTAGACAAGGTCGATTCCGTCCAAAAGTTAAAATCCAATCTCCCCCTCTTTACCTGATGGAAACTCGGTGAAAATGTTGTGGATGATTTGGCTCGTAAGCGTGTACTTGACATCCGATCCTTCTTGTTGACCCGGCATCAATTCAACCATCTTGGATGATCGTCCCTTTTGTCGTCCTTCACGAGATACAGTATCCTTTTTCAATTTCTACAAAGAGTAAATGAGTAAAAAACGAACCACCCTTTTTGAATATCCTTTTTCTATACCTGGCGTATCCGTTTCACATAAGGACTTGCCCAAAACTCTTCTTCTGTCACCGTCTTGCCTTGGACCACGAGTTCCATATGCAACGTATGTAATTCTCGACTCGTGGATAGTAGCTGCTTTCTTGCATTGAATTCTTCATGCCGCCATGCTTGTGGGCTACCGGGTATTGGGCTGCTAACAGCTGATGAGGATGGGGTGGATGGTGCTTGTTGTTGTGGTGTTGCTGGTGCAGGGGAAGATGCTGCTGTAGCTGTAGCTCCTGCGGGCGTGGAAGGTGCACTACTTGGAGGATGCGGTGGTGGTGGTATAGGTGTTCTAGCAGGTGACCGATGAGGTGTTGCTGACGATGGCCTTGATCCTCCCCGTGCTCGTGCCAACAACTCGGTGATTTGAGACTTTACAGCTTCGCGTTCTGTTAAAGCCTTTTGCGAAATGAACTGGAACGTGTAATCTTTGGGTGCTGGATCGGCTGTCGTCGAGATCTTCAACAGTACTTTGGCAGCTTTTTCAGGCGTCTGTTGTAACCCTACAATGGTACACGGTCTGATTCGTATTCCTTGATACATACTCGACTACCCGGCTCACCCCCCCCCAGATCTTACCTGAAATGCTGTTGTAGAGGATAGATGGGTTCAATTGTGGTGTTCCTTGTTGCTGCCATGCTATTCGTCGTGGTGTCACAAATAGCGTTCCCTCGTTCTTTTTGTATAGTACTGGTGCTCGAAGAAGCAGCTGCTCATTGGGTTCCCACATGGGTAGAAAGAGGAAGGGGTTGAGTATAGAGAAAGGAAGGGACAGTGGATGACTTTTTTGTTGCATACACATACATAAACTCTCCGCAGTGGCACTGACAACCTCCATTCATGTCACCTGATTACAGACACAATGCGTCGTTGATACTCTGCTATCTCATTTAACTTACCATCAGTATGCTAATAAAAGAAACCGTTCGAGGACCATTCACCTGATACGTGTTGATGTCCTTAAAATGACAATCCCAATAAGAGAGGAGTGGCATGTTGATTGATGGTGTACTTGATGATGAGGGTCGAGAAGGTGGTGATGCCTTGCCTTTAACATGTAGGCATAATATGGTATACACTCTTCTTGTGCAGAATGGTCCATTGTAGAGACTTATCAATATACCAATTGGGAAGGAAATAAACAAGAGGACAATCAATAGGGGGCTACTAAGGTTCGCCTAATGGACTCAAAGACAATGAATACATAGCTATGAATGATACACAAGCTATGTTTATTGACACGTGGGATATTGATGGGGTACGCAATATTAGTGAAAGCGATGTATGAGTACGTTTTCGAGTAGATCTTGCATAATCTGATAAAGCATAGAGCCTATGAAGGATCATGGTTGAAGACGATCCTTATCCTTGGGCATTCAAAAGTGCACACAAATCGAGATACGAGAAACACATGTTATTTATCAGTGACAACAACCTTTTCATGCATACATATGCATATGCATGAGATGTTTTAATGATGTGATTTGATATATGGAGCATTCAATCATCGAAGTTTGTGGGATATCAAAAGAACAATAAAGGATGATGCTATGAAAAGAGGAAGGGGATTGGAGTTGCATGGTGATGGATCAAGGAGGAGGAAGTATAGTAACACAAGAACAAAGCAAGAGGCTGAACTAGAGTGGATGAAGAGCAAAGTGACTCATTCTTACCATCTGCAATCAATTGATAAACTCAGAATCTGGATGCCAACGTCTCTTCTTTTTCTTTTTTTTTTCTCCTTCAAACCCACTAATACTACTTGGCTATGACGAGTAATACGGCTGAGGCGACCTCTATTGTCGCTCCAGACGTCTCCAAAGTATCCATCCTCGGCTCCGAATCGATCATCCTCGGTTTCCACTTGACGGAATATATTCTTCGCGATGTCCTGACATCCATCCCAGCATCCAACTATGTCTTGATCACTGATACCAACTTGGCCACTTTGTATCTCCAAAAGTACATTGATTGCTTTAACAAGGTCAGCGGTGAATTGTTCCAAGGCAAAAAAGCTCCTCGTCTTTTCACTCGAGTCCTTCCTCCCGGCGAACTTACCAAATCGCGCAAGACCAAAGACGAGATTGAGGACTGGCTCTTGTCCAATGCAGTGACACGCGACACTTGTTTCCTTGCCATGGGCGGTGGTGTCATTGGCGATCTCATTGGCTTTGTTGCTGCTACGTTCATGCGAGGCGTTCCCTTTGTGCAGATCCCCACCACGCTCTTGGCCATGGTGGACTCATCGATCGGTGGCAAGACAGCTATTGACACCCCTGCAGGCAAAAATCTCATTGGTGCCTTCTGGCAGCCCAAGCGTATCTTTATGGATCTCGTCTTTTTGCAGTCATTGCCTGAACGTGAATTCGCCAATGGTATGGCTGAAGTTGTCAAGGTAACCTTATTATCCATCATTGTCATAGCAACACACCCATCTAATGGATACATTTCAATGTAGACGGCTGCTATTTGGAGCGAACCTGATTTCATAAAGTTGGAGAATGGTGTGGATGCTATTCGTGAAGCTGTCCTCAATAGCAATCCCAGTAGTCCATTGGAAGGTAAGAATCATACATACATCCATAGAGGTGAATGGGTTTATTAACAAAATGAAAATGTAGGTGCTACGCTTGCCACTCGTACCGAAGCTCAATCTCTTCTTTTGGATGTGATTATGGCATCTGCTCGTGTCAAAGCACATGTGGTGACCAACGATGAACGCGAAGGTGGATTGCGTGGTTTACTCAACTTTGGACATTCGATTGGGCATGGCATTGAAGCACTTGTTTCACCTCTCATGTTACACGGTGAATGTGTATCCATTGGTATTATGAAGGAAGCTGAGCTCTCTCGTCATTTGGGCCATCTTAGCCAAGTGGCTGTGGGTCGTCTTGCTCGTTGTTTAAGCTCGTATGGCTTGCCTATCAGCTTGGATGACAAAAAGACCAAGGAACGCATCGGCAATCTCCACGTACACATTGATGATGTCATGGATGTCATGAAGGTCGACAAAAAGAACCAAGGTGACAAGAAGCGTATCGTCCTTTTGGCAGCTATTGGACGCACCCTTGAACCACGTGCTTCTGTGGTAGCTGATGCTGATATCCAAAAAGTGATTGCTCCTGAACAATTGGTGTTGCCAGTAACCGAATCACCCACCGGTCCCCGTAAGCAAGTATCGCTCACCACCCCTGGATCCAAATCGATTTCGAATCGCGTCATGTTGATTGCTGCTCTTGGTCAAGGCACTGTACGCATCAAGAACTTGTTGCATTCGGATGATACACAATACATGTTGGCAGCATTGCAAGCTCTTGGTGCAGCTGATTTTGAATGGGAGGATAATGGTGATACTCTTGTGGTCCATGGTGGTGCTGGCAAGTTGCGTGTACCTGACAAGGAGCTCTACGTTGGCAATGCCGGTACAGCTTCACGCTTTTTGACTTCGGTGCTTACTTTGATCCCATCTACGGAGGGTAGCAACGCATCTGCAGCCGTATTGACTGGCAACGCACGCATGAAACAACGTCCCATTGCACCTTTGTTGACAGCACTCAAGGCCAATGGAGCACAAATCCAATCAACTGAAAAGGAAGGTTTCTTGCCTATTGCTGTCACTCCCAATGGTGGTTTCAAGGGTGGTCGTATTGAATTATCAGCATCCATCTCTTCTCAATATGTCTCATCCATCTTGTTGTGCGCTCCTTATGCTGTTGAACCTGTTGAATTGGTGTTGACAGGTGGTCAAGTTATTTCACAACCTTACATTGACATGACCATTGCCATGATGGAATCCTTTGGTGTATCCGTTGAGCGTTTGGAGAACAACACTTATCGTATCCAACAAGGCTCGTACAAGAACCCCGACACCTATGTCGTTGAATCCGATGCCAGCTCTGCCACCTATCCACTTGCCATTGCAGCTATCACTGGTACTACTTGCACAGTCACTAGCATTGGTTCCAGCTCGCTTCAAGGTGATGCTACTTTTGCTATCAATGTTTTGCGACCTATGGGCTGTACTGTTGAGCAAACGGAGACCACAACTACTGTTACTGGACCCCCTGTTGGTCAATTGAAACCACTTCCCAGCGTTGACATGGAGATTATGACCGATGCCTTTTTGACAGCAACCGTACTTGCAGCTGTTACTTCGAACCCTGGTGGCAGTGAGAATATCACACGCATTACTGGTATTGCCAACCAACGTGTCAAGGAGTGTAATCGTATTGCTGCCATGGTGCATGAACTTACCAAATTTGGCGTGACGGCATCCGAATTACCTGATGGCATTCAAATCCATGGCAAGCCCATTAAAGAGATCAAGGCACCCAAGGAAGGCGTTCATTGCTATGATGATCATCGTATTGCCATGAGCTTTTCGGTTCTTGCTAGCGTTGTTCCTAGTGGTACGATTATTCAAGAAAAGAAGTGCGTTGAAAAGACTTGGCCTGCTTGGTGGGATGATCTCGAAGGCAAGTTGGGCGTACGTCTCAATGGTGTTGATCTTGGTAAACGCAAAGGACAAGCTGGCAATGTATTGGGTCGTGTCATGACCAAATCTGGCAACAAGATGGATCATGAAAAGTCGATTGTTATTGTTGGCATGCGTGGTGTTGGCAAAACGACCTTGGGCCAATATGCCGCTGAGACGCTTGGATTCAAATTTGTGGATGTTGATCAGCACTTTGAAAAGACACAAAACATCACCATTTTCGATTTCATCAACACTTGGGGTTGGGAGCAATTCCGTGTCAAGGAAACTGAGACCTTGCAACAGTTGCTTTCTAATCCCGAATATGGTCGTCGCTACGTGATTTCTTGTGGTGGTGGTATCATTGAGACAGCCGAATCACGAGGTGTCTTGCGTGAGCATTGCCGTGCTGGTGGCAAGGTGCTCCATTTGGTGCGTGATTTGGATCAAGTCGTGAGTTATTTGAGCCGTGACACTACACGTCCCATGTTTGGTGAAGACATGCTTGGTGTTTGGAAACGACGACGACCCTGGTACCGCGAAGTGTGCAACTATGAATTTGTTGCTTATGCACAAGGCCTTGTGGATGGTGGATGGGTATCACCTGTTGATTGGGCTGCTATCAAAAAGGATCTTCAACGCTTCCTATTGTTCATTACCGGACGTCGTACCAATCACGTGGATTTGACACCAGGCCGATCAGTAGGACCAACGTCGTTTGTGTCATTAACGATGAAGGATTTAAGAACAGCTGTGGATCGATTGGAGCAAGTATGCGAAGGCGTTGATGCTGTTGAACTTCGAGTCGATTTACTGGAGCAACCTGAAGCTGAAAGAAATGGACTCAAATCTGAGATTGAGTATGTTGGTGAACAGCTTGCTATTCTTCGACGCAACACTGGATTACCTGTGGTGTTCACCGTACGCACGCAAGGTCAAGGTGGCAAATTCTCTGACAAGGATGAAGAACGCATGTTTGAATTGCTGCAATGGGGTGCTCGTTGGGGTTGTGAATATGTTGACGTTGAGATGGGATGGAGCCCAGCTGCCACACAAGCATTGGTGGATATCAAGGGTGAATCATTGATCATTTCTTCATGGCACGATGTTCGTCGACGAACACCTTGGGGTAGCACTGGTCTTGAAGCACGCTATGCTGATGCTGACAAGTATGGTGACATTATCAAGCTTGTTGGTGTAGCCACTTCAATGGATGACAATATCAGCCTTGAAACCTTCCGCAGCAGCAAAAAAGATGATGGAAAGCCATTGATTGCAATCAACATGGGCACTGTTGGACAAATGTCACGTGTACTCAACGAAGTCTTGACACCCGTAACGCACCCAGCACTCTCAGCTAAAGCAGCACCAGGTCAAATGTCACTTGCTGAAATCAACACCACTCGTCACTTGCTTGGTTTGATCCCTGAGAAGAAGTTTTGGTTGATTGGCACTCCTATTCAACATTCCATGTCACCTACTTTGCACAATACTGGTTTCAAGGCATTGGGTCTTCCTTTCAAGTATGGTCTTCTTGAATGCCACATGGTCGATTATGCTGAGGATGCTCTCCTTAATGATCCTGATTTCGGTGGTTGTTCAGTGACTATCCCTCACAAGCTGGCTGTGATGAAGTATCTCGACAAGGTCAATGATAGTGCACAAATGATTGGAGCTGTCAACACAGTCTATGTGCGTTATGAGGAAACCGAAAAGGGAGAAAAGCAACGTCGTTTGTATGGCGAGAACACTGATTACCTTGGTATCATGCGTCGTGTTCAGCCATTGATGTTGGATCCCACCAATCCTCCAGAGCAAGGTCTTGTTCTCGGTAGTGGCGGTACTGCACGTGCAGCTTTGTATGCATTGTACAAGATGGGCATCAAGGACATTTATTTGTGGAATCGCACTACAAGCAAGGCGCATGAATTGGCCAAGGCATTTGCATCATTGTGTACTGTCACCGTTATTGAATCATTGGACAATGCAAAGATTGAACCTGGTGTTATTGTTTCGACTGTTCCTGCCGATAGCGGTATTGAGCTCCCTGAACACATTTATGGTGGTATCAAGGGTATCATTTGTGACATGGCCTACAAGCCTCGTCGTACCAAGTTGTTGCAACAAGCTGAACGCAAGGGTTGGTTCTGTGTTGAAGGCATCCAAGTGCTTATTGAACAAGGTCTCGCCCAATTTGAGATTTGGACTGGCAAACATGCACCAGCACAGCGTATAGAGGATCAAGTGTTGAAAGCCTATGAGCTGTAAAGTCGTACAATAGATCGCACACTCAAATAAATCATTCTTTTTGTTGAGGGATGTCATCCCACATGTATGTATTGTTTATTGATCTCATTGCCATTACAAGATTCTCTACTCTCAACGCTCATCACATGATCGATGGTAAGTAACCAAGATGTTGTTTCTAAAGGGGAGTGTAATTTCAAATGTCCGAGCTACTCGTTTTGGCACTTTGCGCCGAGTTTGGCATATCACTCACACGCACAAACCACTTTTGAATCGTTCTCGTTGGTTCCCTTTATTCTTTCTTTTCTCAACTCGTCTATTCTTATTTCCCCCCTCGAGTGTTGCTACGATACCCAACCATGCCACCCAAGAAAAAGGAACAAGGCACCAAGATCATTCTAAGGACATACGAAGCAGGCGATTTGGAAGCTGTTCGAGCATTGCACACAACAAGCTGTTACTTAGGACTGGTTCCTGAAGGCATTCGTGCGAAGTTATGGAGTCCATTTACCTGGCTCATGTGGTTCTGTGGCTACACATTGTTGCTAATGTCCGTTCCTGCTCTTGTGTTGGGCGATCCGGACGCGACTTTGGACAAGGACAGGTGGTCGCCGTTTATACTGAAGATGACTCTGTCAGCGATATGGGCAGCTATTGGATTTTCACTGGTGTATATCAAAACGGAGCGTGTGGATGTAGCACGTCAAGTGGATGATGCTCTTGCCAATGACTTGAGTGACCCCGAAGCATATTACTTGCCATGGAACACCGATGAAAATGGCGTCAAGGTTCCTCGACCTCAAGAAGCACCAGCTCATTTCTGGGTATTGACCGTGGATGGTGTTGTATGTGGCATGTTGGGTATGATTGCCTATGCGGATCGTGTACGAGATAAGCGTGATGCAGCACAAAGGAAGTTGCCTTGGTGGAAACGTGCCTTGGGTGGAACCGAGCCTGACGCTTATTTTGCTGAACCCACTGAACCAAAGACAGCAATCCTGCAACGATGGGCTATTGCCTATGAGTATCAAACATGTGGATTGTCATCACTCATGCTCGAACGCGCAATGAAATGGGCAAAGGAAAATGACATTGAGTATGTGTTTGCCGGTACCAACGAAACGCATATGGCAGCGGAGCAGATTCTTACCCGACGACATGGATTTCAAATGGTCAACAAGCGTAAGAACATGTTTGGTCACGTGGCAACGTTGGTGTGCAATGTGCAAACCTGGATCGATGAATGTGGATCAAAATCAAAGGGCGTTTACAAGAAGATCAAGAAATAATCATAGAATAGCTTCATCTCAATTCATTGTAATCTAATAATACTATAATAATAAAAGGACCAGCTAATAGCCTCTTCCTCCCATTTGCTATTGTTGCCCAATCCACTACATGTGAACGATGCACCTGCTACTTCTTATTAACATTCCCATCATCCAACTTTCTTTGATTCGAGAGGATCTGCATGAGCAACCCTCAAACAAAGAATACATCAACATACACTATACCAATGTGCCGATCCTCACATGGTCTACCGTACATTTACACCCAGCCATTCAAAACCTTCATAATGAAGCATGAGGTCTTCATTAGAATAAAGAGTTGATATTGGTGCTCCCAGCACCATCCATGTAATGTATGAATTCATAAATCGGGAGTTGTCAGCCACTTCCTCCCATTTCAAACTTCTATCCATCCCACCCCATGTGAACGATACTCATGCTTCAGTCCATCATTTCTATCATTCAACTTTCTTGATCCAAGTTGGTTTGGCTGAGCTACGCCCAAACAATGGATGCTTCAATTGAGATACGTACCACATGCTGTATGCGGCGACCGATTACTCTTTGTTTGTACGTAGCTCAGTCAAATCGGCTCGGATCAAGGCAATTGAATCACGGAAACAAATGTCTGGAGCAGGAGAATCATTCACATGTATTGGTTTTGGCAACAGCTGGGGATCAGAGGAAGTAGCTATTAGCTGCCAATGATGAGCTGTTATTGAATAATGCATAAAGTATAATCCATCAATTCTTCCCAGTCATGCAAGATAGCTGTGTTACACAAACACGTCCCTCTGCATCTTTTGCTCTGTCAGGGCCTAGTTGATTGACAATGAACAAAGACCACTCTTCATATAGCATCACGCTTACAAACATAAAGGTGCCTGTATCTCCGAACTTTACAATCAAACATGGGGTTTTGAATAGAGCAATGGGCTCGGCTTGGCCAACAGCACCTTGTGTGAAAGTTTCGCGTTCAATGTCGCAAACAGCCCAAAAAATATTTTTTGGTCGTCGTCGTTGAAGAGGTCGACCCCCAGATCCAGTTTGGCTGGTAGCGACATTGCGAAATCTGGGATTGGCAAGCTTGATCGTGCCACTTGCACCCAAGGTGCAGTTGGCCAAGCCGAGCACATTGCTCTAATAAAAACCCAACGTTTGATTGTAAAGTTTAGAGATACAGGCACCTTTATGTTTGTAAGCGTGATGCTATATGAGAAGTGGTCTTTGTTCATTGCCAAGTAGCTAGACCTTGGAGAGCCAAAGATGCAGAAGGACCTCTTTGGGTAACTCAGCTAAAAAGTCAGGACTTCAGGGACAATGCATGAAAGATACGCAACCCTCACTTTGATGTCCTACATTGGCAGCTAATAGCCACTTTTGTGCATTCCCAACTTTTGTGCATTCTATTGTAGGTGGACGATGCTCCTGCTCCAGACATTCATTTCCATGATTAAAGTAGGTTGATCCGAGCTGATTTGACTGAGCTGCGGTCAAAGAGAGATTACATCACTCTGCACATAAAGCATGCTCGATGTAGCTCAACCGATGTAATCTTGTGTGAGCGTAACTCAACCAAATCAGCTCGGATCAACCTACTTTAATCATGGAAATGAATGTCTGGAGCAGGGGCATCGTTCCCATGCAGTGGAGCTCGCAACAATGATGATTGGATAAAAGTGGCCGTTAGCTAGCAATATATGCCTGTTCGTAGATGATCCATAAAGTAATTATACATTGCCCCTTTCATTCATGCAAACGTAGCTGTGTTACACAACACGACCCTCTGCATCTTTTGCTCTGCCAGGGTCCACGTACTTGACAATGAACAAAGACCACTCTTCTTATAGCATCACACTTACAAACATAAAGGTATCTGTATCTCCAAACTTTACAATGAAACGTGGGGTTTTTATTAGAGCAATGGGCTCGGCTTGGCCAACAGCACCTTGTGTGAAAGTTTCACGTTCAATGTCGCAACTAGCCCAAAAAATATTTTTTTGGTCGTCGTCGTCGAAGAGGTCGACCTCCAGATCCAGTTTGGCTGGTGTCGACATTGCGAAATCTGGGATTGCCCACGATGAACTTCATACTTTGACACAAGATTCCTTTGATCCCGACGAGCACGTTGATCTATTAAAGAGCCCACGTTTGATTGTAAAGTTTAGAGATACATGCGTCTTTATGTTTTTACTATGATGCAAGCGTGATGGAATATGAAAAGTGGTCTTTGTTCATTGTCAATCAACTAGTCCCTGGCAGAGCAAAAGATGCAGAGGGACGTGTTTGTGTAACACAGCTATCTTGCATGACTGGAAGGATTGATGGATTATACTTTATGGCTATCCACAATAGTCCATGTATTGCACGCTAACAGCCATTTCCTCACAATCAGCGTTGTTGCAAAATCCACTGCATGTGAATGATTCTCCTGCTCCAGGGCATCATTTCCATCATTCAAGTTTCTTGATCCGAGCCGATTTGGCTGAGCTACGCCCAAACAAAAAATGCGTCAATTCTTGAAAGACAGACCCTGCGAATGTCTCCGTCTTTCAAACTTTTGGACGCTCTCATTCCAAATTTTCAAATGAAGCGTGAAGTTTTTATTAGAAAAAAGTTGATCAGCATGCTCGGAGCACCCTTCTGACCAATTTTCAAGTTAGAGGTGGGCAACTTCGGGGCGGTGGACCGTCCGCTCTTTTGTTCACGTCATCTACCATTTGGACCACCCCCGCATTTTAAATCTTCATAATGAAGCCTGCGACTTTTAAATGAATGAAGTTGATCAGCAGGTCCCGGCGAACCTTCTGACAAAGTTTCAGGTTCGAGATGGGGAATCCCAAGGTAATACATACTAATTCGATAAACCATGAATCGGCGCTGTCCTCCATATCCGACTTTCATAGTAAACCCCACATTGCACCCTCCCATTCCAAATTTTCAAATGAAACATTAGGTCTTTTTTAATACAACATTGATCAGCATAACGAAGAGCTCCATGTGTGAAAGTTTCAGGTATGAGAGGGGCAATCTCAATATCAAGGTTTGATGTACAATGTTCATGCATTCATACAAGAGGTGTGCGGCCTATTTAATTTCCACCTCTTCCGCACCCAGCCTTCCTCCCATTCTCAACTGTTGGCCCATTCAAGCACATACAACTACTACCTGCGAACGATTGTCCTGCTTCAACCATCATGTCAATCCCACCATTGTCTTGATCCGATTGTCTTTGACTGAATGGCAAGTCCATGGCGTGTACACAGCCTTCTTATCACTCTACTACAACACACGAGTCTCTTGACACTCCACCTTCCCTTGTGCACCCCTCGGCCACAACCAATCGTAACAGCAGGTGACATTAGCAAGGTCTTTACTCCATTGTCTCAAGTTACGTGCAGCAGCTTGTCTAGCAACCCTTTTTCACGTGGACAGCAGATAGCCATTGCATAGAAGCAGCTTTATTTACGAGTAGCAACTTTGTTCAATACATACGACTTCTTGTGAATACGGATATGGATCTGAATATCGGTTTGGTATATGGGATGGAAGGAATTGGGTATACACAGCACGTGGAAAAAGAGTGTATCTATTGTCAACTTGGTCTTGATGCTATCAACATGTTGAACGATTGGAGCATACTTTATACGCTATTCCATGGCAACCACAATCATCGTCCTTTATGCAACATGTCAACCAAGTACATCCATCGTCATCCAACTACATGTCTTGGCAGGCCGTGATGAAGTTCGCCACCACGTATCAAGCGTCATCTTCCATTCACCTTTACACAATCCACACCCAAAGGATAGAAACTTCCCAAAGCAATGTATCTTCCCCATTGGATCCACTCGCTGTATCTCTCAATTTGTCTCTTGTGAATGATGTCGGATTAAAGGATCCACTTTAACGAATACGATATTGCGTTGTACAATCTTTCTAAGTTTTACAAGGCCTTCCTTTTTGCTGAGGAGGGCACTTGATGCATTGGATTATAGAAAGATTTGTTGGTATGGCAAATGGAGGATTGTAACAAGTATGCGTACCCACTTCAGAAGCTGTGATAAAGGAAGAGGAAGGGTGTGATTGATTCATTGTGTTTTGAACAAAGGCTGCATTGCCATCTTCTCCCTTTTTCGGGAATGGATCTTCATGTTCCACTTCTGATGATTACATAGGTCTTGTAAGATTACGGTGGGAGATAATAATTGAGTGATGGAATAATGACAAACGAATTGAAGCAATGGATATGAACCCTCCAACCCCTTTATTTTCTTTGTTTCAAGAAGGTTTTGACGACACAAAGAATAATGATTTGCAGAATTGTACATGCAAGGAGATAACCTGATGCGATCAACGACGACGTAGATGTGAAAATGGGCCGTTTATCACTTGTATATGCTGATTTCCCCTTGATCTGATGCATGTGTATTGTATGCAATGCATAATGGGATTTTTGACAAACAATGGGCAAAGTCTATAAAAGTAACATACAGGAGACGACGGGTGTGATCCAATAGGAGAATGAATAATGTACATACACAAAGAAAAGTGATGCATGCGGAATTGTAGTAGAAGGTGTCGTTACGTACATCTCCAACACTGGTGCTAATAGTGCAGCCCATGACATGTTGTTGGGCTGATCGATTCCTTGCATGTGCATATGACTTATCCTGTCGGATCTAATGTCACATCTTTGCTTGCATCTCTCCTAGTAGTGAAACGTTGAAAGATATAAAGATGGTCAAGAGGAGCAAGGCAAGGGATACGTTACTGGCTGTGTGGTGTTTGTGCACGGGTTGCTGAGTGAGGTGATGTACCGACTTTGGTTGTGGGGTTTGGTTACTTCCAAATGGCGACTCAAAAAGTGATGCACATGAAACACACGGAAGCACGTGCTGGATCAAGGAGACCAAGTGAATGGGACCCAATGTATCATTTGCTTTGAATCATGATGATAAGAGTACAAGAAAGGCAGCGGTAATGCTGGTAATAGCCATCCTAACCGAAAATAGCTGGATCTATTTGTTTGCTTACGACAATGCATTTGACAGGTGTTGAGAGTTACACATACGATACACAAAAAGAGAGAGGTCTTCATGCACTAAAAATCGATATGATGCCTTGTCGGCTTTCTTTTTTCCTTCATCTCCCTGTCCCATGATGCAACATTTTTCGGGTGCCGCGCCCCTCCCCTCATGCAGCATGCTTCTTTTTCTCACAACTTTTTTTTCAACATACGCAGGGCCAGGGGGTAACACTATCTTGGAAGAGTGAGCGGGGTAAATGAGGAGACAAGAGAGAGCCTCGGTTGCTGACCATCAATTGATCCCAATTCCTTGATGGGATACAACACGAGTAAATCACAACAGCATCGTTAATGTTGGATATGGATACAATGATGTACTTTTTAAGCAGTGGTATACGATGGCGGAAGAGTGAAAAAGTGGAAAGAATTCATGCACATACATATGCATGTGTGGGCCCGCGCAATTTGTTTACAAGTGAAAGTTGCACCTCGCTAATGATACGATTATTCTCCCACGTAAATCATCATTAACGTGCTTTCATCACGACTATAAATTCGTAAGGAGCTGCTGCTTTTCTTTTTGCTCCCCATTCGTTTTTCTTCTTCTTTCTTTAACATGTCTGCTATCGAAACTACCACACACAACGAACCTGTTGTTGATCCCACTACTGGTGATAAGCCCACCAGCCCTGAAGAAACACATGCTACCACTGAGAATGCTGAAGAGACATCTGCCGAGCAACAGCAATCTTCATCCAATGATCAACCAACTCCAACACCTGAAGAATCCAAATCCAATGATAAAAAGAAGGATGACAATGAAAACAAAAAGCGATTCAGCTTGTTCAAGAAAAAGGGTGCTCTTGGTGGACTTTTTGCTCGATCCAAGGTGACTATTTTTTCATACTTGGTTTCCTAAATTTCATTATTCACCATCCTTGATTGTAGACTACTGCCACAGAAGAAGTACCAGCTGCTGAAGAAACTGTGCCCACTGAATTGCCAAAGATTGAGCAGCTTCAACCTATCGATGTTGGTAACAATGAGGATGAACCCAAAAAGACTGAAGAGCAACAACAACAACAACCGTCCAATGCGTCAGAAGGTGAAGAACAAGAAGCATCTGCTACCAATGAGCCCGATACCGCAGCCTTAGGTGAAGCTGCTGATGCACCTGCTGAGAGCAACACTGCTGCAGCTGCAGCTACCAATGAGGACATTGCTGATGAAGGTCACGCCACCGTTGAGCAAACACAAGAAGCTGCAAAGAATGATGATGATGCCAACAACAAGCAGCCTACTACTCCCACCAAACGCCAATCATTTATTAGCAAGCTTTTCAGCAATAAGAAAAAGTCAGCTGAACCAGAGCAAAAGGATGAGCAACAAGATACTACAACAAGTGATGAACAACAGGAAGATAATGCTGCTGCTGAAGAAACAGCTTCTCCATCGGATGAACGTAATGAGGAGGGTGAACAACAACAACAACAAGAGAAACCTGAAAAGACTGAAGAAAGCAAGTCCCCATCATCACCCACATTTGGTCGCCGTTTGACAGCCTTGTTTGGTAAAAAGAAGAAATCTGCCAAGGAGGCACCTGCCAACACCAACAATGATGAGCAACAGCAACCCGCAGAAGCTGAGAATGGAGATGAAGATATCCCACAACAAGAAAATGATGAACAAGCTGCTGCAACATCAACAGCTGACAAGAAGGAGGAATCAACCGAGAAAGAGGAGACTACCGCTCATGAAGAAAAGGAGCAACACGATAATGCTGTTCATGATGAAAAGGCTGCTGTTGCTGCTGCTTCAGTTACCAAGGAAGGCCCAGCTGCTGTGGTTGCTTCGGCATAAATTCCCTGTCTCCTTACTTTTTTTTGTCTCAGTTTCTCGTTTTGCATCTCCTCACACATGACACACACCACTCACTAACACACTCACACATCAACAAGACCCATTACACTTTTATACGAATTACCTTACCAATTAATCTTTTTTTGCTTTCTCTTACACAGCTTGTGCTTAATGCATGTCATCATTTTTCTCTTTCTGCTCATTACAATAAAAGAAACGCAAGCACATTCAGCTTGTTGAAAGACTTGAATCATCACAACATGCTTGTGTCACTCCTTTACATTATAATGCTTCAAGTTAGGATGTGAATTAGGCTCACACCAGCATCAGCTGGGATAAGGAAGCAATGCTATACTATGGGCCATTGGAGAGTAGGAGGCTCTCTCCCCTTCCCCTAAAATAGAATTGTAGATGACAGGTCCTGTTTCCCTTGGATGTATGTCTCCCACTTTCTGGTTGATGAATCTTGGAACCAATCCTTGATCCCGTATCTTGTTTGTTCTCCAATCTTCCACTGTACAAGGAGTACCAGCATGTAGCATCGTTTATAGGATGATCTTTGACCCTGCTGATGTTGGCATCATTCATGCAAAGATGTAGCCTACCATTTTTGTCTCCTCCATTTGCACTAGCTAAGCAATCAAAGTTGATGATGGTCATTGTTATTGTAGGATCAGCTGACTTTAACAATGACGCTCTTTGTAGTGAGCATGCATAGCGTATGCTGATGATTGATACCACACCATCATTTTCGGATAATAACCGCCGCCATTCTTGCGTTTACATAATGCGTTGGTGGTACACAATCATGAGAAAGTTTGGTTAAGTAAGCAGCATTTGCTTATGAAATCAACCTCATCGTCTCACAACAAGATGTCATACGTAAATCCTACCCCACTCATGCCATTCATAGATGCTCTACCATCCACGCTACCAAGCATGGTCCTCTGTAATCCAATGCCAGAATGCTCCGATTATTGCCTATGATGACTTTTTATAAGCTCGGTAGTGACACTATTATGGAGAAGAGAGAGTGGTGTCAATCGGGTTTTTTGCCTTTTGCTGCTAGTGGAATACTTCCGTGTGTATGTGTGTAACCTGCAGGTAGTGAACGCTTTCCATCATTTGATCAACACAGCAACATGGGCAAGATACATAAATGAAAAAGTGAGTGCTGCAATTGCATGCTTCATTTTGTGTGCGTCCATCAACAATACTCGAATACATGTAATGTAAAGCTAATCAGATTGAGCTAGAGCTATGTTAAAGGCTTCTTTCCCCTTGAGGAGCAATGGCCACACAAAGAAAAAAGATCGGCTTTCATAATTCGATTTACCCCATCCATCATCCGATTTGCTGTGTCATGTACTACTACAACGTAAAAAGATTACAGCATGTATGAAGCAGTGAGAAGAAACAAGCATAACCTGGTAGAATTTTCTCATGCACCACATCGGAAATCCCGGTGCGCTTTGAATTATTATAAAAGAAAGCCAATCCTCCCCTTTCTTTCACACAACTTCAGGATATACATACTTGAAATGGTGGCACGTGGAGTACTAACAAGCGTGTCAATGGCCATCATGGCTGTTGCCACTGCGGCAGCACCTCTTGTCAGCTTGGAGAAACGAGAAGAAAGCAACAATGGATTAACGGATCGCGTCACGTGGGATAAACATTCGCTTTTGATTGACGGCGAACGTCTCTTTTTCTTTTCTGGCGAGTTTCATGTATGGATACACACACTTCATAGGATCGTTATTAGTAGCTGTTGGCTCATCATGATGTGTGATTTCTAGTACTATCGCCTTCCATCACCCAGCCTATGGTTTGACATCATGGAGAAATTCAAAGCTCTTGAATTCAATGGTGTATCTTTTTATTTCAACTGGGGTTATCATTCACCAAAGAAAGGAGTCTATGATTTCGACGGTGTACGAGATGTTCAAAAGGCGTTTGATGCTGCAGCAGCAGCAGACCTTCATGTGATTACTCGTGCAGGCCCCTACATCAATGCAGAAGTGGTATGTCTTATCATTGTAGAATCAAAAGGGGGATATCGATCATGGGCTCATTTCTACACTTTCAGGATTGTGGTGGTTTCCCGGGTTGGTTAATGGATCAACACAGCATGGCAAGAAAAAGTTCGCCTGAAAATGATGCCAACAGCAAAGAGTAGGTGGATGCATAAATAAGACCATCATTGATGACACTAATACGTATGCATCGATTATGCAGATGGCTTGAAGCTATCGACAAGTACATTGTACCCAACCAAATAACAAAAGGCGGTAGAGTCGTGTTGAACCAAATTGGTAAGTAAGGTATACAACGTGTGTTTATTGTATGATGGCTCACATTGTGTGTGAATACTAGACAATGAATACGCCGATAATGTTGACCCTTACTATATGGAGATGATTAAGCAAAAGTTTGCCGAGGATGGAGTTGACGTCCCTTCTATCTTTAACGATCCAAACACAAATGGCTATTTTGCACACGGCACTGGTTCAGTGGATATTTATGTAAGGCTTCAATACGACAATAATGGTACATTTAATGCAGCGTGACTCATAAGAATTATCATAGGGCTGGGACAGCTATCCACTTGGTTTCGACTGCAGCAATCCTACAGTATGGCCCAACAATCGCAGTACTACTTGGCGAGATTACCACGAAATGATGAATCCAGGGGAGCCGATGGCATTGTATGAATTCCAAGGGGGGGCCTTTGACGCCTGGGGAGGGCCGGGTTACGACGCATGCCGTACCATGGTGAACGAGCAGTATGCAAAGGTGTTTTACAAGAACAACTATGCCCAAGGTGCCACGATGCAGAACTTGTATATGGGATATGGTGGCTCGTCGTGGGGCAGCTTAGCGAAGCCGTCTGTGTACACGTCGTATGATTATGGTGCTCCCATTTCAGAACCTGGTCTTATGACTCCAAAGGGTTACGAGGTGAAGTTGCAAGGTACGCTGCATGAATTATGCATAGGATGGTTGTCTCACATTGCTCTTCTCCATGTAGGCACATTTCTTCATACCGTTAAGCCTTTCTGGACCACCGAGCACTTTTCTCCAAAGGTCGATAAGGATGATATTATTCTCGTGGATGGCTTGGCCGATGTCAATACCGATACCAAGTTCTATATTGCTCAACATTGGAACACTGCTTCTGAGGATAAGGATGAGTAAGTAGATTACAATTTGGATTGCAAGGATTGGATCAGCTAATGATGGTGATGGTTATGGTATGGTAGATTCCATATTGATATTGAAACAAGCGATGGCAAATTCACCATTCCACAAAAGAGCAAGCTGGTTCTTGATGGTCGCGAAGCCAAGATCCTCACCACCGATTACGATTTCAATTCGCAACATTTGGTCTACACTACAAGCGAGATCTTCACTCATCAAGCAATGGGATCACATGACGTGATGTTGGTTTATGCATACGAGGATCAGGAAGGCGAATTCGCACTCAAGCTCTCCAAGGATGATGTCAAGGTCGATGCCAAGGATGATTCAGTATCGCATTCGGTGGAGGATGGCATTTTGCTTATCAACTACAAGCACAACAACGGCACTACACCTATCTATATCAGCGGTGGATCGGATCAAGACCTCTTGTTACTTGTGGCAGGATACTCAAGTGCTACGCGTTGGTGGGCACCTATCGTCAAGGACAGCAAGGATCGTGTTTTGATTCAAGGACCTTATCTTGTGCGTGGTGCCTCTATCTCGGATTCCACCCTTGCCTTCACCGGTGATATTGATGAGACTACCGATATCGAAGTGGTCGTTCCTGAGAATATTGAGGCTTTCACATGGAATGATAAGGAATTGAAGCTCAAAAAGTCTGAGCATGGCACGTGGACTGGTACCATTGAATTCAAAGATCCCAAGATTGATATCCCCGATTTGACAAAGGCCGAGTGGAAATACAGCGAGGCTTCCCCTGAAATCAATCCTGACTTTGATGACTCGACTTGGACCACTGCCAATCACTTGCAAACCAACTCTGTCACCATTCCCGATACTTGGCCTGTTCTTTTTGCTGATGATTATGGTAAGCTTGTATTATAGTATATGTCGTCAGACACTAAAAAAGATCTACTATAGGTTTCCATAGCGGCTGCATTTGGTTGCGTGGCAAGTTCAATGGTTCTACCGACATCACTGGTTTCAACTTGACAGCTATCTCAGGTGATGCTTCAGCCTGGATGGCATGGCTCAATGGTGAATACCTTGGTGGATATGAAGTTGGCAACCAAGCCTTTGAGGATTTGAATGGCACGCTCAAGACCGATGGTGAAAATGTCATTTCGTTATTGCTTTGGACAACGGGTCACGAGGATGATTGGAATGCTGATGACAATTACAAGACTGCACGTGGTTTCACACAAGCTGAACTTTTGGGTACCAGCAACCAAACAATTTGGACCATCGATTGGAAGATCCAAGGCAATTTGGGTGGTGAAGATCTTGCTGATCCAGTACGTGGACCCTACAACGAAGGCGGTCTTTATGGTGAGCGCATGGGATGGCACCTTCCTGGTTTCGATGATGGTGATTGGGATAAGGTTTCTGTTCCTGAGGAAAAGAATCGCACTGGTGTCTCTTGGTATCGCACCAACTTTGATTTGGATATTCCTGATGGCTATGATGCACCCATGAGCATCAAGTTTGATGATGACAGCAAGACTCGGTATCGCGCATTGCTCTTTATCAATGGATGGCAATTTGGACGTTATGGTAAGTAGTCTTTTTCATGCAAGTTGTATCAACATGGTATTCATCACGTGTCACTTTATAGCCAATGATTTAGGTCCTCAAACACAATACTACCTGCCATCTGGTATCCTCAACACCAAGGGCAGCAACACATTAGCCGTGGCCGTCATTCCTATTGACAAGGGTGCTCAACTTGGCAAGGTCTCTCTTGAAGCTTACAAGGTGCTCGAGTCATCTATCCCTGCTGTGGAGCTGGTTGAATCTCCTGGCATTGACAAGCGCCATACTTAATCTGTAATACAATCATTTACTCAATTAAAGTGTACTTGTACTATTTGCTTCATATTAAACATTGCTTCGACAAGGAAAAGTGGGTCGACTACTGACAACATAAAGGCCATGTATGTGTGATATATACGCAAACATCTTTCGTTGGAATTTTTTATATATAAACAAATCAAGGGGCTGGGAAAGGGGAAAAGGTGCCTTATTCATCCTTGTTAAATGCCTTCATTTCTACAGTATCCTTCTGCTGCTGTGGTGATTGATGCTGTTGTTGCTGTTCTCGCATTCGATCCATGCCTTCGATAGCGTATTCCTTGGCAATCTTGGTTGCTTCACCAAACACAGTTGTCAGGATGCGTTCTAAAGGACCCCATAGATTGAGAGCATAAATGACATAGCCAAAGGAGATGCACATGACAAATAGCACCAGGTAGAGAGGACTCTTGATGATGGTCATGAATTCATTCCAACCGAGGGCAATCATGACAACCAAAAGCCACGAGGGTATCTTGGCGGTGGTGGCAACAATCGACCGCTTAGCTTCGAGATAAAATGCATCCGATTCACGCTTGAAGCGGTTGGTGATATCAATCTGCTTGGCTTCAGTCAACACAATCAACGAATGCTTGAAATCGAAATCCTCATCCGACTCAATTTCAAAGTCCTCATCATCCTTGAGGTCAATCTTGGCAAACAATGGTATCAGAGTGATAGCCTAATATTCATGTTAGCTCATCTATCAATCATGTAAGATCCATCCTACTCACGTCATCTCGTGCACGGCGAAAGTAGCTGTCAATGTCATCGGTTGGCTTCCAGACACGGGGAAGCCCATGTTCATCATAACGGAATTTCTCTTCAAATCTGCAAATTGTTGTCAATGCAAGCGCCCAAAGCAATGTATGATTTGATTTCTCACCTTGAACGCAATTTCAAAAGAAGCATGTTGTCTGCAAGCTCTTCATCCACCTTTTTACGTAAAACGAGCCATGCTTGACGCTTCAAACCAAGGATCGACTCTTGCAATTCTTCATCGGATGAATTGAAACCTAAATCCCAAACACGTCAATGCTATGTCTCTACAACAAGAGCAAGCAATACTTACTTTTGGCCTTCTCCACCAATGTCTTTTGACCATGCTCTACCGTAGATTGATATGCTTGAATAATATTGTGCCAGGTGTCATCCTTGGGGTTGTTGAGTGCCAAGGACACGGGATCAGAGAGCTCATTCTCGACTTGTTTCTACAATAGCAATTGTGTTAGGATGAAATGCGACTTGTATCAAAGTTAAACTTACCGACAACGCCTTGCTCATCTTTCTGAATTCATCAGCGCGTGCTTGGGCAGAGATCTTTGCAAAGTCTTCCTCCAATTGGTTGTGCTCATGATCATAAGACCAATCAGTATCAGGCAACACAATAGCTACGTAGCATTGAATTAGCAAATGGCAGCAGTAGTAGGCATGATGGATTTACCTTTAGCACCATCCAAGAAGAAAGCATCAGCTTCCTTGAGACAAGAATCCACGGCAGTGGCAAAGTTGTATCCAGGTTTCTTGAGCTCGGCCTACATTGATCCATTAATAAAATGGTTGCTCCTCGGCTACCCATAACAACAACAATACGTTACCTTGAGATTCTCTTCAAACATGATGCTAGCCTTTTTGTGCAAGTTCTTGAGTTGGCCAACGAAAAAGACATTGAGTTGGGTGTTGAGCTTTTCAAGCATGTCCTTCCTCTTCTTTTCATAAACGTCCTTGTGGTATCTTGATGCGTTCTTGTCAAAAGATTGCATTGCTTCTGTTCGGATTTCATCCATTTGCTTTCCTAGGTCGGGGATGGTCTGTGCCTTTTCGAGGATGGGGTTCTTGAAAGGAGCTATCCGCTGCATAAAGATTTCCACTGCCGCCTAAAAAAAGGTTGTCCAATTAAGTATACAGCAGCTTCCCGTGCATAAGACAAGTCACCTTACATTTGAGATTTCATCACATCGATACTGTGCCAAAAGTTCTTGCTGGGTAGGAAGATCAAGATCCTTGTTGGAAAGAATCTTATCCCAAATGCCAGATGCATACATGTGATAGCCATCAGCAGGAATACGCTTGTGATATTGTGGGCGGAAGACATAGTTGGGATCCTTTGGATCATTGAATCTAAACCATATCATAAGCAACATGAAGAACCCCATCGTCTCTACCACACGCCCCTTTTTTCCCCTCTCTTACCTGTGTCGAAGAACAGCCACCTCTTCATCAAACTTTTCGGGCAACAAGATCTTGTGTGGCAAGCCGGTAAACATGAAGTCGAAATAATCATGAATCTTGCAATCTTCGAGACCTTCGGGCTAACAACATGACGCATATCAGCATTGGATATATATATAAAGATTGTCCTACAATTGTACCTTGGATAATCCTGCCCAGATCTTTTCCAAATCAGCTTGTAGCGTCTTTGCCAAGTTCTCGAGAGGAGTAGCACCAACATGATCACGAATGACGATAAGGATCAATGTCTTTTCCTTGCTATATATCTCGAGGTCAACAAATGCTGCTTTTCAACACACCCCTTGCTTGATCCATCACCTCCCCCTTATTTCCTCACTTACTTTTTCTGGTTCTGGAAGAGTTGTAAATTGACTTCAAAGACAGTCTTGAGTAAGCCCATGTTGGCACCTTGATAAAGACCGACTTGATGCTCCCACAAGTTGAGAATGATGACTTCACTGGTAGCCATTGAGAAGAGAGCTGATTTGCGTTCAAAGTCTTGATCCTCGCCACGTTCACGACCATCGGTACCCTCGACATCCATCACGAGCACATGCATACCACGACCCCGAGACATCCAGATACCCTTGGTAGTTTGACTACGTTGGTTCTCATCCATGACATCAAACGAAGTACCAAAAAGTCGATTCAACAATGTACCTGAATGAGGGCAAGCATGTTAAATCGTATACACGCAATACATGATGATTTGGATCCTTACTTTTGCCTGTACTCTGTGAACCAAAGACGGCGACGACATTGTATTGGAAACCAGCATCCGCAAGAGACCATTTGTTCATGTAACTTGGCAGTGTCTCACTATGTTTGTTGTTGTACATACGACGTTTTAGATATTTACACGTGATAATGTCATGCTGACGTTGAGGTGCGTGTGTATGTGTCTCTCTCTCACTCCACACTTACGTGAACTTTTGGTTTTCATCCACAATTTGAAGTCGAGGAATGTTGCCCGTGTCTTCATCCCAACTCTTGATAGGCGAGGCAGTTCCATTTTGAGCCGATTCTGCCGGTGTGTCGTTGCTCATGGTGTGTGTGTAGGGTTGAATGCAACTATAAGTAGAAAAGGTGGAGAGAGAAGAGAGAGAAGAGAGTTAAGCGGAAGTACTTTCGGACAAAGGAGAAAAAGGCAACAACAGCACAGCACGGGTACTCGGAAAGGTGTTGATGATTTGCCACCCTATATCAACCCCTCGCAATACAAAGGGACAACATAAGAGCCCACGCTTGCACTGTCATTGAATATCACTTACCTTGTTTTAAAGTGGGGGGAAGCACGAAAAAGAGCGTGAAGATAGCTGCGTGGAGATGGGGTTCCGGTTGGGTGCCGCACCACCCATTGATCTCGGACATTCAATGGGTTTTGCTATTTGCACCACGCAAGTGCACCATATCAATTTCAAACGCAGACGGCGGCACCATGTCCCCTCACTCAAAGCTTCATCACTCAAAGCTTCTAATATGTAGCTTCTAGGTGTGCATGCGGTTGAATAACGGTGATGGATCGACAGCAGGAACATTTACATTATGTGACACCTTTTCGTTCTGTAGACCTACTAACTTGCTGTGGAGAATGCAATCGATTGCGCGGATCAAAAGGTGTAAAGCAGCTTTTTTGGATGCATCCATGGACGTGGTAGATGGTGGTGTGCGGTGACTTTCGAAGAGGATTACTGACGACGCTACACTTTCCTAGTCAAGATAGTATTGAAAATCACCGCATCCAATAATAAACCAATGTGCCATATCGTTTGAAACCGACCATGCATGTTGCAGGGTATATGTATAAGCATAAAAGCGGTCTATATCATCAAATAGCATCATAGCACAAAGCATGCAAGAGAGAGTAATAAAGGATGATCCTCAGCATGCACAAGACGCGCTACATCGTCATTCGCGGCATTTCAATGAGACGAGAGGCGTTACACTGAACACGAAGCATGGTGGCAGTTTTAGTAATTGATTCCATTAGCACACGCATTGAAAAGAAAATATCCTGCTTCGTGTTCAGTGTAGCGCCTCTCGTCTCATTGTTAATTTCCACTTCTTCCACTCTCAGCTTCTTGCCTCTTCCTCTCATTCTCAGCTGTTGGCCTATTCAAGTATACAACTACCACCTGCGATCGATTGTGCTGCTCCAACCCATCATGCCATACTACGCATGCCTTGATCCGATAGCCATTGACTAAATGGCAAGTCCATGGCGTGTGCACAGCCTTCTTGTCACTCTACTACAGCACACGAGTCTCTTGACACAACACATGCTCTTGCACGCTCCTCTTCCACAATCAACCGCAACAGCAGCTGTCATTGGCTTCGTCTTTGTTCCATTGGGTCATGAAGCATTTTCTATTTGTGACAGCTTGCCTACAGCCGTTTCACGTGAACAGCAGATGGTCATCATATAGAAGCAGCTTTATTTACGTGTAGCAATTTTCTTTCAATACATACGAGTTTTTATGGATATGGATATGGATCTCGAGGTTGATTTGATATATGGGATGGGATGGGATGGGATGGGATGGAAGGATTCGGCTAGATTGAACGGATTGGTTGCCTTGAACGTGGGATGCCATATGAGCCATCAAGCAAGACAACCGATTGCGCGGATCAAAAGATATACAGCAGCTTTGAATGCATCCATGGACGTGATAGATGATGGTGTGTGTTGATTCTCGAATGTGGATGATGATGTTGACACGTGCTCCAACCACATAGTGGTATGAAGATATCGCTTTACTGTTGGTGTACTTATTCATTTCATCACCAGTCATTTAATCTCTTTGACAATGTACACAGCGCGCTCATCCCATCACCAATCATTTGATTTCTTTGACAATGGACACAGTACAATCATTTCATCACGCATCATTTGATCTCTTTACTAATGATGCACTCATTCCATCACCAGTCATTTGATTTCTTTGATAACGCGCTCGTTCCGTCACCAGCCCTTTCATCATTCAAAGAATAATCATCACTACGTGGGTGAATTCCCACTTTTTTCTTTTCTCATCTATACCATTTCACTACCACACAATAATGGATGTTGACGACGAAGCAATGGACGTCGATGACCAAAACAATGATCAAGCTGCTATCGTGGAACAAAACAGAGAACGAATTGAGACATTTCGTGCTAATCGCCATAACACCCGGACCGCCACTAGGAACTGCAAACTGGAAACAGCCCTCAACGAACAATATCAAGGCTTAGTCGTAAGTATACATTGAATGAGTTCTTAATAAGGCTAGGAACCTGACGTAAGATATCATCTAGGGACCTTTAAGAACGCTTTCAGAGGATTACACAGTTGTCAGGCGGGACGCATTCGACTTGGTGAACATGGATATTTTACGATGGGTCGAAGAAGATGGAAATGATTCAACATGTCCTCCAATATTAAGCCAAGCATACTGGGAGAAGGCATTCATGTTGTGCACATTGCCACCTACCCATATCGAGGTAAGCGAAAATGAACGTGTCATGTAGTTCTTTGGACTGTGCTCTAATGCAATTTATAGCCAACTGCTGAGCCCAACTTCTTGCATCTCACTCAGACTTTCAACTGGTGCCTTCAGCAATGTCGACTTCGTCAACCAAATGAATTTCCCGATGGCATTGATCCAAGTATGTAAAGATCGGCAAAGCTTCCTTTGAAATAGGCTGCTAACCCTTGGATAAATTATAGATGTGCCCCAACCGCTCTATGATCCTCCAGACTTCAACTCAGGCACTTTGAGACGACGTCTTGCAGCTGAATTTGCAAGAGGAGAAGCAATCCCTGGTAATATGCGTTAGACTTAATGTTCTCCATCCAAAATGCTAACTTTGAATCCACCATAGCTGTCAAAAATCATCTTGGTCTTAATCCACCCAAGTATATGAAACATACCTTTACGGCTTTCTTCTATGAATTACAAGACCGTATCGGACGCAATTTACCACGACGACCACAAGCATTCGGTATGTAAACGTTTTACATAGTTCGAAGATTCGAAAACACTAACACTGGTAAAATTAGCAAACGTAATGACAAAGCATTTGTTGAATCATGACCCACCCGAAGATGTTGATTTCCACCTTGTTGATTTCGATGAGCAGCCATTGGCTGTCGTGGCTGAGGTTAAAGCTTATTATCAGTAAGTCTATTATGTACTCATATCTTTGTGAACAAACCATGAACATCATCTTTATTAGAACCCATTACGAAGAATTTGAAGGCTCTTTTGCCAATTATGATCTCACTGAAGTTGGCAAGAAACCAGGCCGACGTGTCAACATGGCGTACATTCCGGGTGCACTACGATACCTTGCAGGCCTGCTGTCCATGGAAGCTGAGATTTTGGATAGTCAACGCTGGACTGTGATCCCTATAGGCAAGCTCCAAATGGCATTCGTACCTGTGGATACCCATGTGTTGTATTGGGTCTGTCGTCTTGCCCATGAAAACCCAGACATTGACTTCAACGCACCGCCTGCATTGATGGTAAGCCGTTAATTACATGCATAAAAAACCACGATCTAATTACAACTTGTCTACTATAGCGTGAACCTCCGGGGCGTCGGGGGGAGATATTCATCCCATTAAGCAGCATATATGGAAACGTAAATCCTTTGCTGAAGGAGGAGTTCTTTGAACAGCTCTTCAACCTGGATCCTATATCTAAAAGAAGAATGCGATACTCTGCAGGTATGTTAAGCAAGCAAAGTTCTTACGCATTTTGTTGATTCTTATGTATTGTGAATGACATAAAAGGTTATGTTTTCAATCCGAATGTCGAACCAATAACTTTCAAGTTCTCGTTCAATACTGATGGTGTGCGTGCTTGTTTTCATTTTGTGCGAGCTCTGACGACGCGACAGGGAGGTAAGCTACTAAAAACCGGTTTTTATTCTTACGTCTCTTCTAATTCTGCTATTGCAAACGTGATAGAACGCATGCCCGATACTTCAGCTGATGTGCGTTACTACCCAAGAGAGCTTGATTTAACCAATTGGCATCGCGGCATGTATCATTTGAACAAGGAACCAGGTGGTTTGGGTGGGCAGCGCTTGCAAGCAACTCGAATCATCGGCATTGATCCCGGTATGGCATTAAAATGGATAGCGAAGCACACACTCTCTAATTCAGCTTTTACATCTCTCAGGCATTAGGGAAGTGATTACAGGCACCGACACGACCGTAAACTTAGCCGATCCACAAACAAGACAACAGCATGTTGTCAGTATCTCCAACAAGGAGTACCAGTAGGTGTGCTGTGTTACGTTGTTTCGGATCCCTTTATTGATTTACCATTCATTACACAGGAACCGATCCCTCTCCAACTGGATAAAGCAAAAGACATTGTCTTCCCGCCAAAAAGGTCGCATGGAGCAAGAGTACTTAAATCTCAAGGCCTTTCCACATCGTACAACCAACTTGCAAGCATTTTTTGATCATGTGCATTTGCGGTGCCATTTACACAATATGTAAGTATAAGAAAAATCATACGGCTATTGGTAATACCAACATCTTTATTCCTCTAGACTTCATCCTTTCGCCTGCCAATACAGACATCGTGAACAACGAGCAACTACATTTGCAGCAAGGGTTTCTGCTCAAGAATCCATAGTGAATCAAATCCTCGGATTAGAGAATGTCGCAGATGTATGTACAAAGAACTAGCTCTTTATTGTTTGGGTGTGATTAACTTGGATAAATGTCTCTAGCTCCGCAATGATTTCTTTGCTCATCGTCATGGTGGTAAACGGCAACGGAAACTTGCCAGACGAGCAGCTCGTGCTCAACGACGTGAACAAGATCAAGACGTGGTTATGGAGGAAGCTGGTGGGCCGGAGGAGGAATTTGAAGAGCTGGAGGAGGAAGCTGCTGAGCCACAGGTACAAACAATTGTGGCCTACGGAGCTGCACGATTTGGTGCTACAAGCAAGCGCCATCAAGCAGTGCCTGTAGAGGTAACTACTTCCGTGCCAATCATTTCATGCTTCAACATCGACTTACCTTTTTATTATTTAGACACTCAGGGCACGGATCGCACGTCGTGCTCTCCTTGTTTTGGTTGATGAATTTAGAACAAGCGTCACGTGCCATGAGTGTCATGGCCGCTTACAACAATTCAGGGAGCCAGAGACCCTCATCTGCCAGCACAAGTAAGCATATCTATACTTTTTGAAAGCACGCATCCTAAATCAGTTTTTCATCTACTTGCAGAAAAAAATACATCCGTGATTCCTGGCCTGTTGGCGATGATGATGATTTCAGCATTGTACATGGCAAACCTCGACAATGGTGCTTGGATGATGATGGACAGCGTCTCCACTGGACGTCAACATGCAATGATCGGGTACAAGTTGATGATTTCAGAAACAATGTGTATGCGCTCAAATGGTGCCCCACTTGTCAAACTGTATGTATGTGCCATGGATATGGGAAGGACGATGATTTACTGGTTTCTGTTATCTAGGTGTTCGACCGTGACATTGGCGCAAGCAGCAACATCCATTTTATCTTTGAGCTGTACATGCTGAGCGATGGTGAACTCGACTCAAGGCCACCGGCAATGCAACGTGGTCAAGTGCAAGATGTAGTGGACGAGGTGGAAGCTGAAGACGAAATGGAAACGGATGAAGATGACGAGCTGTGAAAGAAAGAAGACCTTCCTTGGCGCACAGTGAGGCGTGTGCCAAATCCGAGTAATTGGGGGGTAAGTCACAGCGAATTAGATCCAAATCGACGATGTTTGCTGACATGGTGCACTTGCATGGTGCAAATAGTAAAGCCCCATTCAATCGCCATACACATTACACCACACGTACACATTGCTGATCATCCTCCTAGCTGGTAGTACTTATCCACATCATCCAATAAGGTTGATAATAGATAGCTTTGTATGTGACAAAGGATAATGATAAAGAATAAAAACGAGAATCCCAATGCTTGTATAATCATACTCAAGGTACTCCAATGGATGCTGTTAATTGTAGCATCATATGTCAATCAGCAGCATGTGTTTATTGTTCCTGAATCACCTCGATAGATTCTGTTGTATACGATTCTTATTATAGTCAAGCGTATCACCTACTAATGCTTGTGTGGCCACTTTATCACAAAAGTTGATTGTAGTCATGTGTCTACCCCACCCAACAGCATTACTCGGCTGCAATCAAAAGACAACCGAACAATTTTGATGATGAGAAGTTCAAAGTGTCACATAGCAACCGATATCATGTGATATGAATTCGTTGCGAGGGACCATAATCAGGTCATCGTGATAAAGCCGTGTACCACCGGGTGATGGCAGTGTTGTTGTAAAATGCTCAGCCTAACTCTCTCAGTTGCATTTCATTGTTACACACCACACAAACACACCCACACACACGCGCATACATCATACACACGCCATGCTGCTTTGTACAATGGATAGAAACCAAAGGAATAAAGGTTGTTTATTATCATATCAATGTCATTGTCATATTAAACAACGTGTATTTGGGGTGAGAGAGAAGAAAATGAGATGTTCATGTTGATCCATTTTTATCCATATTAGGCAAATACTCTACATACTCCACGCAGCTGAAACTCCTCTTTCACTCTCTCGCTCTCTTTTCCTTTCTTCCTTTTTGCCTATTGTCTCGATGTCTGACGCTGCTGCTCCCACACCGGAAGACAAGCGTCCGTTGCTATCAGAGGATGTTACAGAGCAATCGTCGTCATCACCGGGTGATTTGGGTCAAGCCAAGCCTGTCGCTGCTGCCGTTTCAGGTGATCAAGCAACTGCTGAAATAACTCGAGAAACCGATGACGGTACGACTTGCACACAACCAAACTCTCATCCATGCATGCATTGCTGACACGATTGTGTTAGCATTGACTATCTTTGAAGCGGCACAACGAGGATCGTTTCATTCCATTCAATACTTGTTGGATAACAAAAAGGCAACAGCAAACGACGTCGATTCTCAGGGCGTGTCACCTCTTCATTACGCTGCTCTCAACAATCACGACGTGTGTGTAAAGTATCTTATCGACCGAGGAGCCACGGTGGATCAACCAGCAGGTGATCTTCAAGCAACGCCTTTGCATTGGGCTACAAGGTATGGCAGGAAGTGGGAGGGCATCACTATGTCTCGGTAGTGGTCTAATAATAGTTTCTGCTGCCAAGAAATGGACGTTTACCAACCGTACACCGATTGATCAAAGAAGGAGCCAATCCAGCATTGAAGGATGGTCAAGGATTCAATGCATTGCATTTGGCTGTTCACTCTTCACATGCCATGTTGGTGTTGTATTTGTTGTACCTGGGGATGGATATCGATGCACCTGATAATGTGGGAGGCCATACACCGCTCATGTGGGCTGCCTATCAAGGAGAAGCATTGACCGTTGATCTATTACTGCGATTCGGTGCCAGTGTTCATGCCGTCGACAATTCAAAGTTGACCCCTCTCCATTGGGCTGTCGTTCGTGGCAACAAGATGTGTGTACGCAAAATGCTCGAATATGGTGCAGATGCCAATGCAAAGGATCAGTCTGGAAAGGGGGTTATGGAATTCGTGCAGGAAAAAAAGCTTGAACAAGTGTGGAATCGTGCAGTGCTTGAATTCGATGTCATGGCTGAAGGAGATACCAACAAAGAGGGAAGAGTAGGCAAATACCCTGGATCACGTGGAAAGCCCATGTCAAAGGTAAACGTGAAGGGAGGGATATGAACGAGGGAAAAAGAGGTGCTCATTGTCTTTCTTTTATAGCGTACCATCAACACCATTGTATACTTTGCTCCTTTCCTTGTTCTCTTCCTCGTCCTAAAGACATTGAGTGTCTTTCCTTGGTACATGGGATTACCGTTATCATTGTTGGAGTTTATGGGCATGCATGTCGGCATCATCAAGTATCTTTTGCCGGCTCCTAGTCATGATGCTTTATGGAAGACACCCTACTTTTCTTGCATATTCCAAGCTTCAGCCTTTTGGGTACTCTTTACTTGGCTCTTTAAGATCGTAACTGGTATGGATGGATGGATGGATGGGTTTATGGGATATGGAGATCAATTTACTCATACAATGCAGCTACATCACACATGTTACTTGCCAACGTCATTTTCATTTCAAGCTTCGTTATTGCCATGACCGCCTTTTATCGTGCTGTATTCGCTGATCCAGGCTTTGTCAACAACCACCAACCTCGAGACGTGCAACAAAAGGCTGTTTTCGATCTTTGTGAAGAGAACAAGCTTGACATTCGCCATTTTTGCCTTACATGTTTGGCCAAGAAACCGCTTCGATCCAAGCATTGCAAGATTTGTAATCGCTGTGTAGCTCGATTTGATCAGTAAGTTGTTGTTTTGTGGGTTTTGAAATGTCGTCAATGTTGATTCATCTTTTCTTGATATAGTCATTGCCCCTGGATTTTCAACTGCATCGGATGCCGCAATCATCGTCCTTTTATGATTTTCTTGGTCAACATGATCATTGCTATTATCTCCTTCCTTACGCTGTGCGTTGAATGTAAGTAACGCAAACGGGTTTCGGATGGCCATATTAACCGGGAGCGGTTTTACTTTCGGCAATAGATTATGCGATTAATGCACCCATCCTTGAAGGCTCAAACACTTGTTTCTTGGGCGACACGGTCTGCAGCTACTTTTTATGGGATGCATGGACGATTGCACTTGGATTATGGGTGTGCTTACAATTATCATGGTCGGTGTGCTTGTTGCTTGTTCAATCGTATCAAATTGCCGTTGCCACGACAACCAATGAAAGTGCCAACGCACATCGCTATTCTTATTTGAATCACCATCACGACCAAGGTATGATGGCACAAATGGCTGCTGGTCCAGGAGGAGGATTAGCCGGTAGTGATGGACCAGGACCTGTTCCCATGGCAACAGCGGCTGGTGGCGGTGGACATCAACATGGGGCTGGTGGCTTTTGTCCTTGTATGCAACTCTTTGCTGGTGCTAGAGCCCTTCACAAACAACGTCGATCGAGAAGAGCACGTGGATCGATTGGTGGCAACGTGTTTGATCAAGGATGCTGGAATAACTGTATACAGTTTTGGTCAGATGGTCATGATGGAAGATCAGGTCAATACAACTGGTACGAATTGTACGACACGCAAGAGCTCCAGTCTTTTGCTCGGAAACCGCCACGTATGGAAGATGTTTAAGCCGTTGACACGATAACATGCTCATACCCTTTGCTCTTTTTTCTTCCTCCATATTGTAACCAAATTTCTTCACTCTCCCCCCCCCCAACTCATTTTACTTCCCTCAAAAACCCAACAAAAATCATACAACTCGCTCGGATGATGTTGATGTTAATAAACGTATAATGTCGTACACACTTATGCGACGCTTAGGCCCGTTTTGATGAGGACCTTTATGGTGGTGGTGATAAAGATTCTATTAAATATAGTGCTTTAATGATGATCAGATATCGCCGGTGAAACCGGTTATTGTCGTGAAGGATTTATCAGAATGGGCACACGTGTGTGTGAGAATAAAAAGATGACCCGCGGATGGGCTCAAGCAAGTCGGATTGGCAGCCAATCGTAATTCATAAAATGGCGCACGGTCCGTTGAAAAAAAGAGCAATACATGAAAAGAAAAG